CTCCCACATCATCTCATCTCCTGTGCCCTGTGCGTCCCTCCCGAACACCCGGTCCACGCAATATCTACTACTACTGTACTGTACTGTCCAGTACGCGCGGAGAAAACCGTCCCAAACCATTCCGCCCTGCCTGCCCTGCCCTGCTTGCCTGCATCTTTCGTTCGCTTCCTGCTTCAGATACATGTGTCCCTTCCTTCCCGACTATCCGAAACCCGCCTCCCGTCACCTAGGTAGACCCCACACACTTCTGGAAGCATCACCATCATCATCATCATCATCATCATCATCATCAAACGCCTTTTGTACTCCCCTCTCAGCCGCCTCGCCTTGCCTTGCCTTGCCAATCGGATAATTTCCCCCCACATTTGCTGGAACGTTTCAGAAGCCGACTTCGGAAGCTTCCCGTCCTTCCACATTCCGCCTCATCATCTCACAAAGATCCGCCTAAGCTGTGCTGTGCTCACATGCTATGCTGTCTTGAGCTTCCAGCAAAGTCTTCTTTTCCTTCCTCTTCTCCTTCTTCTTGGTGTCCTCCATATCCATCCTCGACCATTCTCGACCATGTCATCTGCCTCTCCATCGTCGCACACGGGGCACATCTCCTCCTCCTGCGTGAACCCGGGGGGAAAAAAAACCGTCACGTCGTCGTACAATGCGAAGCTCAGACACGCCACGCTGGTGCGAGATGTCGGTGACTCTTGATATTTTCGAGAATCGAATCCTGTTCAGTTCATCAGCAGAGTCCAAAGAGAAAAGATGAGAGGGGCATGGATGGATGACTTTGACATCATAGGATTTGTAGTTCTCTCTCTCTCTCTCTCTCTCTCTCTCTCTCTCTCTCTCTCTCTCTGCATATTCAAAAGCCAAGCCAAAGCCAAGCCAAGGCCAGGCCTTCAACCCATATACTCGTATCACTCCCTTCTCCCTCTCCGCCGTAGTAGCGCTCCGCAAAGCAAGGATCCCCAATCTGCTCATGCCGGCCGCCGCCTTCAGCAATCAACGACAGCAAGAGAGCCATGGCCCAGCTCCGCCACGAGCGCCAGCATCGCCGCTCGGCCTGCAAGATGCTGCCATTCTCCTCTTCCTGCCGCCGAGTCACAGCACAGGAGCCGACAGGGGACGTGGGCTCTCCTAACGCCTACTCCCTCCCCTGCCGACCTGCGGACTCCCCGGCCCCAGATCCATCGTGAGCCCCAACTTCACCTCACACACCCGAGCCCAGACACTCTGAACCGCTCTCTGCAGATCCCCTCCCATCTCTCGCCCCATCAGACCGACAGCCAGCGGCGCAAACGTCTCCATGTGCTTGCTGAACTCGGGATCCGCAAAGTTGGTATACCCTTCCAATACGTCAATCACCACGGGTCTCCAGGTCACGATATTCCTCTGCTGCGTCTCCTCGTCCAGACTGATGTAGGATGCAATGATGTCGCTGCAGAGAGGGATCAGGGCGGCCTCCGTTTCCGGTCTCGAAGCGGCTCGCTCGTCGCTCTGGTCGGCGTACATGCGCAGCAGGATGAGCACGTAGACACTAGCACTGCCGCTCTCCTGCTTGAGCAGATTCGGTGGCTGCTTCATGAAGCCTTCGCGGAACAGGCGCGTGCGCAGTTCGCGGTCCTCGTTGAACCGCTTGGCAAAGTGATAGGATTTCTTGAGCAGTGCCATCAGTCGCAGCAGCAGATGCGACGGTATCGATGCATACACGGCGTCGTTGTTGAACAGCTCCGATACCGTCTCGATCATGAGCAGTTGCAACACGCATTTGGTGATGATCTGGTTGAAGTATCGTCGTCTTGCGGCCGTGACCACGACAGGTGCTTGCTGCTTGGGGTTTTGGGAGGCGAAGTCTTCAAGCTCCGACTGCTTCCGTGGTGCGGGTGAAGGACTGCGTTCCTCGCCGTCCGAGAGCGAAAGCGTCGTTGACAACTCATTACTGAGTGTTGCCGACTCAGCTGAACTGGAGGTGTCGATGCCATTGATCTTCAGCGCATTCGAGCTGATGGACGCAGCTTCATCCGACGCGGATGACGTCTTGAGTGTCTCAGAGACACCATTCGAATATGAACTGTCCTTCTGGTATGATGAGGATGTCGCTGCGGAGAACAGCTCTCTGGCCTCGGTCCTTGCAAATAGATCGACAAAAGCCCCCACGATCTGCTCCCAATGGTTCGGGGAGAACTTCTTGACGTTCTGAAGGATGAGCTGTTGCAGGCAGTTACTGCCAATTCGTGCCAGGGTGTCGTTTTCTTGGCATATGCACAGCGCAAGGAGATCCAGGAAGCGGTCCAGCATGTACTCTAAGCTCTCGAAGAAGTGTGTGAAGAGAGTGATCATGTTGCGCAGCGCTTGGATCAAGGTTGTTGACAGCCAGACGGATAGCTCTTCATGGTTGACAGCCTCGTGGTTGATCGCCTTCCGATCTTTCAAGACCATGAAGATCGGGTAAAGGAGCTGCCTCCACAGTGTATCCCAGAAGTCGCGGGGAAATTCACCGCCGTACTTGGTGAGAGTGTCAAAGAGGTAGTTGAGCGCTCGGGATCGGACTTCGAGATCTTCTCCAGTCATGAGGACATCGTGGAAAGCGAAGAGCACCGGGAACCAGTACTGTTCTTCTTGAGTCTGTCGACTTGGGTGCTTTGGTAAGCCTTCTGCTTGAGGAGCATCTTTGACACCGGATGATCTCCGAGAAAGGGTGCACTCTGGCGTCCTGAGCATTTTGGGTACACATGACTTGAGCATCTCAATGGCTTGCAAGCTCTTCTTCTGAAACTTCTTGTTCTTGCTGAACTCGGTCAAGCATACGATGAGGTCGGCGAATGCGCTCTGCGATATGACCACGCCGAACCGCTCGTTGTAGACCATCGTCACATTATCGAAGGCCAGGTTGACGATACTCTCGTAGGTCTCTCTGGCAGCCACGGTGAAGACGCCGAACATGGTCCTCCAACCCGATCGGATCATGTCGCCGCGTGCCTGGATCATTTGAACGAGACATCGCAGCACCATGTCTTTGACTGCCACTTGAGAGGCATTGCCAAGGATGAGCTCAAACGGCTTGAGAAAGTCTTTCTGGAATTTGAATCCAGGCAACTCTTCGATCTCCATGAAGCGCATGCTCAGCTGTCGCAGGCTGTTTAATGCAAAGTAGACGACATGTGTGTTGTTGTGGCAGCCGACGTCGATAAAGTGTTGTCCAAGGATCTGCCAGATACTTGTCCATTCAAATCGGACACGCAGCATGTTGTAGCCGGAGATTTCGACCAACTTCTGCAAGCTGTATGTTCTAGGCGACTCCGATAATCCCGAGGACTGAATCTCTTGCCAACTCACTTGACTAAGAGCCTTCACAAAATCGACGATAGCTTCACCCGACAGATTGGCAGTATTGGTAAAGATGCGATCGACTACACGAATCATATCCGCGCTTCTCGACTCTTCCGCAATCTCGGCTTGGAATGTTCCACTCGTTGCTGGTCGCTGTGTCGGTCGCCTGTTGAGTTGTACACTCTTCCTGCCCGCACCGTTGATTGATGCGTTTTGGACGCCCTGCACCTTCATCACGTCCGGTACGGCGCCCTCCTCTACACCACTGGAGATAAGCTGGAATCGATCCAGCTGTGATATGCATGTCAGGATCTCTCGCCAGCTCTCTCTCAAATGATTGCCTTCCGTAAAAGCAACTTCTAAGAGAGCTCGCAGAGCCTCCACGTTTTTCGCCTTCATCTCGGAAAGGTTGTACAGGTTTGTGCCCCGACTCAAGCTTGATACGAAAGCTTGTCTCGGGTCTTCGAGGTTGAACAAGCAGGCGATGCGGACAGCTAGCTTCTGTCCCTCCATGCATAACCGGATAGTCTCAAGATTCTGCGTCTCCTGGGTTGATCCGGAAAGCGCGGTCAAAAAGCTCATCCAAGTGACCTCGAACATGGGTCCGACATGCCTTGATGAGCTGGCAGTGAGGAACCTGGCTTTGCCAGCAGCGTGAGCTGCCAGTCCGCCAGCCTTCTTCTGAGCCCGGAGAAGACTTCTGAATAGCTGCTCGGTACGATTGCTCATCTCCTCACTTTGTTGAGCATAGGCTTCTCGTTGCAAGTCTCGTCCGACATTAGCCAGGGTGTTCACCAGACCGCTGGGTTGCTGAGGCAGCATGCCCAAGTTGGCCGCGTTTTCCCGCTCAGTATCCAACACAATCTCATTATGTGCGATTTCGTCAAAGATACCCTGTAGGTACTCATCCGGCAGGTCGGCATTGTCGTTGATACCTCGATTATTCTTGATGAAGTCTTCGACGGTCATACGCTTCTTCACTTGAGCCGAATGCTGGTCTGTGTTGAGCATGATGACACTGTACGCCAGAACGTAAGCCGTATCAGCGTTGGCGAAAGCATTAGGGTTGCCACCGGTATATCTTTCGGCAAACTTGAGCATCAAACGGTCGATTTTCTGCGCTTCACCCGGTAGACGGAACGATTGCAGGAACCTGCGGAGAGCGTCAACGAAGCGAGTGCGAGTAAAGTCCATCTGATCAACAAATGCATGCATGATTTTGATGTTCTCCTCATCGCCCTCACCCAAAAACTCGCCAAGCGCCTTCTTGTTGATTCGGTCGTTGCCAAAGAAAAACCGTGCGATTTCTTGCGGCTCGCCTGAAGTGATAAACCCTTCAGATATCAGTTGCTTCAGTCCTCGCTTAGGCTTGAAGTTGAACTGTCGAATCGCGTTGTTCAGTGCGGTCTTTCTGGCTTTTACCTTCTCAAGCTCAGCCGGATCATCTTCAGCAACAGGCGTGTCGACACTCAGGGGCGTCGCAGGTGGCGCAGCATCGATTGAGTTGCCACCGGGCCCTGCTTCACCTCTGGCATCGAGGCTCTCCCTCAGGTCATCGACCGAGAAGCGTGAGTCTGCATCCGAGGGATTCGCGGGCATCTCGGCGGTTGGCTGCTGACTCCAATTGACCATACTCCTCAGAGTCTCAACCAAGCACTCGAGGCCCTGCATCTTCATAGCATACTCTGGCGGAAATACGGGATCAGGCTCGTGCGGAGTGGTCATGTTGGCAGTTGCTAAACTTGGAGGTAGCGTCCCTCGATCTCGCCAATCGTTTAAAGGATTCACTGACTTGCTCGTGATACTGTCGATGTATGCTTGCTGCTGCAGGCCGTTCACCGATACTGGTTGGCTAGCAACTCTGCTGACGTGCTCAATGATATGCTGATACACATTGTCGAGCGCTTGTCGATCGCAGTCGTAGTTCAGGTAAATCTCCACCAGCGCCTTAGGATCTGCGCCAATGCGACCAAAGATATGCTGAATGATGTAGCTCTTCTGCCATGATGGCGCAGCCCGCTTGTCGAGGACCACCAAGTAGACTTCCTTGAAGAAGACCTGCAGCTCGGGCTTGATGTAAGATCTCAGATGTCGAACCATGAGCCAGAATATCTCAGCCGACACCTCAAACACTCTATTCGCGGTGCTTGTGGCATTTTTACTCGCGGCCAGGCAGAGATATTGCTTGGCGGCATGGATGAATCCCGTAGGCTCCGTATTGGAAGACGCTCGGATCGTGGAGTGCGGAGAGGTGAAAACAATGTGGTGGTTGAAAAGCACAGTGTGGATTATGTGCATACTGAGGAGCTTGGATCGCATGCCCTGTGATTTGATATCGACGGTGTCTTCGACCCGGAGAGCCTTTGTCGACAGCTTGCACATTGCACGGAAGATGAGAAAAGCGTCTTTGATGTAGATCTCGTCTTCCTCGTCGTCCTCTGCAATTGCCTCGCTACCCTCGCCTTGGACAGTGATGGATGGAATCTCGTTTCCGGAACCAGACCTAGAGGGTCTCTTGCTTAGTTTCTTAGCCCTTGAGACGGTTGTGGGTGCCGTGTCTGTTATTCTAGCATCATCAAATGATTTCCTCGTCTCAAATGTCTGCAGTGTCATTTTCGGTTGAGCATCCTTCTCCTCAGTTGGTGTTCCAACATCTTGCCCTGATGGTGTCTCATCGCCCTGAGCCACTGATGATTCATCAGAGGTAGCATCAGTATCTCCATTGGCCAGACTCGACGTGGAAGAGCCTACTCGCGCCGCCTTTGACGCCAGTCTTGTCTTCACTCTTTCAAAAACAGTTCCAACCATCTGCATCAGGGTCCCTTGGGCGATCTGCTGGTTTGCACTGCTCTTGCTCAGAAGAAAGATGTTGTATGTCTGCCGCACACTCTTCAAAAGCCCGGCACCATGTACGACAATCTTGTCGTTCAGAATCGCAGCTAACAAGCTCTTAATGATCTGCATCTGGACCTCCGCGGGCGTTGCTTCACCCTGAAAGCAGTCGCATATTGTGTCAATCGCTCGCTCGATGAGTGGAGTCTTCTGGGGCTCCTGCGATTCCCTTTGAGACTCAGACGCAGCAGGCGCAGAGAAGTAGGAGTAGCTGATGAGCTTGCCGATGCAATCCAACGCTGTCGTCGCCACCGATACCGTCGTAGCCTCGGTCGCTAAGTGTAAGGGTTGGAACATGATCTCCGGATCGATTTGTGTTGCATCTCCTTGTGCTGTCCTGATCGCTGACAGGGCTCTTTGGGTCGCATCTTGCAGGGCCTTTCGTTTGCGAGCATCTTTCGACGCGACTATGCTCTCCAGCGCGGTTACAACAAATACCATACTGCTCCTTGTGGACTTCGCTGATGACCTCGTTGCTGTAGTAGACTGAGAATCTGTTCGCTGTCGCGTGGTCTGGGGAGGATGTGGCATGGGCGTTCCCGGTGTCGAGTCTCCCACTGGCGGTGACGACGGTGTCGCTTCTTGCGCGCCGGCATCGTGCGTGGGTACTCCATCTTCCACAGCAGGCGCGGGTACTTTCACGGCCTCATCCTCATGCTCTGCCTGCTCTTCTACCTCCGTCTCGTCTGGCTGGCTTGCGCTTGCCTCCTGTGTTGCGCCTGATTCTGTCGGTATTGAGTCTTTCTCTTCACTGTGTGTCTGAGAAGCCGTAGTGGGCTCTTCCGACTCTTCCATACCGTCGGCGATGATATTGAGATGGTGTCAGGCACACTGGCAGCTCCGAAGGCTGTAGTAGTACGACGGTACATTATTGGGTCGACCCTGTGAGAGCAAGCTAGCGCAAACCTTAAATGATTGGTTACAGCCTCCCACGTCTCCAATGCATGGGATCGTCCGCCAAGCCGTCACTCAATAGCTGGAGAGCCACTTCACATGACAGAGATCAGAATCCGAATCCACATGCAGCTGAATTATAGGTGAAAATTGGATTCAACGCCTCTCCTGCACTTGCTTCTCCGGAGCAGTCCGCAGCTAATAATATAACGACGCAGACGCTGTGTGTTGGCGACATAACTCCTGTGTGGAGGGGACCATCAACAATGCAGATCAAGTCACAATTGACTGTAGCCATGGTTAGATAAAAGAAAGTGCGGGTCTTTGTGGCATCGAGGTTACTGTGAATTCCGAACGGAATTCCACAGCTGATGATCCAGGTACGGCCCAGACATTGATGTTTCCTGTTGACGTGAATGGTATATAAGCCATCATCACCAAGCAAAGCTGCACAGAACAAGTAGAGCAAGACCTTGTGTATCTCATCGATCGAAGGGGATGAGAGTGCAAGAAACCGATATTATATAAAGGACAAGAATCGGAAAGCTCGGCTTATGTCAGCGCGCGTGGCAGCAGAGTTCAGGGAATCCGGGCCGTCGGCGGCAACGTTGAATGGTTCGGAGTTGTTATTTTCATCGCCCGGCGAGCTCTCAACACCCGAAGCAAAGAAAGCTGCTCTGCCACCGGACCTTCCGCCCGCCTCCTCACCACTTCTTCCACCACCACCACCCTCGCCGTCGCATCACCCTCCCTTCTCCCTTCCGAGATCTCAATTTCTGTCCATTGCAGGCGCGGACTTGGGCTGCGGTGACTTTCAGGACTCCCAATCTTCGGCCTAGCAGCAGGAACAATGTCTGCCGCTTCCGCGCTCGCCAGGGCGTCGAGAAGCGCATGGACTGGACTGAGGACACAAGATGCTTTCGTGTGAGTGACGCCAGCAGTGTGCCATCATCTGCAGCCGGTATTGGAGATGCTGATACGTATACGAATGCAGGAGAAGGATACCGGCGGTCTCAGCCCTGGCTAGATACTATGCCTCCAAATGTTGGTCCTTCCCCGATATACCATTGCGATCCCTACGATACATGAATCGAACTCTAACTTGTACATTGTAGCGTTTCCTCCTCACACCGTTATCTCTATGCCTGCGCTCTCCCCGACAATGCAGGCCGGAAACATTGGCGCATGGCAGAAGAAGCCCGGAGACCAACTTGCCCCGGGCGATGTTCTGGTAGAAATTGAGACAGACAAGGCACAGATGGACTTCGAGTTCCAGGAGGAGGGCGTTTTGGCCAAGATTCTCAAGGATTCGGGAGAGAAGGACGTCGCGATTGGAAATGTGAGTACATTCAGTCCCGGGAAAGATGTGCAGAGCCGGACTGACAACACATACTAGCCAATCGCTGTCATGATCGAGGAGGGCGGCGACGTCTCAGCTTTCGAGGAGTTCACAATCGAGGATGCCGGCGGCGAGAAGGCCCCTTCGGCTGAGAAGCAGAAGGGTGGCCAAGAGGCTGCTGAGGCCAGTGAAACGCCAGACTCCGGATCGGGCACCGCACCACCCGCGCCAAAGAAAGAGGAGGCCCCTAAGGCACAAGAATCCGAGTCGTCCGGCGAGAGGTTACAACTCGCCATTGAGCGTGATTCTGCCTTCGGCAAGGTCACCAAGGCTGCTGACAAGGGCACAACTGGAGCTGGTGCTGTCCCTGCAGTCGCTGGTGTTGTCTCCCCAGCCAGCTACGAAGATCTTGAGGCCTCCAGCATGCGCAAGACCATCGCCGCCCGTCTGACCCAATCGGTGAATCAGAACCCTCACTACTTCGTCGCCTCCACTGTCTCCGTCTCGAAGCTCCTCAAGCTGCGCGCCGCTCTGAACGCTTCTGCCGACGGCAAGTACAAGCTCTCCGTCAACGACTTCCTGGTCAAGGCTCTCGGGATCGCAGCACGCAAGGTCCCAGCCGCGAACAGCTCATGGCGTGAGGAGAACGGCAAGGTCTTCATCAGACAACACAACAACGTCGATGTATCTGTTGCTGTCGCTACCCCCGTGGGACTCATGACTCCTATCGTCAAGAACGTTACCGGAACTGGCCTCGAGACTGTATCGTCTCAAATCAAGGAGCTCGGAAAGAAGGCACGAGACGGCAAGCTGAAGCCGGAGGAGTACCAGGGCGGAACCATCACCATCTCCAACATGGGAATGAATGATGCTATCGACCGATTCACTGCTGTCATTAATCCACCGCAAGCCACGATCCTCGCCGTCGGCGCCGTGAAGAAGGTCGCCGTACCAAAGGACGCCGAGAGCGGAGTCGAGGGCTTCGAATGGGACGACCAGATTGTCCTTACTGGCTCTTTCGATCACAAGGTCGTCGATGGTGCCGTTGGAGGCGAATTCATGCGGGAGCTGAAGAAGGTCATTGAGAACCCCTTGGAGATGCTGCTATAAAGTGGAACAGAACGCCGACGACAGGCCGACGGATAGACACTGGGCTTGCGGAGACCATGAGGACCTAGCAAATGCATGCATGCATTTTTGATTTTCTGCTGAATGTATAGTGACAAGCGAGCGAACCCCGATTTAGCCACTCCTCTTTTTCTTAAGAGTGATTGTGGGTTGCTAGGCGTGAAGTGAGGCATCGGATGGGACATGAAAGGGTTGCTTCTTTTTGGCTCAGTCGTGTAACTGCGTGATGCTCTTCGCTTTCACAGGTAGTGTTCTTGATATTGTATCAAAAGAGTGCCGGAAATGCATGCTTCGAAATTCTCTCCTCTTTGGCCGCTTTCACCGCTTGTGGACAATTGCGGTATCTAGGCAAACTTGCAAACTTCAGGCGACCTCAGGCGTGTGTCGGGGAGTCACATGCCATGTCGACTCTAGCATCGCGCTATCAAAGCGAAGCCACCTCATTGTGAGCTACAAGATATGACGGACCTCGTGCCATCTGCACTTGCCGACTGCCATCCCAACGAGACAATATCCACCTCCGTCGACCACCAAACGCAGAGTCGCAACTCGACCAAGCTGATCTACGTTCCTACGCTCAAGGACTGACAGCCTCGAATCTTCCCTGCTTGGCCTCCCGAGCCTCATCAATATTCGCCTTGAACTTCCGCCACAAGATCTTCATCTCCCCGCTCTTCTCCATGTAATCGACAATCTTATTCGCATACTTGCGCTTCTTCTTCGTCTTCCACCTGTCCCGCTTCTCCAGCTCCGCGGAATTCGTGTACCCCATCTTGATCAGCCAGCCTTCGACGAACTCTTTCAAGGCCATCTTCCAATGCTGAAGGCTGTGCGCGGTGTGAGCATTGAGTTTGCAGAATCTGCCTACGTAGAAGATGGTGTTGATCGGAACAATCTCGCGACCTTGCTGGTCCCAGTCGGGTTCGTCGTCGTTATGCTTGGTCGATCCGTCACCGTCGGAAGCATCATCGGAGTCTTCATCATCGTCGTCGTCGTCATGGTCGAGCTCCTCTAGAGTGGATGGGTCGTATGGTAGGCCTTGGAATTGGATTTCAAACGTGGCGGGATGACCGCTGCGGTTGCAGGCGTCACACTTGTCGCGCATGAAATGTTCGGCAGCGGTGCGGTCAATAGGGGAAAATGCGATCTCTGGGCGTGACTGGAGTGCTACCGTGAACTCTGGAGTCCATGCTGAAGAGGTGAACTTTGATCCGGCCAGACCGCGAACTTCGTCATCCAATTTCTTGAAAGCCAAGTTGTAGAGCTGGTCATCTTTCTGAAAGCCGGGGTTGATCTTTCGCTGGACCATCCAATCGACCGCATACTTGAACAGATCCTTCCCCTTCATTGATGCATAGCGAGTGAACTCAATGGGAATGCCCGTAGGCACTCCAAGCGGTCCTTCGTCGTCTTCCCCGTCCACGAGAAAGTCAGCGTCCTCGTCGTCCTCTTTGAAGAACTGCCGGCTGCTGGTGTATGCTGCCACCTCCTCCACTTCATCGGAAAGCTCTTGGACATCGTCTTCCTCGTCAATTGCGTCTTCTTGTTCTTCGTCTTCTTCTTCGACTTGCGGCAACTTTCCAGACCGCTTCTGCTTCAGTCGATCCAGTGCTTGTTGCCTCGCGTTCTTTGCGGCTGATTGACTGCTTCGCGGGTTTCGAGCAGACTCTTCGGCATCGCTGCTTGGACCGAGGAAGTCCAGATCTCCTGCCAGATCCTCCTGCTCCTGCTTGGATAGCTGTCGCGGCTGCTTCTTGAGCCGGCGTCTGGTGGGTGTCTTTGGCTCGTCGTCGTCATCATCTTCAGCTCTGTCACTTTCACTCGCTTGCCTGCGACGCTTCCTAGAGGGCGGCGGAACAATCTCCAGGTCACTGTCGGTGTCAAGAGCCTGCGGTGGAGAATCGTTGATGAAGCTGTCCCTAGAGCGAGCTCTCTTTCGCTTCCGTCGCTGTGTACCCATAGTCGTCGGCATTTCATCTTCGTCATCGTCGCTTTCTTCCTGAACCTGTTGTGGCCGCGGCCGCCTCATGCCTACAGTAATCTCATCGCTGTCATCCTCCTCCTCCGCGGCTGGCACTTTTGAGCTACGGGTCCCTCGCTGCTCTTGCTCTTTTACTTTCTCTGCCTTCTTCGACCGTGTCAAGACTGTCCCCGGCGACGGCAGATCATCCGAGGCAGCTGATGCGTCCGATTCGTCGCTAGAAATGTCCACGATTGGCCCTTGAACTTGCGAGCTGAAGATGCCACCCTTGGTAGACCTTGTACGGCGCGGTGAGGAAGAAGCGAGCTGGACCGGCGAATCGAAGGAGTCTGGGTCTCGCGCAGAATTGAAGTCGAGCTGCTTCTGCTTTGAGCGCGACTTTCGTGTAGGCGGTTGCATTGGTCGCCGCTGGGCAGAGCGGATGGGCTGGTCATCGCTATCCTCTTCATCCTCCGATTCCTTAGAGGCAGGCTTCTCTAGCGAGGTTGCCGGCGTGGGCATCGTGGCCAATTCATCTGGTGATTCGACATCATCATCATCATCATAGTCGTCGTGAATGACCTTACGTCGCTTCGCCGAGCTCAACACGCCTTCCAACGACACGTTTGCCGCTCTGTCGCGTATCTGCTTGTTGTAGCCTTTGGTTGCCGGAGAGGATGAGGGGAGTGGAGTGAAAGCTAGGCGGCTCTGGCGTTTCCGTGATCTCTTGGAGGATGGCATCCCGCACAGGTCTGCTGATGATACAGCGCATACAAGATAAATGTGAGCAGTGTCAATATGTCAGAGAGAGAAAGTGGTGATGTTTGGATGGTGTAGAAAGCAAAGCATGAAACGCGCAAAGGTGACGCCAGAGTAAGACGTGAACATGTGATTCAAAGCCACCTTCGCGAGGCATCGATCCGCAAGCGACTCTGGATCTTACGCTACACACAGGGCAGGCAGTGGGACAGCCATATGCCAAAATGGGACTTGGGCAGTTGCAGCTTGCAACATTGAGTATCAAAGGAAATCTCTGTCTCTCGCAACGACAAGATCTTGGCGTCATGTTGGCCGGCCTCGGCAGGCCGATGGCGGCCAGCAGCGGAAGAAAGGAAAGTGGGAGGGAACAGCCCAGGTGCAGTGGCTAAAGTGGGCTGTCCCACACTCTCCCTCTTTCCATGATTCTTTCCTTACATGCTACCACTTCGACTCACTGCAACGCATGCACCGCACCGTGCGAATGCCTTGTTCCTGGCTTCAGTATCTTCCACCCGACATCGACGATTGACACGGCAATCGCAGCCTACAATCACCAACACCAGCAACATGTCCTCGAACCGGGCTTCCGCGGATGATGTGGAGCACGTCCAGAGCACAGCTGTGCCCGGCGTGCAGTCAACAAAACAATTCCCTCCCTCCGAGAAGCCCAATGCCTGTTAGTTGAATCTCAATTCGTGCCGTGTCAGAAATCTGATAATGATGTCAAAGTCACAGAACTCATGAAACCCAAAAAGGAATCAGTGCCTGACGACACAGACTCGGCCTCGAAGCGAACCGTCTTTGCCAGACGAGATGGTCTCGCAGCTTACACAATTGATCCTGCCAGCTTTCCGTCGAGTCGTGTCGTGTATTACAACGACAAATTCACAGTCATCAATGACATGTTCCCAAAGTCGCAAATCCACCTACTCATCCTTCCACGCGATCCGAAGATGAATATATTACGACCGCAGGAAGCATTCGACGACCCTCAGTTCCTCGAGGAATGCAGGCGGGAAGAGAAGAAGGTCAGAAAGATTGTTGCGGAAGAGTTGCGAAGGAGGTTTGGCCAGTCCTCGAGGTCAGAGCAAGCGCGGATACAGGCCATGGAGTCAGAGGATCCCCCACAGGAGCTGCCACCTGGTCGTGATTGGGGTAAGAGTGTTAAGTCCGGAATCCACGCCAATCCTTCTATGAACCATCTTCACATCCACGTTCTGAGTGTCGACCATGTCAGCGAACCGATGAAGAAGACAAACCACTACCTCTCTTTCACCACCGATTTCTTCGTCGGCTTGGATCAGTTTCCTTTGGCCGAGGACGATCATCGAAGGGACTACAGGCATTTTCCGGAGGACATGCGTTGTTGGAGATGTGGAAAGAATTTCGGGAACAAGATCACGAGGCTGAGAGAGCATCTGACGGAGGAGATTGAGAAGTGGAAGAAGGAGTGACGGAGTCGAGTGGAGGCGTGAATGATTGCAAGCCTGCTCTTTCCTTCTGGCCTCAAGCGCAATAGGCGAGCACGGCGAGATCGGGCACGAGACAAGCAGTCTGAAATCCTTGGGATCGATGCAGTGGCTCTCTCGGCGCATGTTCCGGAAACCAGGTTGTGAATCACCTGAGATGTGTCGACGTGCCGCATGGAGCTAAGGCAGAATGTGGGTATCTCCAATGTTGCACTGCTTGCAGCCCCGACTGATACACACGGATATGGATAGACACCGCAATTGTCTGAAAGGCGGTCTTTTGACTTGTCTTGCCATGCTGCGCAGTGGGAAGACGCATCGCTGCTGACGTCGTTGCCGTCGCCTGGCTTGCACCAGTCGCGAAGGATGGTGTCGGCAGGTGAACAGTCACGCCTCTCCAGACGCGTGGTAGTGATTGCGACATCTGATAGCACTGCAATACACGCACGGTATACGCATAGGCAGATGTTGTGTGCGTTTGAGGCGCGAACAGGGCGGGCATCTCAGACTGACATCACATCCGCGGGTAATGTCTGGCCGACCTGGAAATGCGGAGGCAGCCGAGCAGTGGATAGGCCTGGGGTCTGCGGAATGCATGAACAAGCGTTAGCCGCCCAAACGGAGAATTGGGTACTGCGACAGTGCATGACTCTCGATTGATGCGGTTGGAGACGCGGAGGAGGGGATGCAGGCGGGAGGCCGCAAGACAGCGCCAGTGAATTCGACCACGTCGTCGTGTCTTGTCGCACACAGAGCCGCACGGTCCAGAGCTCGATTCCGAGGCAGAGCACAGAGAGTTGATCTGTCGCTCTGCAGTCGCGTGCAGGGCAGGGGTTTCTGATGTGATGATGCGGTGTGCACCGGGCACCACTGGTCGCTTCCACATAAAATATTCGCTGCTGCTGCGTCGCGACTCGCCGTCTTCGAGACAACACAAGACAGCACGACTGCGCAGTCGAGCCCAACGGAGAGATAAAGAAGAGTGCAGTCAAGAGCGCTTCACATCACATCCGCGAAAGAACAAGTCCGAATTTAGGTTGCAAACGCTACCCGCCCCGGACGGCTCGACCCTTCCCTCCCTTCCCTGGCCGTTCGGTCTTGGCTCGCGTCGACTTCCACCACTTCTCAAACTTCTTCACCCCCAAACGACAACCTCTACAGGCCGCACCTCTACTGGCATCCTCCATCACTACACCAAAATCAACCGACATCCCCATCGCAAGCTCCAATATCGAGCAACCGAGCGCTTTCCCGGCATCTCTTCGGACAAGACAGGAGGTTCGAGACATCCAGTGGCGCGTAAATCTTTTTACCGGCTTCTTCACTTTTCCAATTCACTTCACGCACCGGCGCCGCTTCTGCCCATAGACACTGCCTGCCGCTTTCCTTCTCAGCATCCGCGCTCATCAACACCGACCTGGATCCCATCCAAAACACCGCCAAACTGGCTCCAGCAGCGCTCGGCGGCTCCACGCCAGATATCGAAATGCCTTTGCACGGCTTGGGCAAGATGTCCCAAGATCCGATAGGCACGCCGCGTCGCGATGCTTCCTTTTCGAGCTCACTGAATGGACTGGGCAACGGGAACCTCTTCGGCGTTATTGGCGGTGGAGGCGGCAGTCGATTCTTTAACAACGGCACTCCAGTGAACTCTCACCCGCTCGGCTTGGATAGCCATACTTCCGAACTGTACACTCGCTTTGACCAGATCAAAGACGCGGAGGGCCAGAAGAATAAACTCATTGAGGTGAGTGCCCGTGTTCATCCCCATGGATCTCTGCCCATTACACCGCCTTTCCCATGCCGTTCGGGAGTTCTTCACTCGCATATCTGCTAGCCGAGATTCTGACGTACCATTTCTAGGAGCTCCTGAACCGTTATCAATACGTCCAAGAAGAGCGCGACGAGCTGCAGAAGGAGCTCTCTCAGGCTCGGCTCGCCTCAGCTTCCACCGCCGAGCTCGATCATTATAAGACAGCTTACAGCCAATGCATTTCCATGGTAAAGCAGGCTCCTTTTGTGCTCGTTCTTGTCGACGGCGATGGCATGATCTTCCAGAACTACTTGCTCCGTCTCGGAGAGTATGGAGGCCGCCAGGCAGCCGACATCCTCAAGAAGCGTGTCTCCAGCTGGTCTCGCACTGCCAACATTCCGGAAGCCTCCCAAATAGCAGTGAGAATCTACGCCAACTCCAAAGGCCTTGCCCAAACTTGCACGAAAGCGGGAATAGTCAACTCGCCTGAGGTTGTCGAAGACTTCTTCCGTGGGTTCACTCAAGGCGGCGATCTTTTCAACTTCATCGATGTTGGCTCTGGCAAGGACAGGGCTGATACCAAGATGAAAGGTAGGTGTGCCATAGTAACGATCGACTTTGCACTGTGCTGACTCGTCTAGCCGATTTCGAGCTGCATATCTGGAACGTCCACTGCCAACATATCCTTTTCGGCTGCAGTCACGACAACGGATTCGCACGTCTCCTCGAGAAATACGCTCTTGATGCCTTTGTAGCGCCTCGCATGACGCTACTGGAAGGAGTGCCTTTCGAAAAGGAGCTGGTAGCTCTCGATACCTACAAGACGACCAAATTTGAGGGCGTCTTCCGCGAGGCGAAGGTCGTAGTTGCTCCTGATCTTTTGACCGACTTTTCGCGTGGTCGGCAGGATTCTAAGAACGCCTTTAATCCCACGAGTGGCATCTTCACGCCAGCCTCTTCTCGGACACCTGCGCCTCAGACGCCTCTATTTAGCCCACGTTCTGGACCAGGCGTTGCAAGCCCAGCGCCGTCGGCATCTGTGTCGACGCGCCGTGAGCCCATGACTCGCACCAATAGCATTGCGTCGTCCAGCGCGGTCTCGGAGAGCCTCAGCACGGGTATTTCCAAGGAGAGCGTTACCAGCAGTGCCACTGGCGGCAGCGGCGGCTGGGCCAACATTGCACGCGCCTCTGCGACACTTCCTTACAAGGACTTGACCCGTCCTGCGCCGGAGCCGAAGATTGCTGGGCCAGTGATCCGCCAGAACAGGGCTGGGCAGCGCCTCGATCCTGATATGGCCTACGACCACGACAAGGTGTATGAGCTCAAGAAGCAGAAGTATTGCAACCAGCACTACATCGGACGTGGTTGCTGCCATTATGAGGCCGGAAATGGTGCCTGTCCACATAAGCACGACGCCAAGCTCAACAAGGACGAACTCAAATGGCTTCGCGTTGTCGCCCGGGAGACTGTTTGTAAGAAGGGCACCGCTTGCCTCGAATTTGACTGCATTTATGGGCATCACTGCCCCTATCCGAAGATGATGGAGGGCTCCATGCGCGGCATTGGTTGTATCAACGGGGATAACTGCCGGTTCGGGCGCGAAATGCACGGCATGGACACGCACGTCTACAAGACAATCCGGCCAGGAGATGTCGACGTCTAGCCTGCGTGATCTCCTCATCTCCGCCCAAAACCGAGCGGACAAAGACAACGGCAAGCCTTCAGTATGCTTGAGAAGGATGCGAGAGATGAGGATGGTTTTTTCCGCTTTCTGGCCTGGCGCGGATCAGATCTTTAGACTCCGCATAATACTCGATACCCATAACAATCGTGAGCAGTGGCAGGGCAAGGTTAAGAAAGAAGACTCTCGGCTTTGTAGCACTGACAATAATACGGTTCATTCATCATCTTGATTTGTCTTCATTCCAACTCAAATCGTGAACCTATAGATGTTTGATCATTCTCTTTCGTCATGCAAACAAGAAGCCGCGCCGGGACTCTTCTGGCCCCTGATCACATGCTATACCTAATCCAAGGATTCTCCACATCCGTGACATTCTTCTCGCCCACTTCCCTTTCCAGCCTCTCCTGTCCTTCCTTGGACACTCCGCCCCGCGCAACCTGGCCGCACGCTTGTTACTGGAGACTTGCTTACCAATTTGGAACGGAAGACAGAAAGGCATTGACCATGCAGAGCCAGAACCGTGGAAATCTGAACGCCTCACGGACTTGATCAAGGCCAGACCCATTTAACTAAGACCAGTCACATCACGCCGGGCCTTGTTTGTTCGGGACAATTCGAGAAGACTGTGCAATTGTTCCAATCTTCCTCGATCAACCATCTCACCTCGCATCCTTTGGGCTACCACGAAGAGCAAAAGCAGATGAGTGATAAGACAACGAACGGTACAGGCTCCGAGGAGGGAAAAAAGCGAAATGCAGCGCTATGCTGCGAGTTTTCCGTGCTTCGTGAGCGTGAAGCGCCGGTTCCATATATTGCCGAGGCTGGAAATAATGACACTCGATCGGTCGCGAGTGTGGTGCTTTCTTCTCGGATATTGAGGCCTTCGACAACCTCGACCTGCTCGACGATTTCCGGGCGAGAAGCAATTGCAATGAGATGTATTCTTGAGCGCGTTGTAGAGTCTCTCCCTCATCACCGAAAAGCATGATTCCATCTCACATTTCCCCGAGGGAGTTGATGCAGCATCCATCCTGGACCAGATAGGCGATTTGACTTGTCCGGAGGAGATGGCCAAGTAGACAGGGAGACAGACTATCTATCTCTCTCTTCACCCACCCCTCTGTCACACTGTGGCCATTCACCAACAATGCAGATTGCTTACCCAACGCCCATGTCGCGAGGCAACAGAGGACAGAAACGGCTGGAGGGACAAGCACTGTGAAGATGCAACCCGCCAACGAAGGAGAAGTCTGGATCGCGCGACTGGCAGATCAACTTGCACGTAGGATATACATGAATCCTAAGAACCGCGGAGTCTCCACGTAATGAAACGATACTGATCTGCTATAAATTCGAGAATATAATGATAAGAGAAGTGTGTGGTGGAGGAGAAAAAGAGCGATGGAAACGGCGGCGTCTAGCGGAAAGGCACTTCCGCTAGCTCCCGTGTGTTCCGAGTGGCTCTTGAAGAGGACCATGGAATGGTGCCTTGCAAGCATGTGAACGACTTCGGCCATGTCTCCCTTGATGGTGTCTTTTATTGCCTAAGCAGTATCTTCACCAGCGAACAAGAACAGCCACGAGCAGTATACGTACCGACAAGAGTGTCGAGAAGCCTGTCACAGAGCTTGCACAAAGGCGAGGTTTCGATTATTGGCGTTGAGAAGAGTGCGATCTCCCAGCACGTGTAAAACAGATCCTTTAGAGACCATGACGCAGCGTTAGGATGAGAACAGAAGGATCCCGTGGCGGACAACACGTTGCATTGGGCACGCATGTGATGTTCAAGTCCGTGCACATTCTCTTCCCCGTTAGCATGAGCACACCTATCGTTCGATGAATCTCTGCATATACTTCTACAAGCCCAAAGACAGGGCCCCGACCTATCACCGCAGAAGACTGGCGCAAGCGTCAAGAAAGTGCTGGGCATGTTACCCGATGGTAACGCTTTTTAATTTCGTACTTATCTGCTTTTAGCATGTCTCTGCTGTTGCTCTGATGCTCCGTGGTGTCGTGAGAACCAGACTCGCTGCTTATTGTTTACGTTCGTTGACCCATTGGAAAAATGCCGGCTCCAGCGAGGTTCACGTGGAAACACGACACTTGCTCGAATTTCTAGTATCTTGGAGGACCAGGAGCGTATCCGCCAGGCTGCTGTCCAGGGTATGCGCCGCCTTGAGGAGGACCAGGTGGACGGCCATAGCCCTGCTGGGGAGGATAGCCTTGTTGAGGTCCTCCATAATTCGGTGGTGGGCCGCCGTACTGCGAATTCGGCGGGGCGCCATAATTTTGTCCAGGAGGAGGTCCCTGCTGATATTGTCCTGGTCCTGGTCCATACCCACCGGGTCCTGGCGGCATACCTCCGGGCATCCCACCTCCCATGCTTGTCTTCTCATCCTTCGTGTCGTAGCTCGGGTCGATGGCGCCAAGAATGAGCTTGATCATCCAGAGATCTGGAGTCAGATCGACAGGAGGGTTAGCCCGAGCCATCTCTGCCGATTCATTTTCGTAGTCTGCAAGTAACAGGTCAGTATCGTAATCATCAATGGGACTCAATACGTCTGGTACTCACTAGACGTGCAGTCGACTTCGCGGCCAACCATCGGGTCGTTGTCGAGCTTCGCAAGGAACTCGGCGGCCTTCTGATCGTTGCCGACCTGAGCGAACTGGAACGCAACCGCGCCGGTGCCGTATTGAGAGCGTTGAGCAGCCTGAACAGCATACTGTACTGTCTCTACAAGCGCGTTCTGGTTCTCGCCAGCTGGCTGACCGTCCGTAATGCTGATAATGAGGAGAGGCTTGCGCATCTGTCCGCTGTTCAATTTCGGAATGAGAATCGGGTCAATGACCTTCCTGCGCAACTCGGTTCCGAAAGGCGTCAGACCCTTGTAACGCTTGCGTGAGAGAATCTGCTCAATCTGCTGCTCGCTGCGAATGTTCGAGATCTCCTGGACTGGAAGATCTTCGTTCATGAATCGAATCTCGACACCATCGTCATCGAAAAGGGTGGCCGCGAAAGCTGCTCGCTGCAGAATAAGCTGCAAGTCCTTGATACGCTCGCCGTTTTCCTCAAACGACATGGATCCAGAGTCATCGATATAGATCACGACGTCGTATAGCGCCAGCCTGACAATATCATTGGCGATCTCTTTCTGGATGCGCCAGGCCTGGCACAAACGATCCACCTGCTGCGCTGCACGAGCCGCAATCTGTGGCAGCTGTTGCGCGCCTGGTGTTCCTGGTCCATAGAATCTGTTCAGGCTCTGCTCTTGAATTGCGCGTTCGAGCTCACGCTGGTATCCTTGAACATCGCCCGGTCCGCTCGTCGAAGGAGGAGGTGCGCCATAACCGCCGGGAGGGCCTTGGGGCTGGCCCTGAGGTGGATATCCTTGTTGAGGACCGCCATACTGGTGCTGACCAGGCGGAGGGGGGCCGGAAGGTGGGGGTCCGCCCTACACAATCACCGTCAGTTCGTACTCTTCCTATGAGAATATACCAGGCGTGCGAAAGGTCGGATGTCACGAACGTAGCCGCCGTATCCCTGCTGAGGTGGAGGATATGGTTGGTTCTGGTAGGGAGCCGGGCTGTATGGTTGTGGACTCTGTTGGTACGGACTTTGCTGGTACGGAGACGCCTGGCCTGGATATGGGCTGCTGCCTTGCGGCCTGTTCGGCGGAGGTGGAGGCGGCCTCGAGTAGCCTCCGGGCGCGGGCGATCCATAGCCCCCAGACGCCTGATAGCCGTATGGTTGGTTTGGTGGCTGCTGTTGTTGAGGATATCCGGGCTGAAGAGGTGGAGGCACACCTGAAGGAGGGCCTTGCCCACCAGCGGCGCCGGCGAGTCGTGATGCGAGAGGCATACGCGAACGATCGATTGTCCAAGTCCAAATAGAGCAGATGTTGTCGTTGTAGGTCGGCAGTCCCAAGAAGTCGGTGCTGTAGGAAGAGAAGAAGCTAGACTCACCTGTGGTCTGAAGGCCTGGTACTGCTGTGATTGCGGTGCAGGACCACCGGCGAGGGCGGGCTGTGCAGGTGCAGAATGTGAGCATGCGTCATTTGCCGGATCATTCATTTGCCATCGTTTAGTGAGCCAGTGAATCTGCGCGGCCACCTACCTGCTGCTGTCCGCCAGGCGGATAGTTCGCAACAGACTGACCACCAGCTTGGCCTTGGCTAGCTGCTAATTTGCTCGCCAACTGTTCAGAATATCAGTATACCGCATTCGTGTGTGTGATTCCTCACGGTGCATGCGTTTCAGCTAGGTGGGGTTCCAGTGTGAGTGATGGCGGGGTAGGAAACTCACCCCCATGGTCTGTGTCGGTTCTTGGGCGACGGAAAGGTTCAGAAGAGTTTGTGTGTGTATTCCGAGAGGTTTAGACTGTGGCAATCGACAATTCTGAAATGAAAGTGGAGGATGGATGGTCTTGAAAGTGATTGATACTTGTCGTCCAGTTTCAGCAGCCCGGTGAGGCGCAGGGGTACGTACCTAAGCTCGCACAGCCACAACAGCGCCCACACGAACAAACACGAGACTAGAAGCAACAATGACGCAACCCAGACAAACATGTCCTTCAGCTTCACATTGGCAGATCCGCTTGATATGGCGTCTTTACAGTGCTATCGCTGAAGTAACGCCCTTCGATTTGCTGCAACTCTGGGTTTGGCCCGCACTCTTGGGAAGACAACAGTCTTCTGCAGAGACACTGGCTGCACTTTCATCACAGAAAGTCTTCGACGTTCGTGATTGACAGATGATCAAGCGACAATAGGCCGGAGACACTGCGGTGGACCGCAGAAGCGTATGAAGGGAACTCCCAATGATGAGATGGTCGTTACGGTGCCCAGGGGTGATCTCTTGCTGGGCAGATGCATTTCAACTTCGCACGCTGAGCGTAGTGCCACGCTTTCGTCGTGAAGACACACCACTTCGGGCCAAAGAGTTTCCAGCAGCAGCGTTAAGTCGCTCTTTCGAACCTCAATTGCTCATCTTTTGGAAGTCTTTCGCGCATTCTCCTGAATAGCAAAAGATGAATATCCCAGGCCACAGGCACAAGAATCCAGGTTTGTGTAGGAGTTGTGCTAGGGTTGCGCTGGCAACACTACTGATAATGCCCATGACCCTGCTGGAGCCCGTATGTATGCCCGCGTCGCTGATAATGTATGAAGGTATCTTGATCATCGCTGAGGAGTCCTCATCATGCAATAAAGCGTTATTGCATCGCCCTATGATCGATTTAGCTCGATGGAATCATATGGTGAGAATGGACTTCATGATACGTACGTGGTCGTCGCAAATCATCTCCTTTGCAAGTTCAAACCCCATCTTTTGGTAGATGGCCATGTTTGGCTCTGCTCTGCTACTCTCGAGATAGCACGAACGCCCTTCTCTGTCTGCCTGATCAGTAACATGCTGGAAGAGCAATTTGCCTACGCCTCTCCCTTGAGCCTCTGGGAGAACTGTCACGATATTGCAGAAATAGTATCCCTTCTCATCGTTCCACAGCTCTTTCTGCGCCTCTGCCTGTGCCGCTTTCCAAATGTAATATCGCTTCACGTTGAGACCACCACGACCATACCAAAGATTTATCCTCCCTTGTTCAAACCACAGCCACCAGTCGCCTAGATAGGCTTTCCATGTCTGCGGTGCGAAAGGATTGCTGGGAGACAACCAGCATGCTACGCCTAGCACTGTCCCCGATGAATCATCTGTATCTTTCGCGACGTGGAAGAGAGCATGTGACATTCCCCATCTGCATCGTATACTGAGACTGACGGAGTTGCGTTTGAGGGAGAAGTTGTCGCGATCGTTGAAGACCCAGTGGTTGTACGGATCTTCGGCGAACGCGTCCTGGATGCATTTCACGGCGCCGGGAACATCTTCTGCAGAGATGGGTGTGACTTTGATCGGCATTCTGGAATTCTTCGGAAGTTGTATTCTGGAGCCATGTGCTTTCCTGCGAGAGTCCCACCTCGTGATAGATAAGAAGCGACCTGAAGGCACCTAGCTCAGATGCCGTGCCGAGGAGCAGCCTGGAGACGCGAAGTTGAACTTCGAGGGAGAACTTTCTACCTCTGAATTCCTTCTCACCCATCCCTCCCACCGCCAGCACATGAGAGCAACTCTCTTGCGATCGAGTCCGTCGCCTCGAGTAACAGAATATTTACTCCGAAAAGGACGCATCCATCCTCGCAGCATGGCCGTGGTCGAAGTCGAGCAACCGAAAGAAGAACCAGAAATTCTAGCACCTCCGCCGAAAGTAGTCATCACTCCTTGCGATCCATGGCCACGACCGTATATCCTCGACGGAAACCTGAGAAGAGTCGCGCCGTATCATTACACATATAACACATATTGCAAACAACGATGGAGGGGTAGAGAGATTCTGGAGATCTTCTCCGATGAGTTCAGAGACCGACCAGTGGAGTACTACGTATGTACCAATCTCAAGAGAAGGCGTTGTGTGAGTGAACAGAAGCCTGACTGACACTTTCAGAAAGAATCGATAGAAAGCGGTGCGATTTACATCAACGGCAAGACAGTCCCTTCAACGTCGACTGTGGTCAAGAACGGCGATATTATCAGCCATACCCTACATCGACACGAGCCGCCTGTGACTTCGCGGCCGATTGGAATTGTACATGAGGATGATGATATGATCATCATCAACAAGCCGGCAGGCGTACCGGTCCATCCCGCCGGACGGTACAACTACAACTCGGTGGTGGAGATCATGCGAGCAGAACGCGGACACCAGTGGAACCCGTTACCGTGTAACAGACTGGACAGGTTGACGAGTGGCGTCATGTTCATTGCGAAGCATAAGAAGGCGGCTGAGAAGGTCACGGAGCAGTTGGTGGGCAGGACAATACGGAAAGAATACGTGGCGAGGGTGAAGGGAGAGTTCCCTGAAGGGGATGTCGTCTGCGAGCAGCCCATCCTACAAATCTCGCCAAAGCTTGGCCTGAACAGAGTGCGGGCGAATGGCAAGGAAGCAAGGACAGTGTTCAAGCGACTGGCATACTACCCGCCGAAGAATGGAATTGGACACAGCTACAGCATTGTACGATGTCGACCACTTACTGGGCGGACACACCAGCTGCGCGTACATCTCCAGTTCCTTGGACACCCGATCTCGAACGACCCGATCTACAGCAACCAAAAAGTCTTTGGACCGGATCTGGGCAAGTCATGTAGTACCGACGAAGACGACGAGGACATCATCAGCAGATTGTCGAGGATGGGCAAAGATGAAGTCGCCGAAGCAGTAGCATACCACGATGAGATGGTGGATGAGTATAATCGCAAGAAGGCGGAGAAGCTGACGGGCGAGCTATGTGAGGTGTGCAAGACGGAGCTGTATAGCGATCCTGGAGCGCATGAGTTGGGGATCTACCTCCATGCGAGAAAGTATGCGTGCGCGGAAGGGAAATGGAGCTATGAGACTGAGCTGCCGGAATGGGCTTTGCCTCCGCCTGGATACGAAGGGCCGAAGGAGACGACCACAGAGACAGATCCGTTGGCGGTCGACGTCGAGAAGTTGGATATGAATGGCAAGACGGAGGAGCAAGAGGGCAAGGATGCGACGACCGCCACTAGCTGATGTCCGAGTGTATGCAATGGTTTTTCCGGGGTAGGAAGTCACTCATCGACGAAGTATTGCGTTCGAATACCTGGAACCTACAGACTCTGGCCATATCCGACGGAAACGTCTAGACGCCGATCATTCTCTATCTCGGCGGTGCAGAGATAATTCAACGTCTGAACAGACCCTGCATTGGCTCTGTCGAGCAATATTGAGGCGAGTTAAGTCCTAGATCGGCTCTATGCTTTGCCAAGTTCAGGTTATCATGGCTAGTATTACACGCCCTTTCTCCGGGGGCAGTGATATGAATCTGTACAGGTTCAGGCCACATCTGACGGACGTGAGCAACTCTGAGAGAAGTAGCGGTAGATTTTCACATGCATTGCACCCGATCAGATCGCGGAAGCTTATTTGGATCTACTGTAGGGAAGTCGCGCCTTCCTACCTTCCCATTCTGCAACCCCGATCTCCCATCCTCGCACCTTCCTCGTCTTATCTGTAATTTGTTGAGAATTATTCTGCTTTCTTGTTCATTTCTGTTCCAAAATCCCTCTTCCCTAGAGGTTATCGTTGTCGTGTGGTGTGGTGTGGTGTATCGAGATGGCATCGGCTCAAGAACACCAGGGCCAAGCGGGCTTTGCACGCCCCGATCGTTTTACTATTGGCTTCGCGATTGCCATTGTCAGATCGAAGCCGCCAGAAATCAGTGTTGGCGGTATGTTCTGGTTGAGAGGACAAGGAGACAGTCGCTAACATGTTTCGCAGAATACATTCGCCTGTTGAAGCTTCACATCGCCAAGGGTCGGAGGCAAGATGCCGTCAGCACTGTCCATCGCCACCTCGACCGGTCTGCATTCTGGCGGTCCGAATATGAACGCATGAAAGACTCGTTCAAGAGTGTAGAAGACGAGGCCACGGACCTTCGCCGAGAGATCGTGGTGCTGAAAAGCGAGCTCAATGCAGCGAAGCCCGCAAGTTCGACCAAGAAGCGGAAGAAGGGAGTCGAAGAGGATACGCCTCTGCCACGCCCAGCAAAGAAGGGCAGAATTATTGCACTGCCTGTCAAAACAATTCTGATGCCCTTTGACCACCCTTCTGAAATAGAATTGTCGGAGTCCGGCCAGATAGGTATGAAGCTCCTGCTTGTCCACCATGTTAGATTGTCTAATGGACCTGGCAGGCAACGTTTTGATGCGACATATCTTTCGGATTCAGACAGCTTCGAAGCAGCATCAACACAGCGACGCTTCTGAGCTCGCCTATCACCTGCAGCAAGCAGTCGCGACGATTTCAGAACTCGTCCAGCGAGAGATTAGAGCATGTATGGACGACGCGGATTCCGACCGACTCAGAAAGACACTGGTTGTTATCACACGCTCAATTGTATCTGTCTTCGTCGGTTTCAAGAAACTCAGCTCCGAGGATGACGGGTTAACAATGCAAGGCAAGGTTGTCTACGCCGTTGTGATGATGTTCAAGAACTTGCTCTCCGGGATCGATACCATCTCTACCGCCGAAATAGAGAAGACAGTGGGGACTGCGTCCAGTGGCACAGCGCCCACTTCGAAGAATTCGAAAGGCAATGGCAAGGCTGTATCGACTCAGCAGTCACCAATGCTCAGCACCTTGACCAGCTTCATTGGAGATGTCGTCCATCTACTCGATGCCAAAGTCGAAGCCAACCGGGCTCTTTTCGAAGGCTTTACATACTGCACCCTTGAACTTCTCGGTGCTCGGCTCTTCTCATCGACATTTGGCCACATTAGAGCGTCGACAATCGAAGCGGAGATCAGGCAAGGCGATGCTCAGGACGAATCGACTCAGCAGCAGATCAGAGTGGAAGCTCCGTATTTGATCCATCTACTGCATCGAGTCATGTTGGCGGCACCATCACATCTCGGGTCTGCGATTACAAAGGGCGGCAAGCCGAGGAGCATGATCAAACACAAGAACTCGCCCAAAGACGCGCTCGCAGTCGCTGCGGGACAGTGTTTGCAGAGGACGCTGGTGAACAGTATCTTCGGTACGGAAGGTATCGATGAAGAGGATCCCTTCATGGATTGCTTGAAGATGCCGAGCGCTGCGGGAGGCCCTGTTTCCATGCCGAAAGGCAAGGACACCGATTTCCAGGAGTGGTACAAGGAGGAAGTGTGGCGCTTGCTTGGCTGGGAGATTCTTGCGAGGGAGGATGGGTTGCCAAAGAAGGCAGAAGACGCTTGAGCTATGGGAGGATCTCTTCTGATCGTAATCTTGATGCAATTTGATTTGGCAGCGATGGAAATTTTCATGCAGGGTTAAGAGGCAGTGTATTAGTTGTAAGATATCTCATTGATCATATGGCAATGGAATTATGCCTTGCTGCACCAGTTTTGCAAGTCTGCCGAATTAATCTTGTGAGTCGTTTCAATGAGATCTTCCGCAAACAATCGGTCTTTTGCCGATGCCCTCGACACCTTGTGATCTACGTTATCGTTCACTGGATGCGAACACAATCTTGAACGGTTATTGAGTCCGAATGCCGAACAAAACGAAGGCGACAATTTTGCCCAAAAGACAGCACGAAGCGCGATCATTCCAGCTTCTTATTTCAACACACGCCATGGCAGCAACCTATTCTTCTGTGCCCCATATCCATATATACCTTCTTTGGAGGAGCGAGAAAAAAAAGGGCAAAAAGAGAAGGTCCTGCCCGGAATCGAACCGGGGTTGCCGGAAGACTCTTGTATGGCAAGCATTTTATGCTGTGCCCGTCAGAATCCGAAGTGCTAGCCCCTACACCACAAGACCGCTTGCTTTGATTGGTTCTGGGGAAAAATTGGAATATATATAACTTTATATTTGATGGGGGTGGGGTAGGCTCGCTGACGAACAATACTAAGATCCTCCTTGTCTAATAGCAGCTCACAAGTGTTAGAAGCGGCGACCAGGTTCTTCACAAGCATTTTCGGCTGGTGCGGGGTCCTCAAAAACTATGGAGATGTTTTGACGCGATGGTTGAATATATTGGGACATACTATATCGTCATACTGAGACATCACTGGAAGTGTTATCGTTGCGTCCCAGTAGATCCTTCCCGACTGCCTGACACCCAGAAGCATCCAGATAGACTGTACGTCGTGTAATGCCGATGACAGGAGAGTGCAGAAGACTGCTCCCGAAAAGATAGGCAGACATGATTGATGCTTTCCACCCTGCAACACTCTACGCAGGCTTCTATCCAGAACTCAAATTGACATCGCTCGCTCCAATATGGTTACCTTATCTTACCTCTTTATCAACGCCCTCCAATTCCACAAGCTGAAAGAAAGAGAGAACGCTAATTGGAGGCAAATCGAGTCAGATACTTTTTTCCCGGTCGACTCTCAACCGAAGCTACATCACGTCGTTATCAGCCCAGCTGGGGAGAGCCCCTCCTCAACAAGACCATGGGCCATTCCACACCTTTGTCTCCTGTCTCCTCACTTCAACCTTCTATCAACTCTGCATCCTCTTTGGATTGATACGAAAAACAACCAACACGTATCTCCCACAAGGATTCTTCATTTCGTTTTGTGATTACCGAACGGTCTTTGCTCCACGTGCGGAGATGCTGTACATTTGACCGAGCAAATAGTAGGAGATGAACATCTTGCACGGAGGAAAAGGTCCCACCAAGAGAATAAGTACCTGTTGAATAAGAAGAACGCTGCCACCTCTGCACATTCCAAGATCCGAAACCCATGCAAGATACCATCCCAACGCTCCAAAACCTGGGACTGACAACACTCATATCGTCGACTTCGCTGTGTCGAGTCTTTACGCTCCCAAATAACGCTCAATCATGCAGATCCTTCCGAAAGATGATGACGACCTTGCAACAGGCATATCATCCGACAAAGGAAAGTGGAGAGAGCCTATCTCTAGTCATCGACAGCGGCACCGTCGTTCGCCGGATTCGAATCTAGTGTCATAAGCGGACTCCGAGGACTGGTGCTGCTCTTCTTCGGACCTATACCCATGACGTGCGCGCTAAGCTGGTCGATGCTGCCCTGAAACCACCCAGTCTGCGGATCGAATTTGGGTGAAGGCGAATATCCTACCCAGCCGCCCTCCTCGAGCTCGTCTTCGTCCTGAGAAGTCTGGGAGTCAGCGCCAGGACCACCGAATCGAAATTCGTAGACCTCCGACCGGTTATCGTCCGACTCCGAGTCTGATTCGGTCCCGTCGACGCGGTAGAAAGAGTTGTCTTCGCCGTCCGAACCAGGGAAACCAGAGACGACATAGTCATCTTCGACGTCTTCATCCACTGGAGTTGCCGAGTCCTCGTCGTCGCGCGCAGCCTTCGCCGCTTGTCCGAGCGCGATCTCGTGATTCACAACACGAAGCTCCTCTTTGAGTCGACCTCTCAAGAACGAGCTCTGCGCAGTCTCGATCTGAAGTTCTAAAGAGCCGGCAGTAGCGATAAGACGCTCGATCTCAGCGTCGATTTCGGTTGACTTTGCACCAGCTTCAGCAGACGAAGAAGCTGGTGAGTATGTGGAATAATCCGGAGCCAGGACATCGTCGAAAGCATGGCGAAATTCCTTTGCATGGCTGGGATTAGGGATGGCAAAGATGACTTCGTCAATGCCTTCCCACTGCTCCGAATTGGGTCTTCGCTGCCGTGGGCTCCCTGCAATTACTTTCCGCCAAAGTTTCGCGACTTCCTTGACAGGATGGTTCAGTCCTCCGCATCCCCATGCACCTAGCACCAACTGCTTCGTGCCCTTCATTTGCGCCATACGCATCACGGCCCTCATCTTTCGCACCATCATATCGCGATCACGGTCGCAATAGCTGACGCCGCATGAACAGCTACTTTCCCGCTCATCGTAACGTCCTCTCACCTCGGGGTGTCGAGGCACACCAGCAGTAATTACATTAACGAAAAATCGGTCACGTTTGGGAAGCTCCAGGGCGTTCAAGTCTCGGAAGACCATAACGTCGGGCGTGAAGATGCCACCGAGGTCCGGCAGCGGATACAAGTCTTGATACAGAGAAGCGAAAAGTGTTGTCCGGGCGCACAGAAACTCTTCCTGACTATTCGAGCCGTTCAAGAATCCTCCACCCGGGCGGCTAAGCGAAGCCATATTGTGAACGGTAACGGTAGGTCTGGCATCGCTGCCTTTGAGATCGTCGAGCGTTCTCTTTTGTGTTGCATACGGCCGTTCCGATATACGTGATGCTGCTTCGAGCGTGTCTGCATTTGTCACGCGAATCGACAGATCGGGTCGCGAAATGGGGGCCGCAGGGCCAGTGGGAGTCTTGACGACTGGCTGAGGGTCGTCGATGAGGTCTGCTTGTGCTATGCCATGCTTTGCCCGTGGACTTGATCTTAGAATCTCTGGGATTGATCTGTAGGCCGTGGCCTGTGCCCTCTTCTCTCGCTCTGCTCTTGTCATCGCATCAGTCAGTCGAGTGAGCCGGTCGGAAGTCGGAAGTCGGTATTTGGAAAGTCAAGATCGTTTCTGTAATGGAGGAGACTTGCAGGCCAGAAGCAGAGGCTGATAAAAGGGGAGGCGATGACGGCAATGTCACGAGGGTGAGGACAGCGGACGGTGGCTGTCCTCAGGGTCGGTATTCGTCGGTCGAGGTCGTCGTTCGAGCGCATGTGAAAGCTGCGCCTGAAGTCCGGATGTACCACCACCGCAGAGTGCCAGGTGGTGTGTGGGCAAGCCAATGGAGTGTGTCTCGTGCTCAGCTCCACTTTCAGCTGCCGATTTCGCAGCAGGAACGAATCTGCAGACAGGCGAAGCTGCTTGTCAGGATTGATACGAGGCCAGGAAGTACGCCAGCTTCAGAATCAGTCGTGGGCGCGTGTGAAGGGTGCTGAAAGACTGTGTGAATGGAGAAAAGAGGCACAAAGACAAGGCCATCACGAGGCTTCTCACATCTCCGCGATGGCCGTCAACCTACCGAGCTGCGGGTGTTGAACCGGGATTGGCGCTGGTCCGAGGATGACGGGACTTACATGTGAAAGGCTCGTGCGCCGCGAAGCTAAAATAGCAGCGGGTGTGCGACGCATCAGCCGTTTCGGACGCTTCGTTCCTGTCCACAGATCCCTGATGCCGCCATCTTAGAACGCGAGAGAGATCTCGTCAGCATTTCCCTGACGCTGCCAGGGTTTTCACCTTCGAGAATTGTGTTTGCTGCCCTCGGCGAAAGCGGTTCTCGTCGCTCGGTGTTTCAGCCCCTCTGCGTTCGCCGAGACGCGAGAGTGCAGTTGGCGCCGTGTGCATTTCCGGCTGTCGCGATTTGAATCGGGACACCGAACGACCGAACCATTGGAATGATGAAATTGCCTTTATTCGCCTACCTTACGTCTCCAGCGTTTCTCATCCGACGCGGCTGAGATAGAATAGGAAACCCGATTGCTGCAAGGAAAGCACATTGTTTGCGCATGTGAACAACAAACAGCCTATATCGAGATCTGTAAGGTAGCCTTGTGATCATGCAGCCTTGTCTCGCTGCATCTCCTTGTCGCACGCGTCGTCCATTCTTCCTAGTGCAGTGCATCTTTCAAAGAGACTTTGCGATCAGGAAAATGATAATGAAATGGAATGTAAAATGTGTGTTGTCAGGCAAGGCGGCACACACGACACAGCCTGCAGGTTTCCAAGTCTCCGTCATTGGCTTGGCGCTCCTCTCCCCACCTTCCTAGCTCTCCGTCAAATGTCAGTCCATACACTTGCAACTTGCACGTGAGAGACTACACACCACTAGCACCGTCAGGCAGGGAATCAGGAAGATATGCCCGGCGTGATGAGCGCTCCACCACCTGTTCCTCCCAAGGAGGCCTCCTACACTCCCATCACCCAGTCCAAACCTTTCCTCTCCTCGCTCCGCTACCCCAGCAACCGCAAGACTATCTACGATCGCAACCTCAACCGCACGAAGACCACGGAGATCTCGCTTGCCTCATTCTCATACCTCTTTAACACGCTCATAACCTATCATCATGCCAAATCCGGCTCCGTCAGTGAGATCGAATCCCGCCTCAACCGCGCCGGATATCCAATTGGCATCAAAATGCTCGACCTTCTGCTATACCGACAATCTGCGCGCTCTGCCTCTCGACCAACGCGGATTCTAGATCTACTACAATTCATTCACGGGAACTTGTGGCGGGCACTGTTCAATAGAAGCGCGGATGCTTTGGAGCAGAGTAATAGCAAGAAGAACGAGTACATGATCATCGACAATGAGCCGTTGGTCAATACGTTTATCAGCATACCCAAGGAGATGAGCCAACTGAATTGCGCGGCATTCGTGGCGGGAATCATTGAAGGGATGTGCGATGCGGCGGGATTCAGTACTGAGGGGGTAACAGCGCATTGGGCTGGAGAGGGAGATGAGATGTGGCCGGGCAAGACGATCTTCTTGCTGAAGTTCAAGGAGAGCGTGGTGGAGAGGGAGGAGGCAATCAAGGCTGGAGGAGGATAGATCCGATATGGCGCAAGGGAACGACGTTTGATATGAAGAGCACACTCTACGGGCAACCGCCTGGCTACCAAACTACACCAAACGGAGCTTCTATCGGCGCTGCTGCTCTTACCCAGCTCCCCAAGTCTTTGACAATATCCATATCCGTGGTGTTGTCGATCGCCTCAGAGCCATCGAAGAGACCATCCGCGACCATCGTAAAGGAAGAATCGGCGCTTTCGCCCTCTGGACTCAGTCGAGCTGCTGCAAGCAAGTCTTCCCACTCCTCCCGGAAGGAAGTGCTTCCCAACCTCAATAACTTCGTGCCCAGGAAGTTGGTCCACCGCGAAGAATACATGCAGCACCACTGCATTACTACTCGCTCCAAGATGGGCCTCTCGGATCTTACTAGCATCGATGAGCTGTCCGCAAGGATGTGATCTATCCACAAGCACATCGCTTCCCTCTCGACGTCATGCACAGGCAACAGGCTGCTTGTCCTTTGCAGCATGCCTTCAATCAATGCCTTCCACAGTCGTTTGTTGGTAATGGAGATCTGCTTGAGCAGATCATCCCATAGCATAAACGCACCATCCAAAGACGAGCCGAGCCTGGCAGACGTTAGCGTCGTGCACATTACAATAGAATAGAAAATAGACATACTCTCGCTTTGAGGGGCACAGAAGCCTTTCTTCAACCAACACGTTTACGAATGCATCCAGCCTCGATGGACTCTTTCCAACAAAACTCGCACATGTTTCCGCCATCTGCCCAGCAGCGTCTTCCTGCTTCCCACGCTTCTTACTCCTCAGAGCCTCGAGGCGGGCGGACCTATACGTCTTCAAGATCTCCTTCGCCTGCGTTCTCAACTCCGGCAAAGCAGTAGTCAGCTGCTCCTCGGACTCAGGCTCTCCCAACCGACTCCAATACAGATTCCACAGCCACTCCAGAGCTTCCTCCGTAACTCTCACCAATCGCTGTAAAGAAGGCATTTCCTCATGCGTTGCCTCATGCCTCAACGCCACAAAATGACTCGGCAAACCAATCTTGTTGGCTATCTCCAACATACTGCTCGGCTCCAGCAATCGTTCGCGATTCCTGCCAATATCGCAGAAACCGGTAACGAAGCGTGTGAAAGCTGCGCTGTACACTGCTCGGACGCCGAAGGACGAATTACCTGGGACTTGTTGGTGGAGGAGAGCGTCTGTGAGGAGTGCTGTGGATTCTACGGCGTGAGGGAGGTTTCCGCGCATTTTCCAGGACATGATTTGATTTACTGCGTCGCGGCGGGAATTGTCGATCTCTTCTTGCGAGTATCGTTGGTTGGTGCCAGATAGGTTGTAGAGTTGGTTTCGGACACGGAGGAGGTCGGACTGTGAGCGCCATGGTGTGATCGTGTATCTTGCCATATAGTTCTGAGGAGTATTTGGATCGATTTGATCCAACTATCTCAGGAATCCTGGCGTGCCTGGGCTTGTAGAAGCTCAATCCTCCTTAGAAGTTCGTATGAAGACGGCTACATGGACCCAGACAAGCCCTGAGAGTGACTGTTGTGCTTCGATAGCGACTCCTCGGATCGATTGTCGATGAATTGCCTCCTGCGATCACTTTCTTCGTTTTACTGTGTTTTGGCTCCTGGGAAAGCATGTGGAGGTGTCTTCACGAATCGTAATTTCTCGACAAGCTTTTAGCTTTCGACGGCGCACCCGTCCCGCGTGCCCAGGTGCCGACCCCAGATGATCCTTGCAACGCGCTTGCGGAACGTCATACAGATCCGAGGCTTGCAAAGTGTCGTCCTTTCCCAATCATGCCGCTGCTCGTTTCTTCGAGAGAGCGCAGAGGCAAGTCGCCGATCCTTTCAAGAACGCAGAATCGAAGATGACAGCAAATGAGCCCTGGGAAGCCACCAATGGCGCCGACAATCACAACCAATTCGAAGATGCATTCGGGCAACAAGAGGTGCGGGTTGTGGGAGCTGTGGAACAAGTGAAGAGACGCTGACTTTAAGAGAAGAAAGATGCGGTGCGGACTCATTCAAGCGACAGTGAAGGAATATCGGAGCAGTTAGAAGTCATATTTGACAAATCAGATCCCCAGAGAAGGCGAGCTTCGCTAGTACCGCCAGACCCATCACAACGCCCTTCCACGGGCAGACACAGGACATCATGCTTCGTGCATTCGCTACTGGAGGCGAGGGCTCAGGCTGGAGAATATACCATCAAGGAGGAGGTTCTTGAAAAGCCGGACGACAAACACACAGAAAGTCCGGACACCCAACGGGACGGGCAGCATCATACGCAGTCAAGGCTTTTGACAAAGAAACAATTGTCTGATATGGCACTCGGCATAAGAGAACTCTCGAAGAAACTTGGCCATGTTCGTCTACTGCTGAAAGTGCGCAACGTATTCCTGCTCACCAAAGCGCACGACCAAACCTTGATCCAAAAGACAAGAGACGTGACCGAGTGGTTGTTGCGACAGAAGAATGCAGATGGGAACATGTACACTGTCTGGGTTGAAGATACCATGCGGGAGCACAAGACATTCGATGCCGATGGTCTTCTAGCGAAAGACCCCTCATGGAGAGATCGGCTAAAGTACTGGACGAACGAACTCTGTGCAAAGAAGCCGCATACTTTCGAGATATGTCTAGCTTTGGGCGGAGATGGGACGGTCCTATACGCCTCTTGGCTTTTTCAACGGATCGTACCTCCCGTAATGTCCTTTGCGCTCGGCTCTCTAGGCTTTCTCACCAAATTCGACTACCAAAAGTACCCAGACACCTTGAAAAGAGCGTTCTACGAAGGTGTTACAGTCTCTCTCCGGTTGCGATTCGAAGCGACCATTATGCGATCAAGGCGGAGAGAAGATGAACATCAACAGAGCCACCGGGACCTGATCGATGAACTGATCGGTGCCGGAAGCGACGATGTCAGCACGCACAAGCCCGACGGCTCTCATAATATTCTTAATGACATTGTAATGGATCGCGGCCCCAATCCAACCATGTCCAGCATCGAAGTTTTCGGAGATGATGAGCATTTCACAACCGTCCAGGCCGACGGAATTTGTGTTGCGACCCCGACTGGATCAACAGCATACAACCTCGCGGCAGGAGGCAGCCTATGCCATCCTGATAACCCGGTCATTCTGGTCACCGCAATTGCGCCGCACACGCTGAGCTTTCGACCAATCATCCTACCTGATACTATTGTATTGAGAATAGGTGTTCCCTATGATGCCAGAGCTAGTTGCTGGGCATCTTTTGATGGCAAGGAGAGGTGAGTCCTGTTTCCATAATACGTCCTCACTTGGTCGCTAACGACTTCATCGCAGATCCGAGCTCAAACCGGGCGACTATGTCACCATCTCTGCAAGCCGATTTCCTTTCCCAAGTGTGTTACCTCTGGATCGAAGAAGCGAGGACTGGGTTGACAGCATCTCTCGCACCCTCAATTGGAATAACAGACAACGCCAGAAGGCATTCGATCAGGGCCACAAAGAGGCAGGTGACCCGTCGAGATAGATGATTTAACGAAGCGCAATAGGAGATGACAGCATGAAACGGATCAATGAAGACACGAGCAATTTCTGGTTCAGTAGCTCAAACATTTACTTCTATCCGTCAGATGATACAGATCGTCCACCCTATTACGCTCACAGGGATACAGAAAGTCGAGACGCGGGCGGTAAGAGCATCAACGAATTTAATACATTACGACCATCCGGTTATCGCCGAATGGATGAAGGTTGGTGTACTACAACGGCTGTACAGGATTCACAACAGCATCGACCTGGCCTTCTCCATACGATCTGAGCCCTCCGACATCGCATGTTTCCGGTTTCCTGATCCTGCTCCGTCATCATGTGATAAGTCAACTCGTCTAATTCAAGGAGTGCTGGAGTGTAATTAGTACTCGAAACCCTGACGTGGGCGCCCATCTGAGACTCACTTTGCGCCCGACTTCGACGGTAGGCCTATTCACTTTTCTCCGCCGCCCAAAGCGCCTGAACCTCCACGCGGTCTTCCTCCGACATCATGGCAAGCGCGGCCTCTCGCTTCTCGACTGGAGTTTTGACGGGACCCTCCATGTTTTCGACCTTCGGGTATCGCTTCGTGATCTGGGTGATGCCAGAGCCTCCTCCACTACTACTTCCTGACTGCGGTGGCGGTGGTGGACAAAAGAGGAAAGCAAGCAATGGAAAGAAGCATGGAGGTGGGGGAGGTGGGCTGAATGGGGCGGATTGGCAAGGTGGGCCGCATTGGTAAGGAGGGTAGTGTGGGAAGGCAGACGCGGTGCCTGCTGCTGCGACTAGCAGAATGGAGGCGAGGAACTGCATTGCACTGGCTTTGTCCTATGGGTGGTGGAAGTTAAAGGGCGGGTGAGGTTCGAGGGTCGGGTGGTACCACGAATGTCTGGCGGCTGGGTTGATCAGAAACGACTGTGGTTATGAGGTAGCAGTGAAGGAGCAGACGGAGTGCTATGGGACAAGAGGTGCAGTTCTTATGAGAGCTGCTGCGGCGCCTGAATATCTTTCCTCCTCCTCGGTGGTGCGGATCTGGACACTCGCTGGGTCTCATGATACATGATGCCTCATCTACGCTCTCAATAAAGTCTGTTCGTGGATTGCTATCTGGATCCTAGCACAAAGCGCTTGCACTGATTAACCTGTCTTCGTTCCCCTTGGGCAGAGAGGGAAAACGGCGAGCATGATACTGAGGCTCCTCCAAAGCTGATCAAAGCCAACATGATTGTCAGCCTTCATGAGTGATATGCTACTCCCTGACGACAATCGACTCTGAAAACAAACATGAAAGGGTGTCCATCCATCTGGTCCCCACGCCCTCCTCCTCCTCCACCAGGAACAGTCGTGTGACCGACCATCAAATCTGCTGCAACCAAGGATCCAAAACTCTAAAGCATATACACAAACCAGACTTCATCTCTCTGCTCACCTTGCCAAGCAGTGGAGGACAGGATCACTGGTATCCGTGCGAAAGATTAAATGACATTATTGCACAGGTACATGCTCACTTTATATTACTACACTCGGCCAATGTTGACTTGTGGTGGCATGACTTCGAAGGTGCTGATGGCCGTTGCGAAGGCTATTCTTTTCCCGCCGCACATATGATAGTCCAAGTTCGTCTGGCTTCTATTTCTATGCAACCGAGTCGACGCACGACAAAAGGATGGCCGAGGTATGCCAGTGGGATGGAGGGGAATACGAATGGAAGAGGTCCAAGAGAAAGTATGCTGGATTGCTCATTGACATCTTGCGCCGTAGCTTTTCTGCCCGCGTCCACTCTTGAAGCTCCAGATGAAACACCATCGTGGCTTGCCAAACTTGTCCACGTCCTATGCCAAAGTCCGATAGATACGCCCCTCGCATTAGGTAGGCACGAAGAGAGCGGTCGTCCCTATCGTCCCCAAACGACTTTTCTAAACAATCACGTAACTCTCCGCAACAGACCTCACATCCTTGCCAAAGCCCACATCCTGGTTCATGTTCAACAGGCTGACGCTAGTCACATCGATATCCACCCATGGCCTGCTCTTGGCAAACCGCACCTGCATCGGGAAGAACTCTCCTTCAGAAGATGCTTGTGCTTCGAATTCGAAGCTGCCGCTGGCGTTGCTGTCGTCCACATCGCCGATGGTCCAATCAATGCTGTCGCCACTGACCTCGTAGACAGCATCAAAGCTGGAGACCGAGGGCTCAGACGTCGCGTACGGAATAATCACGGTAACATCCTTCAGAGGATCGGAGCCGGTGAGTTCGTATTCGACCGTGATGCTGTAGGTGTTTGCTGACATTTCGGAGGTCCAGACTGTAAATTTGATGGGCGGGTCCGCAATGTCGTCGGGCTTGGCAGCGAGACGCCAGCGCATCACTTGAATGCTGTTGTTGGACGGGAAGCCCTTGCTGGTGTCGCTGAGCTGGATGGTATTGTTGTTCTTGAACTGGGCTTTATCGACCTTTGGATGTGCGTTGAGCTGTGCACCCTTGGTGTCGCCCACAGCTAGATCGAGCTTGACCTGCGTGAGGCTGGAGTCAGTAATTCGGAGCTGCAAGTCACCCTTGACTTCGAAAGACTCGATGGCGCCTTCTCTTGACAGCTTCGCGGAGATGGCCTCGGCGACGGTAATGTGAATGCCTTCTCTGTCGATGCTGCCTCTTGTCGCTGGCACAGAAGGTTGGACCGGCTGAGCAGAAGGTGCAGGAACACCAGCCAGAGGAGTATTGGCCTCTGCCTCCGGCCCCAAGTCCCCTCGGACTTGCTCATACATTGAGTTGGACGTCTTCTTCTTGCCCAATTGCATGCCCTTTCCTCTTGTTGCAAGGGGCTTGCTGAAAGATTGGTTCTTGGCGGCATTATACGAATCATAAGAGTCGGTCATGGTGGGTGCTGTGGGCGGAGGAGTGTATGAAGTGTATGATGATGTCCGTGGCATGCCTCCCATGCTGCCGCCGCCAACTCTGGTAGTGCGGGACATCTCTTTGCGCTGCATCTCGAGCTGCTTGGCCTTCCGTTTCCGCTCCTCTGAAGCTTCCAGCTCCTTATTCCGTGCAATGATCTCCTGAATGCGCTCCTCATGGGACTCCATATCCAGGAATGTCTTGATTTGGCTCAATGTGAGATTCTCCCTGTAGCCCAACGTGACTACCTCGTCAAAGGCAGACAAGAGCTCATATGCACAGCGAGTGATCTCGCGCTCGTCCATGCTCTTGCATATCGATCCGACAACCTGAGCAAACAAGTGGAGGGTGGAGATGTCCTGAAGAATGTTGGACTGGCGATTGGTGATGAGGACCATGTATAGCTCGTCCAGCGGCTGGTACACAAATCGCACGTTGTCCTGTTCGACGGTCGTATGTTGAGAAGCAGTATCTGCCAATTTCGGGAACGATGCCAGCAGTGCCTCGACTCGCGATCGCTGCATCTGGCGGAATTGTCTGGCGAGAATGGGTTTCCCACTGCGGGTGGTGATGGCTGCACTGAGGACCACCTGTGCATATTGTATCAGCGCATAGTACTTATTTCGAGTGAATGTGAACGTACCATCTTGACTGTATTGTGTTTAGATCAGTACGAGGGCGAATGTGTGTAGGTCAATGGTGAGTCGATCTTTCTCTGCTTCTGTGGTGAGCGTAACAGGTGTCGCTGAAGTGTCCCTGGCTGGGCGCGTGGATCTTCAAGGGGCACGTGCACTTGCCGCACAAAGACGCTTGCGCTTGCAGCAACGACACTTCTTCGGGCAACTCCTTCAATTCGACTCCTTCCACCTCACTCACACATGCGACTTTCCAGCCTGACAACTCTTCCTCCTCGTGACTCACCATCAACAGCAACATTCAACAAGAACACTCCGACCGCCGCAGTCAAATCGCCACCTCCTTTGCCCTCCACATCTCGCGCCGCACCCTCCTCGAGCCTTCGAATTGGCCGCGCCTGCCACACTACGCGCGACAAACGACGTGTCTATCAGCCCGTCCCTCATTCTGCCTACTTAACAGCATTACACAACCTACTGGTAGACAACAAACGCGTCTGCGAGCTGTGTCTCGCCCCAGATCTCCATGACCATGGCGTCGATGGCCTTCACATCCCTGGCAGCCCCAGCACACGAAGACAACATGGAGATGTCGTCACCAGCTGCGAACAATCTCTATGATGATGACTTAGACCTTGATATTCCTCTCGAAGACAATCACACTGACGATGAACGCATGCTCGAGGACGGCGAGCCACCCCGGCCAGGCATGGCTACCGACGAGGAGATGGGTGACGATGACCCAACTTTGAACACACAAGTGACCGAAGAGGAGATGCAAGATGACCCACTTGACGGCTCCTATCTACATGATTATCAGTACGATGAAGATCTCATAGACTATGACGATGGCTTCGCAGATCCAGCGCAGAGCAGTATCGACAACGCCAACGTTCACAACGCCGAGGGCAGCTTCGACTTTCCCGGCGCGACAGAAGACGTAGATGAAGAGACAGTGCGACAGCCAGAACAGCGCTCTGTGGAGCCTGTCGAAAAGCCTGCCGCAGTCGAAGCTGAAGAGACCACTGAAGTAGCGCCACCACAGGAGGAACCGGCGACTGAAGCCGCTGACGCCGTGGAGGCGACCATCACACAGTCCGCACCTGACGATGAAATTCACACAGCCGCAGAGGCCATTGAGACCGCTGTTACAACAGGTGACGCTGAGGAGCCCGCGCTCGAACATGTACCGGCTGAGGAGGAGAGTGGAGAAGCTGCTGCGTTTGCAGAAGATCAAGACTATGACGACGAGAGCAGCTTTCACAAGCCTCCTCCTCAGCTACCGGGTACTCTAGATACGAGTCTCGGTCAGGCTCTCGAGGGACCACCCACGCCTACTGATACCGGCTTGCATCCCATGACGGTCAAGTTTTCGGATTATAAGATGCCTTTATTCAAATCTAAGCGACAAATAGATGGTCTTCTGAAGGACGACAACCTCGCGAGCGTCAGCTTGGCGGACCTGCTGCAACACTGTCGACAACGAATTCTGATCAAGATAGGTGAGAACTGCGTCACCACACAGCAAGATTTGGTTCTGCACTTCGAACAGCTTCATCTCTTCATAAACGAGGTACGTCTCAATTTGCGGCAACGTGGTAAGAGCATCGAGCTAATTGTTTCGCAGAACTCCCATTGCGCATCAATCACGAGTCTCAACGATGTGCTGGATGTGTTCACCAAGTTTCATGAGAATGCAGACTCCGATGTGCCGCCACTGTCCCTGTTTCTCCAAGTGCAACCAAACTTCACCAAAAGCATGAGCGCGCTGAGGCAGGCAGCTGCTGAAGGCAGAGATCTCTCTGAAGTATTCCAAATTTCAAACGATACCACTAATCACCGAGATGAGTATGACGAAGACTACAAGGAGGAAGGCTATGGCGAATCTCAAGAAAATTCGAATGGTGAAGCGCAGCAGTATGATGCTCATCACCTTGCCGGCGAGACTGAACATGCAGAGCAGCACGATGCACCGAATGATGTCCAAGAGTACGATGAAGAGGCCGGGTACCAATATGATACAACTGTCCTACCAGGATCTCAGGAAGGCGAGGGCTATGAAGGCTATGACGCTCTTGGACCTATCCCGGACCCTGAAGAGGACGACCAACAGTACGAGGAAGCTGAGCCGGAACCAGATACTGCTACTGCTCTGTTGGAAGACCACGAAGGGGAGCAAGAAGCCCTCGAACCGACAGAATTCTTCGAGTCTACCGGCGAGGCCACTCGTGATCCTGTCGAACCCCGCTCCAGTGCGACTACAGCTGCCGCTGCTGATGCTTCAGCATATGACACGACTGGTGAGTATGACCCAGAAGATATGATTGATTTCGACGAAGACGAAGGTCTGACGGACCCTTCCTCAGAAGCGCCTGCGCATGACGGGAATGATGAGATCTCGGAGCTTCTGCGGGTGGATGACAAGGTCGACGTCGAGAATACCAAGGATTCTCAGGCTCAACCAGAGGCACAAGGCGACAACTCTGCTACCACGCTCCATGCTGCTGTACAGACTGCCCGAGATACCGACGAGCCTGCCAACGCCGACGACGATGACGAGCTGGCTCTCAACTTCGATTCTGAGGACTACGTAAACGGAGACAATCTCGATTATCCGGCAGAAGAAGAAGAAGAAGAAGATCGCCCCGAAGATCAAGAAGGTCTTAGAAACGAATACGACCAATCTGGAGAGGATCCCGCAGAATATGGAGAAGATGGTCCAGGCCAGGCTGACAGCGTAGATTTTGACGACGGCGACGACATCCAGCCTGGCGACGAGTCTGAGCAGTATCACACTGCGTACGATCTACTTGAGAACGACGGCGATGAATATGCTTTCGAAGAAGCAGCTCATGACGGCGAGCAGCAAGAAGACTCAAAATACAACGATGAAGACGACATCGGCTACGAAGACGATGACGATCTTAACGACCAACTAGTCAGTACGGCTACTGGTACCTCAAACTCTCCACTTGGCAAGCGCTCATTCGAGGAGCTTGCCGACGAGGACGAGCTTGACTTCGACGAGCCGAAATCGAAGAAGGCACGATCGGACTAGATCTCTGAGATCCAGCCGTACCTTGAGTGTCTCCCAGTGGAACCCGAACCTCCCCGGAGTAGGACCACCGTTTGACGAGACTTGAAACTGCGAGCTTCCCTTTTAACTAACGTGACAGCATCCCATACTTACACAGAGGCAACTCTCGACAGGCTGCAGACTAACCGAACACGAAGCGCCGTGAGCGACATGAGCGACCACACCACAAGCATCGGCAAACGTACAGGTAGGTCACATTCGACTAACGTGATAAAGCGATCGGCGGTATTTGCGAGCTGAGGAAACAGATGGAGCAGCAGCAGCAGGCGAAGGAATTGGATGACACTGGGTGAGGCTACTCATTTGGCGATTGCTTTTTTTGTGGCGTTACGGCAAGATACCCTTCCCACCTGCATGATTTCAAAAGGCGCTTGAGGAGTCGGTCGACGGCGATGCGGCAACGTGTTTCTGGTTCGCAGAGACTGCGCACCTTACCTGCATCAGAGCGCCTTCATCTTCATGGCATGATTTTTTTCGATTTTAGATTCATATTCAGCAATTCAGTGCTCTGTGGTCAATGGCCAAAATTGCCCGCTCCATTGCTCCGTTGCTCCCCTATCTGTCTTGAAGCAGAAGGCGCTCCTTCCCTATCGTACACACGCCATCGTCTCGACTTGCATGAAGTCATTCTCCGCCACTTTGTTCCGTCAACGCCGTCATCTCCATCGTGGCCCCGCGGAGGGCTCCGTTGCTCTTCGCGTTCCAAGTCCCGTGAATAGTACTCGTACAGCAGAAAGCATAGAAAGACGTCCACAAATACAGAAAGAACAGACACAGCAAGGCATGCACAAGGCAGCCTATGAGCCTTCCGCCGACGCAGGCTGTCCCACCAATGCCATGCCTACTTCCACCTTGCCAGAGAACCTGCCCGTGCCTCCAGCCAGCAGGCCATCGAACTCTGCTTCCTCGGCCTTCTCTCGATCGGCCCAGCCTTCGGTAAGTCCCCAAGCAAAGAGCAGAGCATCGAGCTCGCGCTGTGGAATATTCTGCACAATGCGGGCGATGTACGGGTCGCTCGTGGTCATCATAGCAGGCGCAAGGACTCCTTGGCGAGTGCGGAACCAGACGGAGAGATGGTGAGTGTCGATTGTGTCGAGCCAGAATTGGTCAAAGGCATGATTGTTAATCAGCCTCGCATAGCCGCAGGACTTGAATTCGATGGTTTGAAGATTCGTGACTGCACGTGGCGGCAGTTGCGTCTCCCATGGCTGAGGCTGAGGTACGTAATCTGTGAAGATTGTGCCCGGTGAAATGTCATTGATCACGTCGGGCCATGAACCCTCGCGATGTCCATCAGTCCAGTGAGATGGTGCAGGCTGATTTTGCGGATTTTGCTGGACATTCTGGTTTTGGATCGGGTTCTGGACCTGCGCAGGGGGTGGAAGTGCTGCTGGTTGTCCAGCGTTCATCAGAGCTGCCTGTAACGCTTGCAGCTGTGCTTGCATCTGAAGCTGGTTTTGCGGCACATTGTGCTGGTGTCCGTGTGGCAAAAGCTGGTGCAAAGCCTGCATCTGAGCTTGCATATGTTGCATCTGCGCCAGGTGGCCACCGGCTGGCTGTGCATTCTGCTGGACTGCAGGAGCTACTTGCCCTTGCGGCGCACCTAGCCCAAATGCCTGGAGGTTGCCTTGCTGAAGTCCGGCCATTGCTTGGGCCATCTGCTGTTGCTGACCGCCCGCAGGAAATCGAGGGTGGCTCGTCAGCGACACGGAGTCAAGCGTCAATGTCTTCAAGCTCTTCCCCGCATGATTCTTGACCATTTCTTGAAGCGCCGGCGGAGTTATCCAACAATTCGTCAGTGTCAAGTGCTCGACGTACTCGAAAATCAGCCCAAAATGAGCAGTGGCGGCGGTACTATGCTCCAACTGGGAGATTGGACACGGCAGGATGTTTGCATTACGAGCAAAGATGCCGACTGCGTGCTCGCCACCACCCACCCAACCGATGTTCAAATGCTTGACTGATGGCCGGAGACATAGTCTATCCTTCAAAACAAATTGGTGGAAGGCATGGACCGCTTCAGAAGGACTCTGTGTCGAAGTTTCGGCGTAACCTGCATTGTCCTTCTCGACAACCCGCCAATCCGGCTTTACATGGATCTCAACAGTACTCAGGCCAGGCAGAGCGTCCCAGAAAGATTCGCGTCCGACCAAGGGCAGGAAGCTGCTAGAAAGCTTGGATAACTTCAGCGTTTTGACATTGGCGAATAGGGCAGAATTGTCAATGACTGCAAGCATGTAACACTCGAGGAAGGCTCTTTGCGCCCACTCGGTCTCTAATAACCACTCCTTCTGCTCCTTTCTGAGCTCTGCAGGTACCAATGCGGACTTATCATAGAGGCTCGTTGTTGAGGAACCGGGCTGAGTCGTGGTCATGTAAGCAACCCCATGGCTTGGCTCTTCCCAAGTGGCCGGTCCCAGTGCTGGCATCACCTGGTCAGTAGAGATTGAAGGCCAGAATTTTGTGGCGCCATATCGAGTACCCTCGAGGCCCTGCAGTCCAGCCGGAGCCTTGGGGAGGCGTTGATACATCAGATTTGCCTCCTTCAGCACATTGGGTCGGCCATGACTTCGATGTGAAGCCTGCAGCGCAGACCAGAAGTCCCTCGAATCTTGCAGCCGGTGATCACTTCGTGAAAGGCCGAAGACTGGTGTTGGACGCTCGAAGATGTGGGAATGAACTGACTTGTCGGGCCCGTTCAGCCAGCCTAGGCCACTGTCCAACGACAATGCGAGTTCCTGCACTTTGTCGAGATTGGAGAAGGCTGCCTTCATCCGAAGAGTGTCGTCAGCCGTTTTCTCAAGTCCGGCCAGGTTGGCAAAGCGCGCGTATTGTTGCTGTGGCCAGTCATATGATCCGTAATAAGACACGACATGATCAAGTTCCCTCTTGACTGGAGGGCGCGACAATTGGGTCTCGGCAACTTCAAAAGACATGCCAAACTTTCGAATATGCGGGCCGAACCCCTTGAAAACGCGCAGACCATGTCCCTTATACACCTTGCCTTCTGCGTCTTCACGAGCATTCTGCCAATGCAGGCTGCCCGGGACTCGCTCCAAGACGTGGTCAGACACATCTCGTGCTTTTCCTTTGCCTTTGCCTGGGGGTCTGGCATCGTGCCATATGCTGCGGCTTGCCATCTTGGCATCCTCTTCGATCATATCGTAGAGCTCAGTATTAAATGGTACAACAGAGGTATGAAAAAGGGTTGAAGAAACTTTCTTTTCGAACTCTTTGCTCACCAAACGCATGCACATGATATCATCGCGAGAGAGGAGATGCGTGATGGCCTCGAATAGCTCCACCGGAAGCCTGCCTGGGGGCCAAGAAGCTCTGCTTGCGATATGGCTTGCTGAAGCATCGTCAATATACTGCCGATGTCCTCGTAGGACAGTAAAGCTTCTGACCGAGTCGTCAGAGTTCTCCCATCTCGAAAGGGACTCCGGGCCAATGGGAAGGTAACGGAGTTTTCCGGTGCTATGCGATGCTTCGGACGGATACTCGGCACCATCATCAGGGCTGAAGAGGATTGCCGCGCTCGTTTGCCAGGAGTTACCAGCAGCTTGTTTCATGCGCAGACTTCGACGCAGCCGTATAACCCGCTGCAGCTCATCTTGATCTTCAGCCGACAGATCTTGGTCAAGAGTGATCAGTTCGTCTGCTTCCTCTTCGTCCATTTCCTCGAGAGTAAAGTTGGTGGGTAGTGTCCGTGGCTGGAAGCCAAAGAGCTCGTTCCATGGGATGCTTGGTTGACCAGCGACGCCGGTCGCAGATCTCGCAGTCACGGGGGCATTCACAGGATGAGTCGATTTATTTGGTCGCGCAGACGAAGACGCCTTTCTCTTAGAAGGCGTTCTTGGCACGAACTCGGCTGCATGCGGATTGAATCCTGTTGACGACTCGGGCCTTGAGCCACCGGAGCGAGCCTCTGTTGGAACAGCAGATGTGCCCTGAGTGGAGCGGTTCAGAAGTGTTCGCCTATGAGCTCGACTGGCACCGAAACGATCTCGAAGGTGGGCGTGATAGGCTCCGAGCCCGGTGTCTTGGGCGTGCGGTTCATGAGAATCATCTTCCTCGATCGCCATATCGTCGTCGGCGTCCTGCAGCGAGTTGAGGAGGGATACAATCGGGTCGTTGGCCATGGTCGTTTGTCAAAGTGGTTGCTGCAGAATGAGTGTGTGGAAAGAAGGTGTTGTTGAAGCCTGCGCACGGCGTGGTTTCAGGAGGAGCGACGGTTAGCTTATGAAGGTGAATGAAGATAGGCACAGGTGAATGTGCTGAAGGCGTCAGATCCGATCCGATCCGAGCAGATCACTGCTGCGCGCAGTTTGTCGGTCGCACAAGCGATGTTTGTTGCATTGTGCACGAGCATGTGCATCTGCAGAAAACACGAGATGAAGTTCGAGGTCTGGGGAAACTGCTGTGTCATCAGGTGTCAGGGAACTGTCGCTCGCTTACACCTGCCTGCCCCACTTCCAGCCTGCTGACTCATCACCTTCCTTCCTTCCTCCCACATTCTCACTGCGGAATACTGCTCCTATCGAACTTCACCCCTTTACCTCCTCAACCAACGCACACGAGAGGCCAATGATACGGATCGGACAGCATGTCTTCGGCAGCATGAGTTGACTCCGGAAGGCCATCCGCAATGGGCCGGTGCGCACCCTGGCAGAGGCGTTGCGATGATTCTTCGCCCGCTGTCTGTCTGTCTCTCTGCAGACAACCGGTATCACTACTGTTGAGACACTGTCAGACGGGAGCTCTCTCCGGATGAGGGAAGAGACGCTGCAGTGTGTTCCAGGTTGTCTTCCAGGACTACGATGAGTCGAGACGCACCTAGCAACTGCAAGTCGACGTTCGTGCGGATAATGTCCGGCAGTCGCCATCGTTCATCATCGCTGCTGCTCCGACGCTCCACATCGCCCGGAGAAGGACGCGTAACACTGTCCTTGCCCATTGATACGCGCAACCACGGCCTCGACCTCAATGGAGACAAGCACACAGAAAATCATCTATCGACGCGCGGACATCGCGCCTAGCTCCCCATTCAACAATGTCTTATTCTTCACTGCCCCTCAACCCTCTCTTCTCAAGCTGCCAATCCGACTTTCCATCTCTTTCCGCTCCGAGTGCCTTCGAAAATGTATCCTGAAGTGTCGGCAACCGATCGGGAACGCTCCTCTCCAGCCTATGCCCATCCTCCACCGTACGATAGCATAGACAGTCTCGAAAAGGCCTCGCAGACCGGGTCGAAATGGAACCCAAAGAACTGGTCGAAATTGACAATTCTTTGCGTCATCGCAGGTGTTGTCGCAGTGATAGCTGGCATTGTGTGAGTGTCTCTGAAATCCGACTCGCCCTCTCGCGGTGCTAACTTCCTCTCTTCCAGCATTGGTGCTGTTCTGGGGACAAAGTTGAATGAGTATCCCGACTACAGCGCTCTCAACTACATATTGTCCGACACATACAGCGGCACAAGCTTCTTCGACGACTTTGATTATTTCACTGGTTACGACCCCACCTCGGGCTTCGTTCATTACGTGGACTCCAGCGTTGCAACTTCATCCCAGTACAACCTGACCTACGCGTCCTCGAGCTCCGCCGTGCTGAAGGTGGATACTACCGACACAAATGCCAACACAGGCAGATACTCGGTCCGCATCACAAGCAAGAAACAGTACGACTCCGGACTCTTCATCTTCGATGTCGTCCACTCTCCGTATGGCTGCAGCACATGGCCTGCCCTTTGGCTCACCGATCCAAGCAACTGGCCCACCAACGGAGAGATTGATGTCATGGAAGCAGTCAACCAGGCGGATACTGGCAATCAGATGACGCTCCATACAAGCGCTGGATGCAAGATGAACGTGAAGCGGAAAGAAACAGGCTCCGTCCTCTACAAGAACTGCGTCAACACGACCAACGACAACGCTGGCTGTGGCGTGCAGGGAGCGCAAGACACGTACGGCGAAGCTTTCAATGCCAACGGAGGCGGAGTCTACGCCATGGAATGGAGGGACGAGGGTATCCGAGTCTGGTTCTTCGCCAGATCAGAGATCCCCTCCGATATCCCTTCAGATGTGTCCAACACCTCGGCTCCGGACCCGAGTACCTGGGGAACGCCGCTGGCGGACTTTCCCGGCACGCACTGCGATATCTCCAGCCACTTCAAGAATCAGAGTATCGTCGCGAACATCGATCTCTGCGGCACATGGGCTGGGTCGACGGCTGTGTACAATAATGAAGATTCGTGTCCGGGAACCTGCACGGAATTCGTGACGACGAACAACACTGCGTTTGAGACGGCGTATTGGCAGTGGAATAGTTGGCGGGTGTACACTGCCAGCTGATGATTGGAAAGCGTGAGACAGTGTTTGAGGAAAAAAAGGGAGGCAGGTGTATGGTGTTGTTGTACAATATTCACGAATTTTTATGGATACCCCCCAGGCGCAAATATAGAAAATTGAGCTTTTTCATCAGTCCTCGAAACTGTGTCAATTCCTTCGGGCGACCCAGAAGCTTGGGCGATACACATTCTGCAGCATGCTCGCGGGATCTTGAATATACCCTGTTGCTCCAGCGGGCATTTGCTGCTGCTCAATGATCTCGAATCCGCGATGCGTGACCAGAGCAACGACTTCTTCGTTGGATAGTTCAAACGATCCAGGCTCTCCGATCCCTTCGTTCTCGTTGCTGTGGCTGGTCCTACCCCGTTGCTTGTCCCGCTCAGCAGGCGTCGGCGCGGTTTCAAAGTGCCACAGCAAGGGACCGATGTTGATCCACAGGCCGCCGGGCTGGAGACAGTGCCTGATCGTTTCGATGTAGCTGAGGACGTTGGGGGCGGTGTCGATGAAGAAGCAAGTCGCCACTGCCGCGAAGGAGGCTTGGAATTCCGGTTTGCAGTACAGGATGCAGAAGTCGCCGGAGGTCATGGACATGCGGTCGCTGTAGTGGACTTCGGATTGCAGTTCCGCTTGCGAGGTCTCGAGCGCTGTGCCCGGGTGGACGTCGGGGATGGCGACGGCTTGGAGTTGATTTGGGCGGGAAATGTGATTGCTGAAACTCAGCGCCCAGGGGTAGAGGGTGTGTTGGCCTGCTTTTGCAGTGCAGTTGAGGATGTAGTTGGACGCGAGCAGCTGGTGGTAGGAGATCTCGTTGCCTTCCACGGTGTATCCCGCAGCGCAAATGTCGAAGACGAGTCTCCCGAGTCCGGCGCCGGGGACGAGGACGTTATAGCGGTGTCTCTGGGAGGGATGGGAAGGGAGGTGTGTCTCCAGAGCCCCCAGGATGGGAGAGAAGGAAGCATATCGCTCGGGGAGACCTTCCGCTGACCAATCACGGTACAGTTGACGGATTGTTGATCGAGCCTTGTCGAGGTCACCTGGCGTAGCTTGGTTCTTCCAAGATTCATCGTCTGGATCGAGACCAAAGGATGGAAGGCCAACGTGGAGCAAAGCCTCGGCGATGTCTGCATTGGAGTCGATAGCCCGGTCTACGGCCTCGAATGTCTTTGGCAGAGAGAAGGGTGGGAGCGAAAGCAGGTCAATCTGAGCATACGGCAGGGCGTAGAATGATTGCCGGCGCAAGTGAGTGATGTTGAAGTGAGCGGCACGGCGATATTGCCTGCACGCAGAGGAGGTGTGAGAGCGGGGGCTACGAGAGGACGGTAACATGTAATCAGGGACCTACCGAAAGCTGTCCAGCGCAGCGCTCAGTACACGTCGCTCTTCGGGGTCTGATAGAGGGTCATCTGCCTCGTTCGTAGTCTTGTCCGCTGCGTCTTGAGCCATGATGAGAATGGAAAGAGGATAGTCTCACTTCCCGCAGCGCTGAACAGTCCCGTGACGTACTCTATTTGGACGTCAGGCCGCGTCACGGCGGCGGCAGCAATAGTCAAGGTGATGGGACGAAATTGTGGCGAGAAGAGAGTATCTTTGTACACAGGACTGGGCACGGTAGGTTTGGAAGCTGTCGAAAGAGTGAGGTCTTGGCGATCACGGCTTTCCGATCGGGCCGAGTCACTAGTCATCCTGCCGAATCTCCCGGGAGTAGCACACTACTCCAAACAAGAGCCACCGCAATCCTACAGTACCGCACCTCATCTCGAAGGAATATCATGGCTGTCGGCGCAGGCACGTCTCACGCTGCAAATGGCGTTCATGACTCCAGCAAGCCCATTGAGATCGCCATCGACTTGCCGCAGAGCCCTGGCATTCGCGTCAATGTCCACCTCACAACATTGGAGACGTCCATCTTACTATTCCTGACGAGCTCGAGCACGGAAACTGCACAAGGCGCTGCATCCATGGGCAGCTTCGTGTACGCCATGCCGGACGTAGGCTTTGGCACACATCGACAAGTTCGTGAATTGTACTGACAGCTGTTCTAGAGATACAATCCTACCCAACCAATGAGCACCGCACTTTACACCATGCCATCTTCTCTCGACTTCACCACACGGATCGCGAAGGTGCTTTGTCGACGACTGCAGAAGCCGTGCTATGTTGGCTGCAGCATCAACCTGTCGGGCGCTGCGGGTGGTGGCAGCGTGGAGGAGGAGATGGAGGCGTTCCGCAACATCGTCGAGGTTGTCACCACGAGAGCCTCTCGCTAGGTCGTGACCTGGTCGCACTTCGAACGAGACAGGCTGCTGGGCTGCAATATCAAGATCAGTCAAGCAGCGCCTGCCAACTGTGTGTTCACTCCCACCTATCTCCTCCCAGTAACGTATTCGAAATGGGCTCACGATTGTCGTTGCTTTCGGCCTGTGGATCCCGCCATCCATTTTAGCCATGAATCAGCCAACCATACAACATATAGATGCAGCTCTTCGAGCACGATGGCAATCTATGAGTCGGGGCAATGCAAGCACCCCGGACCAATCTCCGGCTCCCATACGACCGGAAGGAGGGAACAGCTGTTTGGTTGAGTGCGTTGCTGGACTGGCTGGGTAGACGCTCCCAGTCATACTACAAATATATCGCTACATACTCCGTCCCCTCGCTCCTCCATACGCACTCACGAGCCTTGGTCCTCGCTAAACCCCTCAGCCTGGACAACTTCCTTCAATTTGGAGGCCTTGCAATCACGGAACTCAAGACCAGCTCACGGCAAATGCTGGAGAACTATTTGCGGGTCCTCTCATTCTCCTTCGAAGCCCAGTGTGCACCAGAGCGGAACGTGATCCGATGAGCTACGATCTGCTGGCGTCTCACAAATACCGGCTGCTTGGAGAGATGCTTTCAAAGATTGTGATATGAGTATCATATCAACGCGATCGCAACTGCTTCCGAACGGCTTGCCTCGCGGATAGTAGGTGTAGCCCGGTCGACTTTCGCCGTGCACCTGGCGGAAAGTGTCGATGAAATCTAACGCTTGGTCATCTGCCGCGGCCGCCGTTCCTCCTTGCTGAGAGTTTCTGAAGAATCTGGCCTCGAAGTCCGCACGATTTAGGCAGTGTCGCTTCGGAAATGTCCGCAAATTGGGATGCCCGTCGATAGGTTTTCGTGCGATGTTGAGATCACCGGCCACGATACATGCGAAACCTTTCTCCTCCAGTGCTCGGCATTCCGTTTGCAATCGCTTATGGACCTGAAGCTTCCTGTCGTGCCTGGTTCCAGCCGGCTCGCCTGTTTGAGGGTCTTTGTACGGTGCCTGCCACAAGTTCGATCAGCTACTGGACCCTCCTCAGTTCGACGTCACGCTACCTCAGTTCCGTTGACCTATAGCCATCGTTAGCTACGCTATCTGGCTGGCAAAATGATGTTAGAGCAGTACTCACCGCGTAGACATTGATGATCGCTAAACGAGGCATCATACCGGAGACTCTTGTCTCGCAGACGAGAAAACGCCCTTCTGCGTCCCAGTCCACCGTCCGTACGTTGTTCACTACTTTATCGAAGAAGTCGGTCCGGATGAGAGTGCAAACGCCATAAATTTTACGGCCGAACCCGCGCGCATTGTATTTGTCGCAAGGCAGACAGAAGAATGTCTTATACGAAGGTTCCGCATTGCCATCGGCCGACATCACCGACCTTTCTACTGTAGTTTTCGTGGACTCGTCGTCCTCGCGGATTTTGACTTCCTGAAGGCAGAGAATGGACGGCCAATCCTGGCGTCTGAGGACATCTCGCAGAGATGAGGCTTCCTGAGCTGGCGGGGTGCTGCTGCCTGGTGATGGCTTGCAAAACGACGTAATGGGTCGTTGAACGAATGGTCCTATGCCATTAATGTTCCAGGAGTATACGGTGAGATGGCCCACCTGGACGTCTGTGGACAGACCGCTACGTTTGGTGGCACCTACGGACTTCCTCCGTTTGGGTGGCGGAGGCGAGACCGAAGACGACCTTTTCGACTTCTTCTCCATCAACGGCAGATATGTTCGGGATGTTAGTCGCGGATGTCCACGCCTCAGTGCGCGCCGCATTGACGAGGCACTCGGGTTTCCAAGCGTGACTGGTCCAATATCTTCCTGTCCACGGGAGCTCTCTTGGAAGACGTCAGCATCATGGTGATAGTGACGATGGGCTGTTACAGATTACCTACATGGCGGCGCATTCGTCATTGCCCACGGCAAGGTCAATCGATTGTTGGTCGGGCCGAGCGGTGGCTGTGAGGAACGGCATCCCGGGAACAGATCCATCATTCGGTGTGTGGATAGGCAAGCTAAAACGGAACCGTCCGGGGTCAGCAACGCGCTAGTGAGGGAGGGCCCGATTTAGGCTATCCTGGAGGAATCTGCACCACTCGCTCGCCCCACGACGGCAGACACCCGTGACGACACACCGCATCTCCAAATCACCTGATCTCTTCTCTCCATACGGCACAGAAACAGCATGCATTCCATCATGCGCGACAACACACCCATTTCGGCAAAGCCAAGAGATTGAAAAGAAGAAAGTTTGAGCTCCTGACGTGTGGGCGTGCTGCAAACCTCTCTCTGCTGGCTTCGAGCTGCGGCTTCACGCAATGTTCTGTACTAGACACGCACCTTCGAGTACCGCGTCTTTCGGGCACCCCATCATGAAGGGCATCATTCGCGATTGAACCATGTAGACGCTGTCACGATAGCCCCGTGAAAAGGGGGAGATGCGCATTATACGTTTGACGCCAACGCCGGTCCCACAAGACTTACTCGGCACTACAAAGCAGGATCACAGGGCCTGGTGCAACGACTGCCGAGGGCCTATGGACCTGCGTCTTATGCTGCGCGTCGCTGATTAGAGTCCACTTCTATGGCCTATAGCGTCCACGGTCAGCCCACTCCACGCCTTGCGTATCTGAGTCTCCAACAAAGCTGGCAAGGAACGCTAGCCTGGAATTCGAAACGACTCTCCAGGAGATGAACTTGCAGACAGCTCATCAGCGACACGACTTGAACCTTGCTTTGTATAGTCGCTGCTGATGTGGACGAATGATTTTCCGGCCATTGATGCTGCTGCTTGCCTACGAGCCTCCTCGCCGCACGTTGAATACTCGGAACCGATCGACGTTTAGTCAGATGCTCCACGCCCAGAAAGCCGTCGTTGTGGATACGCTGTCAAAGGCGTGCTGCATCGATTTCAAATCGCAGGCCCAGGTCTCCGTCCGAACAGACCTATAAGTGCAACCTATCCGAGAAAGAGGCGACTTAATGGGCGGAGGCACCTTCTCCATGCGACATGGATCAGCATTTGTGATGGCAATAAGAAGACTGAGGCTGCTTCGCCCATGTCTGCCGGATATCAAGAGCTGTCCGATGACAGGATAGAGGCTCAAAATCCAAGGTGTGTGGCGCTCTCAGGCACCTGTGGATGGGCAGTGCCAGGGGACGGAGATCGCTCCGCCTCGCCTCTCGATTGTGGCTGCCGGCGACTCGTGAAGTGAGATCTGGAATACAAGATCGACATTGGCTGCGGCTGCCTTGTGTAACGATCAGCTCCAACGATACCGGCATGACCTATCGCTGGGCCGGCCATTTCCTTTCCATTCGCGCCAAGAGGCTGCGAGTGTGACCACCACGGGATCTATGTGTGCCGTACAGCTGGGCATGAGGCGTCATTACGCCAGTGAGGCGCTGGAACTCTCCGCAGAGCCTACATCGCGTGCCGTTGAGAAGTCATCATAGCCGTTTCCCCAAAGCTGGACCGCAGCAATGAAGGAGCTGATAGGAGGCCGTGGAGTGTCATATCGCTCGTCTGCGGTTCCCAAAGCGCTTCGCAATCCCGAGTCGCGATTTTGGCACCTGAGCAACACGAAGGAAGTCGGCTTCTTGGACGGCTGTTTGGAACAGCCATATGCCCTTTGCCCACCTAAACGAGCGCTTTCCCGAAGCAGTAAGGACATTGCATTCGGCTTCTTCACAAAATCGGGCCGTAATAGCACGGGCCGGGAGACCCTGGCCCAGCAGATATAACAGAGTTCCCTAGTGTGGAAGGCTAACTGGCGAGTAGGAACATCGTACTACCCGGCGATTTGGTTCAAGCTTCCCACCTCCGTCCCGGACGCTCGACGGAGGCCATCTGACCTTGTACACAGGCTCGACGAAGCGAAAGGCACCGTCGCCACGGTAGATCACTGATCATCTTCCGGCTTCTCGAATCGACGCTCCTCTGCCCGCGACTCTGGGTGGCCCACGGGTTCTCTTTCTTTCTTCTATCGGGCTTCTGACTACCGTATCATTTCTACCAACCCTATCATCTGTATATATACCCATCTCCATATTGCCCTTCTTCAACTCTCCTGAGAAGCAGTCTCCTTTAGTGCTTACTTTCTTCCATTCACGTCTCTAGCCACGGTCTACTGATTTCGAGATCCAACACTATGTCTCCGTCTATACTCGTGATGAACGACGGGAACAACGTCGTCAACGTCGACAAACCGATCCCTGTGCGCGATGACGCCGCCAAATCCAGCAAGTCGGCCGTCATGCACCGTTCGCTGCTCGAGGACCCGTTACGAGTCGTCGCAGCTCAAGGCAACTACCTCCACCTCAACAACGGACAGAAGATCTTCGACGCAACGGGAGGTGCTGCCGTGGCATGTCTTGGTCACGGAGACATTCGGTACGTCCTGCGAATCTCGCGCATCCAACAGTATATTGACCGGGAAGCAGAGTTCAAGATGCAATCATCGAACAGATGAACGAAGTATCGTACTGCCACTCCCTCTTCTACGGCACTCGAGCAGCCGAAGAGCTCGCCTCGCTACTCGTCGACAGCACGAACGGCGAGATGTCTCGAGCCTTCTTCGTCAGCAGCGGCAGTGAAGCCATGGAGGCCGCTCTCAAGATGGCTCGCCAGTACCATCTCGAGAAGCCGAACCCGGAGCCGCAGAGAGCACATTTCATTTCCCGAGACCAGAGCTACCACGGCACCACGCTCGGTGCACTGGCAGCCGGCGGTCATGTTGCCCGTCGGGCCATTTTCGAGCCTATTCTCAGCATCAACACTAGCCGGGTGAGCCCTTGCTGCGCCTACAGGGGCATCGGACACAAGATCGATAGCGAGAGGGCGTACGTAGCGAAGCTGGAGGCCGAGCTCGATGCTGAGTTCAAGAAAGTTGGTCCCCAGAATGTGGCTGCGTTCATTGCGGAGCCTGTGGTTGGTACGTCGACCGTTGTCCCAAGCATCGTCATGGAACGTCTGTCACTCACCGACGCGAAATCTAGGCGCTGCGCTGGGATGTGTCCCTCCTTCACCAGGCTACTTCAAAGCCGTACGAAGAATATGCGATAAGTATGGTGCGCTCCTCATCTTCGACGAAATCATGTCCGGCGCCGGCCGTATCGGACCCGAGCCCTCTGAACGTTTCCCCAAACCCCTCCACGCATGGCAAGATCCTCTTATCGGAGTTGTAAGTCCCTAGTGAGCCTCTCGTCGACAATCTCGGAACATCACTGACATGGCCTTTCCTTCCCTCTCTAGGTACCAGACCTCATGACAATGGGCAAAGCCCTTGGAGGCGGCTACATGCCCATTGCCGCTCTCCTCGCCAGCAGACAAGTAGTCACAACCCTCCAACAAGGCACCGGTGCTTTCTCCCACGGACAGACCTATCAAGGCCACCCGCTCGCCTGTCGCGCCGCTCTTTCGGTCCAAATGATCATCAAACAAGACGACCTCATCTCCAATGTTCGCAAACAGGGTACCCTCCTAGGCCGGCTCCTGAAAGAAAAACTCGCTTCGCATCCCGCGGTAGGCGATATTCGAGGCAAGGGCTTATTCTGGGGCATCGAATTCGTCAAAACAAAGGGAACCAAAGAACCTTTCGATCCGTCTCTAGGAGTTGCGATGGGCATGCATGAATTGGGTGAGAAGTTACCTTCTATATTCCTCTTGAATGTCAACGCTCCTTGCTGACCTCTCGTGGCAACAGGCATGCAGAAACCCTACAGCATTTCCCTCTACCCCGGAACGGGCAGCGCAGACGGTCGAAGAGGTGATCACATCCTCCTTGCACCCGCATACAACATCACGTCCGAGGAGATTCGCCAAATCGCTGATACGGTCAACGCGGTCGTGCGACAGTATTTCGCCCGACAATGCAAGGAAAGTCTCGCTGTCAAGGCTGGCGATGAACAGCCTAGGCTCAAACGATGAGACGTGCAAGGCATCATGTGGTGGTGTGCGGTCGTTTGTGATTTCTCCCAATTTTGTGAACGATTCTCCTTCTTTGTAGCATTATACCACTCATATAGACTCTGTAAACCAAGGCCATTCGTGATCTAACTGTTAAAGACAAGCTAAATACTTCTACCGTAGCTAATTTATACAGTCTAGATAGATCTACCTTTAATAGGCTACTTCTAGGAAGGAATAATATCAGAATTAACGATATGTATTACTATTATAAGAATAGAAACTTAGAAGCTATACTAACACTTTAGACCTTTATTCTCTTAAATTATTTAGTACCTAGCCTATCTAGTTTACAAATTTTTATAGACAGATAATAGCCTTAAAGTATCTTAATTTATAAGATTTTCCTATTATAAAAGAAGATAAATAACTTCTCTAAGTACTACTACTAGATCTACTTGAATATACGACTAGTATATTATATATATATAATATAGATAAGGACTTCTTACTTAGTATAGTACTTATACGAGTGAAGCGACTCTCTTATTATATAATATATATAAAGAAGAGATACTTCTAGATAATATCTAGAGTAGTAATTGTAAATATAGTTAGTACTATAGTAATAGCGTAGTACGTATAATCTGCTTTAGCTATAACATACTACCTAATAACAGAATCCTAATCTTTCGTCTGTATTCTCCTAGTTTCCCGCGGAGGCAGAGAGAAGTGCCGATCACGTGCTTAGCTTATATGGAACTTCCCAGTTCCCAAGCGTCCCCGCTCCTGCAGCTGCCAACCAACGTCCTCGTCTCCTCAATCTGCAACCCCTGCTCTCAGTTCGTCGCTTGTTGCCCTTTTGAGCACGTGGCACAGAGCAATGTGACAGCTTTCGAAGCATCCGGCCGCGTCACAAACTTTCTGCAAGAACGGGATGCAGCGACGGCGCAGTGTGCAGTATGTTGGAGAAGACTTTTCACTAGTACGCAAGTACCGGCAGCCGGGTGACAGCAGAGTAGCCTTGCATGGACTCCGATACGCTGGTATCCAATGCGAGAGTCCGCACGGAGCCGACGTTGCCGTCATCAGCCCGCTCCACTGAAGTGGTATAGTCGTGCCGCTCTCTATTGGAGGGCAAATCATTTCTTCCTTTTGTCCCTTGCTTTTTTCTGATTCGTGCTGCTGGCTTCTTCACCGCCAAAGCCTCCGGGTGCTTGACCGCCCATCATTTGAGCCTATGAGGTGTTAGTGAAGGATCAAATCCTCAAGGCTAGTTGCGGCATTGACTGCGCCATTCATCGCATGTGATCTTATGACGATCCCTCTACGAATTAAGACACGTCACCAAGCCTAGGCCTGGCTGAGGATATAGTACATACCATATCTTTGAACATGTTCTCGAACACTCCGCCTCCAGAGAGGGCGGGGGAGTGAAGTGGTAGGATCGTGCCAATTTTGAAGCCTCGGGGGATGGCAGGCGCCGTGATTTCCTTCGGTACCGGCACGCCTTGGATCTGCAAGCGTTTCGGCGTCTCTTTGGTCGTGGGGTGCGATTTCAGATACTCGGATATCATCTTGTAGAGGTGGTATTCTGTCTCATAGGTCAGTGCGGCCTCTCTCACAGCTGCCACTTCGCTTCCTCAATGCGAGCTTTGCGCCATCGCTTCATCGCTACGGCGGGATGCCTCTGTTCAACAGCACATGCAGCACGGCGAGACAAAGAGCATAGAGGGTATGCACATGTACTGACTGTTATGAATTTTGGCGTTGACCGCCGTACCATTCTCCTTCACGAGAACCTTCACCCGACCAGGATTCGCCCAGTCCTTAGGATGTGTCTTTGTTGGCTCGAATACGATCTGTAGCGGCACATTGTGCTTCTGACCAATCTGTGACAGCGCTTCCACAATCTCACGCGCCAGTGGGTTCGGTACTGCGTCCACCTTCGGGACTCTTCGTCCTTCCTCTCGGCTGCGTGTGCTGTCAAAGTACACCGGATAGATGCACTGATAGGCCTTGCTCTTCTCTTGCTGTTCCCGTTGGTACCTCTCTCGATCCTGTGCACTCATTCCTCTTGGCGCCTGAGGGACGGACGTCTGTCCAGAACTTGCATGTTGCTGTTGGCCTTGCAGTAGCGCTTGCATCATGTTTGGAGTCATCTGCGAGGGAGCTTCTGTGATCGCGTCGGCCTGCTGTCCCAGCGATCCCTGTTGTGGCCGTGCAAAATCGAAGGCATCCAGGTCCATCTCCTCTGGGTCGTCTGCCACCTCATCATCGTCCAGCACCTCTTCAATTCGTGGGTTCGACATGGTTGTCTTTCAGGCCAAGCAGCAGTAGGGGCTCGTTCTCGCAAATTTCGGGCGCTTGCGGCGGCTACAGACCAGTTCGAACTGGTAGGAGGAGAAGTGATGGACACGCAGAAGGTGTGTTGAGTGTTGTCGTTATACTTGTGAGTTGTCTGAAGTTCGAATCCATCCCCTCAAGAGCAGAAGCTCTACCTTAATCTCCAAATTCCTGGCCCCACAGCGGGATGTCGTCCGCGCCAAGCCACGTCTCCCATGTTTCATTAGCATAGGTAGCATGTGCGAGTCGGTCAACTGCATACTACGGCAGAGTGGGGTTTCGACGAGCAGGGCAAGCGACGAGAGGCGCATATAACAAGTGAGGCTGTTGTGAGGCGAAAGCTCCTCTACGTGGTTGCAGCTGGTCGGTCTCAGGCCAGAAGCCCGTCAAAGCCATCAAAACTTGATGACGATCTTTATCGATAAGTTGACGCAAGAAAGGAGCAGGCCTTGAAGAGGGAAAGACCAGCTGATCGTCTCAGATATTTCAGACGCTATGCAAATACGACCGTGCTCGTCCTCGATGCATCTGCAAGCACGCTGCAGCCAGCTCAACAACTCCAGTACGCGCCAATGCCGTGTCTCCCAACCCTATGGTTCCGCAAGAACCTGCAATGCATCGCTTCGTGCTTCTCCGGCCACCATTGAAGAAGAGAAGAAGGAGGTCTTCGTCGTCGTAAAGAGGTTCTCATTCATGTCAGGCCGTCTGGCACATTTGCAGCGGCTGCCCGTCCTCCCCCTGAACGCCTGTCTTCTAAATCCTGCACCAACACGCTAAGAAGAACTGAGGCGGAGCAGCTCCTGGCGCTGTCTATTACTACCGAGAGCGCCCGCCTTGTTCTGCGCTCAGCCTCTCACGCTCAACCCGGATACGAGCTGCTTCCGTGCCATCATCCTCAACCAGCTCATCGAACCAAGGGTGCTCGAGTGCCTGCCGAGCAGTTATACGCTTCTTGGGATCGTACACAAAGATCTTCCGTAGGAGGTCGAGGAACAATCGGTTGAAGTTCGTCGTTTGCGGAATGATATCGTCCAGGCGCTTCATGCCCCTCACGAACTTCCTAGATTGGCGAGGAGTGTCAGGCATGGGATATTGGAGCTGACCATTCTTGAAGAAGCGTGCGGCCGAGTTCTTGTCGTTTTTCCTGGAAGTTCTGTTGACCTCGCGGATCAGGTGACGATCGATGCTGTTGCCAGTCACGGCCTGAAGCACGCAAAGTCAGTAGTTACTCCTAGCAAGACATTTCCGAGCTACTGACCTCCATCATTCCCAAGTGCTCGCAGCAGTCATGCGTCTGGAAAAGCGCGTCTCCAGTCCAGCACTCCACCAGAATGCAGCCCAAAGACCAGAGGTCAATCGGATGCGACCAGCCTGCGGATACAAGTCAGTGGGCCATTCGTGTTAGTACACGCGGCGCACCCGGCGCACGCGGATGTTGTAGACTTACCGATGCCTAATATAATCTCCGGAGCCCGGTAGTGTCTGGTGCTGACTACCGAGCTGTGGTATTCGTCGTTGAAGGTGGCGCTTCCGAAGTCGATGAGGTTTATCTGCGGACTGAGCAGCACTCGTCTGAACTTGGCAGATCGCGAAGTCAATGTGCTTGATGACGGAATGTTCCTGTTGTAGGTGAAGGTCTGGTAAGTGTGGCTGAGCAGTAGTATGTTCTCAGGCTTCAAGTCGGTGTGGATAAGGTCCAAGTCGTGCAGGAACGCGATCGATCCAAGAAGTTGTCGTGCAAACGCCTGGATGTGGGATCCTGGAAAAGGGACGAAGCCGCCGCTCTTCAAGAAGTCGAAGACAGAGAGTCCAAGCAATGGTGTCACAATGCAAATGTGGCCTCGCCAGTCGAAGCAGTCGCGGAGTTGAATGCATCGGTTGTGATTGTGTTCATCGGCCGCGCGGAGGGTTTGAAGGACTCGAAGCTCGATACGACTAGCATCGCGGTACTGGTACATATTAGAAAGGGAATTCGAAGGGGAGTGGTCCGAATCCATGGAAATGTACCTTTGGAACGGCCCGGATGATCTTCACGGCAACCTCCTTGCGAGTGCGGATGTCAACCGCCCGCACCACTTTGCCAAACGTGCCCTGCCCGAGAAGTGAGAGGAGGTTGTAGCGCTCTCCAAGACGGCTGTTCTCGTGGACAATATAATGCCCGTCTTCGTCGTCAATCTTCTCGGTAGGCTTCTGACGCTGGACAAAGAGTCAGTCTGCTGCTGCTGCTGCGATAGGCTATCGATGCAGATACTTACGTCGTGAATCTGTGGAACCGTGACGTCCTTCATCTTCTTGACCTGTTTGGGCGGCACGTACTGCCCATATTCCGCCAGGTAGCCTCGTGGTCCCGAGCGCTCGGTCTCTTGCTTCTTACGCTCTGCATCAGACGTTCTCGTGGTGCGTTTGCGCTTCTGACCAGTTTGGCTATTGTCCAGTCGGCTACCAGAGCTCGCTGTGGAGCCAAGAGAGGTTGGGGCTGTTGTCGCTTGGAGACTCTCGGTAGATGTGCCATTGGAGTATGAGTAGGGGGTGTTGGTGGTGCCGTAGGTCGGCATCTCACCACTGTGCCCATTCACGCGGCGTCTCTTATCGGCATGCTGGTGGTCGGCACCCGAGACATTGCCAGTAGGCGGATTGATCTTTTGGACAGTTGCAGGTGGAGCCGGGCTATCATCGTCATGGATCTCGATAATCTCCGCTGGAGGCTTTCCGCCAAAGTACTGAAACCAATCCACTGGAGACTTATTCCTCCGCTTGCGCCCTCTCTCCATACTGTCCGTATGTACGCTTCGGTTGGAGTGTGTGGGAGGGATATCGACGGCACCCGCACCAGAGGCACGTGATATCGAAGCGGTCTGAGGTGGTGGTGGTTGTTGTTGCAGTGGAGGAAGTTGCCTCTGCTGCGGTTGTGGCGGGTAGTTTGGCCTGCTGTCCGTGCGTCTTGTGTCTTCTTGCTGGTGTTGTTGGTGCTGGCTGAAGCCGTTCGCGTAGGCCGAATATTCACCTCCGCGTGATTGGCTGTGTGCGTGGTGGGAGTAGTGATTATTGCTCATGCCGCTCTCAGGCCTCGGCGGGGGAGGTAGCTGCCGGTTCGAGAGATTGCTCGAAGGGCGAGTGGGGATGTTGTGGTGATAGCCGTTGCTCAGGTTGCTGCTGGGACGAGGCGGAGGCAGGTAGCGGTCCTGAGGCGAGGGCAGATACCGCTGCTGTCCCAGATACTGATGGGGCGGCAGCGTCTGGGTGAGTGTCTGGGGTGTTGACATGACTATCGTGCTGGGTCAAGTATGCATTCAACGGGTTGCGCAGAGCGTGAGAGTCGGACGTGAGGAAGAAATGCCGTCGCACGCACGAGTTGCAGCGTGTGTGATGTCGCCGGGCGTCGGTCTCTGAGCAGCCGCCTGGAGACGCTGCTCGAGAAGCGCCAGCGGGCAGCAACGCCGCAGATGTGCGTGAGGGCAGCTCGAGCGGGTGGTTTCGAGCGTCGTGGGTGTTGTCGAGGCGGTGTTGGAGGAGGGTGAAATGCCGCAGCGAGGAATTGGGGTGGCCCAGCAGTCAGGCGGATTGGCTTCGGCGTGGTGCAGGATGGGCGACGTCCTCAGCACACGTGTGGGCGCAGATGGCGACTATTGCTGCAGTGAAGCAGTATACGGGTGGAGAAGTGTACTGAGGAGTGATGAGGCAGCACAATAGCAGCTGGACGAGGGCGTGGAGGGCAACAACAGCAACTGAAGACCCTCGCGCATGTGTGTGTCCAGTTGCTGTCTGTGACCCGAAGTGGAGTCCATGCGTAGCGTAGAATGGCGGTACCTTGAGCCTGAGGTATACCTTAGAGTGCACCACCAACCGGCAAGCCCTCTCGCCCTCCTCCAGTCATCTCACGCGGTCAAGAGCGCATCTGTCTCAGTGACCTATTCTCATATGCATTCACTGGACGTCCACGCAATTCTATTTCATTCCCTTCGCTCTCCCGAGACTGCCTCACACCCGCACACGTTCACACAACAAAGTGCTGGTTCGCCTGGGGCCGGAGGAACGCCTCCGATGTGAGACGAGAAGTGCTCGCTCGCCAGCGGCACAAGTCTCCGCCTTTCTGCGTCAACGACCGGCGTCATTAGGACTAACTCATGGCGCTATCCTCGCCCACCTGTCCCTTCTGAAGGACCATTCATCACAACATCAACACTCCTCCAGCACGCACCTTCATCAACCCATCTGGATGCATCGACCACGCCCACTCGCGTTGCCGTGCGATCTCGAACTGACTGTGAACGGCCCGAGCGTCTTGCACATAACCCTGATCTTATCAAGGAAAAGGCACAGACTCCTTTCCAGTGGCAATGCCCTGCTAGTGCTGAGATGCGCCGGTGATGGACCACAGGATACCTGACTTCTCTCGCCGCTCGGCAGCGCATCGATCGCGGCATTCATGACTAATATGCAACGGGACACATCGACAGCGTCCTTGGAATCTGCAGTGCTCTGCCGCCCGTGCCTCACATGACAGCGCTGCTGGTGAGTCCTGGCCCAATCGAGCATCTTGAAGTCATCAGCTGCGTCGCCCTTGCGCCGCTCTCTGCCACATCCTCCATGCACATATGGTGAGACCGACTTCATGTGCCTGGAGACAATCAACTCCAGTTGAAGCTTATATTACGAATATCGACGCGTCACGTCCGGCGGTACGTTGCCTCGTCTCAGATGCATGGGCAGGTCCACCCTGTTTCCACGTGCATCCCATGAGATCAGACCTCAGCACAGCCAGGAAAGGGAATTGCAGATCTGCCCCCAATCTACCTGGGAGCCATGTTGAAGAGGAAAGTCTACAAAATGCTCATCACATCGAAGTGTCCAGCTTTGGCAAGCCCTATCTCGGCGCTCTATCTCCTCAAAAATGCCATGCGATGCCGTGCTATTCCTACATTTCCAATTCGTTATTCGTCAGCTTCGTCCTCCTCATCTTCTTCATCCTCGCCCAGGATCCTCTCAACAATGAGGTTTCCGCTTCGTCCAATGCGCTCTCGTATGCTGCCTCCGCTCTCCAAATCGTACACTTCACGCGGCATTGGCGATACTAGTCGAAACTTGTATGTGTGCTCGTACCCTTCTGGCTCCTGCACCTCTTTCTCCGAATCGTCTTCAAGGAGATCATAGCATTCGATGAACGCGTAGAGCTCCTCGAGATCTGCTTCCGGCCGAAACTTGCGTATCACACGCTCAGCGTTTGGAAGACGCAAACTTATCCGCACTGCATCTTTCACCTGTGCTCCTGGTTCCGCTGGTATGCGCTGTGCTCTCCATCTCCGCCATTGGGCGAGCATACGAGCCTCGTCTGCTTTGCGTTCCGCCCTCTCTCGCTCCTCACGCTCAGCCTTCTCTTTTGCAGCTTCTTCCTCCTTTCTCCGCCGCGCCTTTTCTCGATCTTGTGCCAATGACCGCTCATACGCACTCTCCTGTTCTTGTCGAAGGTTCCTAGTGGCCTGCTGTTCTCGCCGTTGACTCCGCACTCGTTCTAGTTCTGCGTCGTGATTCTGCATTGCCGTTCGCATTTTCAAGAGAAGATCCGGAACGGCCACCGGGCCTGTCGCAGTCGCTATCTTCGACATTGCAGTTGATGAGACCGAAGGTGTGTGGACGATCAGCGACACGTAAGGAAAGCGAGTGGCGTTCAGAGCGCTGCTGACCTGGTATGCTTCAGCATCCTGGACAGTGCCCGCCCATATCACGATGTTATTGCTTGGGTCATTCACGAAAGTTGTGAACTCGTTGGAAAGTAACGTCTCCCGCACGAATACGGACGTATCATCGTGCTCAGGCGATAACAGAACAACCAGGAGATACTTGAGATCACGCTTAGCCACATCGAAGGCCTGAGCGTAGCCGCCTTCATGGAACGGCAGAGTGCCTTGCGTGACACCGTACTCTTCTTCAAATTCTCTTACGAAGCGCGAGGCTGTATCCCTTGGCCCAAGAGGCCTTCTCCGTGCATCTCTTGAAGGCTGAGAAGCTCTGCCAGACCAGAATCGTGCCAGCAATCGTGGCAGGAAGGGGAAGAGGTAGCCAGCTGCACCGAACAGTCGCTGGAAGGCGGAGTACGTCAGGCTGAAAGGCAGGAAGATAATCGAGAAAGGAAAAGGCAGCGGCTGCGACAGCTGGTTTTCCGGTGTTGGAACCACTCTCGGTGCAGGCTCCAACCCAGCTGCTCTCCTCCGTGATGATGATCTCGAAGGTATGCCATCCATCAAAGTCTCCGTCCTCCGGTTATTCTGAGCCGGCGGGGCGACTCGTGCAGCCTCGGCAGCAGGATCGACCGTGTCTGCGTCGCCATCAAAGAAGCGGGTAATGGCTATCTGTGGGTTCCATTCGCATCGACGCAAGAGAGGTACGGCGGTTTCTATGTTCTGATCCGTCACCGATGTGAATTGCTGGAGTGCGAGTTGTTGGTCCTCTGTAAGGGCGCCAAGGTCTATGCTGGAGTTAGCCATTGCAAGATGAGCGGCATGTACTCCAGCAATGCTCAGCAATGCTGGTGGTCAGCGGGTTGAGTAATATGGCGTGGGGCAGAAGTAAGATATAGAGAAGATCACAAGATGGAATCCTCCATTTTCAAAGGTGTCAAGGTACTAAGGTAGCTAGCTTCACTTTAAGCTCAAGCATGGGCCTCAGGCACACGTAGCAGGTGGTGTCGCGGTAGCACACCACATCGCCATCGCATCGCATCGCAATCATTCACTTCCACTCCATCTCGTACCCGGAGTGCTGTCGCTCTCGCTGCCGACTCTTCAAACACGGCGTCCTCTCTCTCTCCGACGAAGGCAATTGTCGGCCCTCTTCGCGCTCGAGCAGGCAGAGCAAGCCGCTTCCACTTCGTGCTTGGACTGCGGAATGGACCACCTCAAGACGACGCCTGCTGATGACGGTTTTGCATCGTGACTTCTGCTTCCAAGACGGATTAGACAGCGCCTGACTTCCTACAGTCACGCTGTGCAAGGTATGTGAGACTTTTCCTTACTGTTCTTGAAGTAGCATCGGATACGCCGCGGCCGCAAGCAGCAGCAGCAGCATTTCGATATCGAGCATTGTCAAAGTGCGCCACAATGCCGCCCAAGCGGCGCAAGTTCATCTCCCTCAGCGAACATGAGGCGCTGACCGAGCCGCCCAGCGCCGACAGAGACCAGCCAAGAGCAGTCAGCAACCCGCTCTTGTTCAAGAACGCGTACCCGGTCGAAGTACGACCGCGGCGCAACGCCTCTGACGAATTGCGGAGACTGCAAACTGAGAGACTACCCTCAGGCCCACGCCTGAAAGCCGCAGAGCTTCAAGCGCTCCACGAGACCTTAGATACAAGGCGACCTGCGCAGAACCCACCTCATATCGACGAACCCCAGGACCCTCCCGATTTCGACGCCTCTCCCTCTACAAACAGAGCATTGGCTGCGCACGGCGTCGAATCTGCCATTCCCGAAAAGACGACGAATGAACAGGCTCTAGTAGTTCCTCGAATATCTGTTGTCCCCGCAGAAGACCTGCCCACTAACGTGCAGCCTCCGAATTCCAACATCGAGCGAGCAGTCACACTTACAAGTCCTGTTCATAGCTTCTTCCAAGGAAATTTGACCGCAGAGCCGCAATCGCAGCTTTCAATTTTACTGAGTGGCGACAAGGAGGACAACCCTCTCACGCATGCTACCGACAGTCCTCTGCTTGATCCGAAGGAAGTCGCGTACAAAGACGGCGGCACCACGCAGAAACCAATAACCGATCGAAGTAAATCTCTCCCGCATTCAAGAGACCATCATCCGCAGGGCAGTGATGATATGGCCAATGCGTCGTTCCGAATGTCAGGGGATGGACGAAGGTCAAATCGTTACGAGAATCGACCTCCGGCATCCTCTATCCTGTGTCGTAATGGGCCACAGTGTCGGAAATATCAAGAAGGTCAGTTTACCGGTCAAGCGCATTCTACGCGTTGCTAATTTGTTCTTAGGCACATGCAACTACAATCACGACTTCGGAAACTCCATGGCGCTGAATGGGGCCAACAACATGTCAGTAGATTCCCGCAAAATGAGCTTCGAATCTGAGATACTGAGCATCGACAGCTCGAAGAAGTCGCTTAATGTGGACTCGCCTGCATTCACGCCAAAGATAGGCCATGCCCAACTCGCAAAGGTCGGCATATCTCCCAAGGCTGCCGCAGCGGCTGCATTTACTCCACGCGGTTCCGGTGAGATGTCTCAATTCTAGGATGAACGTCGAGGCAGGGGCTGATCATGACTACTAGGATCGGTTACGCCAGCAACAAACACCCACTCCAAGGATCCATCGGCTGACTTCAGCCCGTCGCCAGCTTTCCAGCCGACCCAACAGGCGTTCCAGGAGTTCTTTCCCAGCCAACCGTATCTCGGCAGCCAGCAAACTGTGAGTCGGAACATGACTATCCTCTAAGTTCCTCCAATCTGACAGTCTTTCAGGTAGAGCCGCATGCAAACCTTCAAGCGCAACTCCACGCCTTCGATCCTTACGCGCAGCAGGGCATTGCAGGTCTGGATCCTTCTCAAACTGCTATCAACCCATACGCTCAACAAGCAGGTCATGCGGCGGGCCAGCCCTTCTTCCAGGATTCATCCGCTTTTCGGCCGCAGCCTAACTACCATCTTTACGCGTCGATAGGACCTCGACGTGACAACCTGATGCCCAATCAGCGCAGCACGACAGACTTTTTCATGCCAGACGACCTTCGTGAGGATCTCCAGCGGAAAGCAGAAGCAACGCTGCAGACTTTCGCCAACAGTACCTTACCTCGCCAACTCGAACACTTCCATTCGCTCGTTGCACTTGATACCAATAGTTCGAGAGGTCCCGCCACTTTTGGATATCCCAGTTGGATCTACAAGGCTACCTCCGCCCGGGATGGTCACACCTACGCATTACGGCGCATCGAAGGCTTCCGATTGAATAGCGAGGCTGCGATACGCACGGTGGCTACTTGGAAACGCATCACCAATGCAAGCCTTGTACAGATTCACGATGCGTTCACAACGAGAGTGTTCGATGATAGCTCTCTCGTTGTCGTGACTGCCTACCACCCGTGCTCCCAAACCCTGGCCGAGAAGCATTTCGGTAAATTCGGGAGCAGACAAGGCGTTCAGATTACGCCCGAGGTCGAGCTTTGGGGCTATGTCGTGCAGCTCGCAAGTGCATTAAAGACCATTCACGACCAGGGACTGGCAGCTCAGACGGTTGTCGCGTCCAAAGTTCTGGTAACTTCGAAGAATCGGGTGCGCTTGAACGGCTGCGCGGTGCTCGACGTCTTGCTCTACGAACAGCGGAAGCCTGTAGAAGATCTTCAGCGAGCCGACATGGTCAACCTTGGTCGGTTGGTCATGAGCATCGCAGCCCGCAACCCGAACGCATCTCAGAACGCGATCAAATCCTTGGAGCTGATCAGCCGCACCTACAGCGAGCGGCTCAGATCCCTCATTGCTTGGCTCTTGGCGCCTCCATCACTGTCGCCCGACACACCTCAGCAGCAGGAGGCACCAGCGTCACAATACAACATCAACACCTTGCTCAGCAGTATCTCGGATAAGGTCCTCAGCGTCTTCGACGGCACTCTTCATCGCGACGACGAGATGACTTCGACGTTGATGGGCGAACTCGAGAACGGGCGACTGGTTCGGCTCATGGCAAAGCTCAATGTCATATTGGAGAGACCAGACCAAGCCAGCACCCTCACCGCAGGCACAAACCCGGCGCTTGTTAACAACTCGTCCTCAGCGTGGTCCGAAATAGGAGATAGGTTCTACCTCAAACTCTTCCGGGATTACGTCTTCCATCAAGTCGACGCAGAAGGCAGGCCAGTCATTGATCTCGGCCACATCATTACTTGCCTCAACAAGCTTGACGCTGGAATCGACGAGAACATTCAACTCATTACTCGCGATGAGCAGAACATGATGATTGTGAGCTACAAAGAAGTCAAGCGCTGCTTCGAGACGGTCTGGTCGGAAATTTACAAAGCTTCCAGTCCCGCGAGGCGATAACCAATTCCCCAACAACAAAGCAGCCCTTATGGCAAAAGCCACAAGCCGCAGCTGGAATTTCCAATGGCGGATGAAGCGCTTGGGTTGATACGCGGATCGCCCTTAGCAGACGGTCGCCGTAATCAAGTGCATACAATCAGAGAAGAATGAGAAACGTGAAGTGATTGAAGGAGAGGAGAGGTACCCAGAGAAACCATCACCGAAGTAGATAGCAGTCATTGGAAAAGAAGGCGTGTTGAGGCCGATCGAATAGCACCTGCAAATACTTGCAAATGAGAATGAAAACAGTTGAAAACAGTATACTTTGCAGAATCCATTGTGCCAATTGACTGAAGGCTAGAAGGCTCGGCCTGTCGACTTGACGGTCTGCTCGATCGATACGCCCGCTCATTTCCCTATCAAAGTCTCGGGAAGAAGCACTAGCCTGCGAGTTTGGTGTTTTCCCTCGATTCCCAGCCATCACTTGCTGCCTCAGGAAGAGCCATTGCTGTTTGCCAAGCCACACTGGCAACTAAAAGGGAACTTGGGCGCCTTCCATCCCGTTGAGCACCATCAAATTATTATCATCAGCTGCTTCGTGTGTTGACAATGTCTCACGGTCAACATGACATCTCCAGAAAGCTCTCCGGTTCGATTCTACAGGGAGCGCAACTGAAACCAAGGCCGCACGCAGGCTCACGCAGTTCGGTATGGTCGAGTGGAGCTGAAGGTCCTAATGACACTGACCGACACCCTTAAGCCTGGGTTATGTTCAGAAAGAATGGCAAAAAATTGCTGGACCGGCTCGAGGCTGACCTCGGACAGCTGAGCAAGACTCGCCAACATTTGCACATGTAGGGAAACAGTAGTCGACGGCCATCAGATGCACGTATCATTCAAGACTGCGTGGAGCTCACTTTTGACAGTCACGTCATGGTGTTTGGTATCACTGCAGATCAATTGGGGTTGATGACCGGAATCCAGAAACCAGTCTTGAGGAGACTTGAATCCTCTCCGAAGCGAAATTGAGGATGCACGGAAGAAGCTGCATTCCATAAGGCAATAATTAGCTGAGTCGACCACGGTTGTGGAAATCTCAAGCCCACCGCCAAAAGAAGGAATTTCTCATCCCGTCTGGGCATACCAATTTGCGGCACTGTGCTCTGTCCAGATGTGCCCAGCGACTTAGTATCAATCTATTATCTTCTCGAAACTCCTCGCAGACACTGACTTTATAGCCAGTCGGACTCAGCAGGAAGAAGGGCCGAGAGAAGGTCCCAGTGCGGCAAGAATCTGGTTCGAGGATAGCCGAGGGGGAAGCTAAATTTTGGAGCGACGGCTTTCAAGCAAGGTCCTGTTCGATAGCCGGGGACATCCGTCACTTGTATACGAAACTTGCGCTCCTCTTCGATCAGAACTCGAGGGTGACGCATTGGCTCTCCGCGCCCATTGCTGCGAGTTTTGACCGGCAGGTCATGGATCTTGGTTGAAGGCTTAATTTGGCTCAATAGAAAGAGTTTCTTCAGAATACGTTCAACTGCCAGCGAGCATTTCTTTGGGTTCGTCTGTCTTTGCCTTTCGTCGTCCAGAACACGTGCAATCAAAAGATCTCGCTGCAGATGGAGTGGTATTCTCCGAGTAGCGACGAGCAGCCATTGAGAATTCCCGCGAGTGGAAGCGTCGAAAAGAGCTGTAAAGCGGGGCTATCGTTGCTGAACTGTATTCAAGAATAGCAAAGAATCCAGGAACATCGCCAAGCAGTGCCAGAGCGATTGGTGAGGAGACACCGGTTCTCTCGTAAACGATCGTAGCCAATGTGAACTTAATGCATTTCGCCAAGTCGTTCTATATTATGGTTGCGGGAAGGGTGCTGGCCACTTTTTGGGCATTAGTCCGTATCTTTGTTTCATGATAAGTATGCGAGCATCTCCGTCTTGTTATCCATTATCGTCGCGACTGATATTGGCGGCCAGGAACGATGTTCGCAAGACTGATGCTGCTGGCGTGTAGTGGCTTTTCCGCTGCACTGGCATATTCGGATCCAGGAGCTTGCTCAGGAGTATGCGGCAACACACATGATCCATCGATCATCCAACGGAGCGATGGGAGATACTTTCGGTTCTCCACCGGCGGCCTCATCCAGATCCATACGGCGCCGTCAATATCAGGTCCATGGACATTCGCATGTGAGATGCTGTCGAAAGCGGCCAGGCTGCAGGTAGAAAACAATAAGGGTACAGACTTGTGGGCTCCGGATGTCTCGCTGGTAGGCGATGTATACTACGTCTACTACAGCGTCAGCTACTTCGCCAGCCAAAACAGTGGCATCGGCCTCGCGACTTCAGACACCCTGGAGTGCGGTTCGTTCACAGACTTAGGCCCTACTGGAGTTGCATCTTGCAACGGTAGTGTGTACAATGCCATCGATCCGAATCTCGTACCAACCGACGACGGCTATCAGCTGCTTTTTGGCGGGTTCTGGCAAGATCTGTACACGGTGGCCTTCAGCGAGCCACCTGCCAGGGCCGCAGGAACCTCAGTGCAAGTCGCATATGACCCATCAGATAAACATGCTGTAGAGGGCGGGGCAATGATCAACACCAACGGATACTGGTACCTTTTCTTCTCTGCCGGCCAGTGCTGCGGATACAGTCGGTCCATGCCAGCAGCGGGAGGAGAATACAAGATCAAGGTCTGCCGCTCGACAAGTCCAACCGAGGGCTTCGTAAGTCTTGTCAGTCGTGTTTATCCAGAAAGTGCATTGAAATTGACCGTGATCAGGTTGATGCGTCGGGCACCGACTGCCTCCAGGCAGGCGGCACAATCGTACTCGAATCGCACGACAATGTGTACGGCCCGGGTGGGCAGAGCGTTTACCACGACTCAGAAAATGGCTGGATTGTGGTATACCACTATGTTGACACGAATATCGGATACGCAGATGGCGACAAGGTGTTTGGATGGAATATGCTCGACTTCAGCAGTGGTTGGCCGGTCATTCAGTGACCACAAAACCAGTCTTGTTAGGCGAGAGAATACCCACTGTGCTTTGCATTGCAACGCGTTCCGCCCCGAGTTCTCAAGTTTCAACAGCCCGAGCAAGACCACGGTCACACGAGGGCGAATGTGCGGTAAGTAGTGTGAAGACTTCATCCTGCAGCTCTTCGACCCTCATCAAGGCCTCGTGTTGGTTTCTGCATGTAGAGAAGTTTCAGGTCGATGCGGTATCCTGGTCTTCGTCATGCCGCCAAGAAAGTTCCCATCGTGGAGTTCTGTGCTGTGTGTGGTGCGTGAAGTGCGTCTTGCGGATTGTCACGGCGGAATGACGCTGGAACAGCTCAGATGCGACGTGGTTATCAGGAGATGCTGACAAGGGCGCGCACGGATTGCTTTTGGGCACGTCTCAGCCGACGGGCCGAACCCAAAGCACTCACGAAGCTTCCCGAACCTTCGACTATGTGCTCGATCGTGCAAGAAGCGTGTGATAGGATCGCATGTCTGCCCAACTTCAACCAAGCCAAAGCCTACATATTCATGTCGTTCAACGCAACCTCTTCTTTGTTCCACACATACACATTCAGGAAGTCAACCGTCTGTTGCACGACAATACACCGTGGGAGCTCGAAGGAGCGTATTTCTTTTCCTTTCGAAACCGACATCCTACCGATAGACAAACAACACTATTTCCTAGTTGAGCGACCCTAATTCAAAGATGGCGAGCAACTACAGCTTCACCGACAAGGCGACTGCCGCTCTCTCAGACTCGCAAGAGATCGCACAACAACATGCCCACTCGCAACTGCTGCCAATCCATCTGGCGGTTGCGCTGATCGATCCTCTTCCAGACCAATCCAAGGACCAACAGAACAACTCCGCACATTCTTCTCATAGTTCAGCACCACTGTTCAAGCAAGTGGTAGAGCGAGCACATGGAGACCCACAACTGCTGGAGAGGTCCCTCAACCGGGTACTCGTCCGCACACCATCACAAGATCCACCGCCCGAGAATATCTCTGTCTCGCCTGCGTTCTCCAAGATTCTGCGGAGCGCCAACGAGCTCTCGAAGACACAAAAGGATAGCTACATCGCTGTGGACCACTTGATCCAGTGCTTGGTCCAAGATCCCACCATCCAAAAATGCCTTGCAGAGGCCAACGTACCGAACCCGAAAACGATCGATCAGGCTATCCAGACCATCCGAGGCACCAAGCGTGTTGACAGCAAGACCGCAGATGCTGAGGAAGAGAACGAGAATTTGAAGAAGTTCACCATCGACATGACTGCAATGGCAAGAGAAGGCAAGATCGATCCTGTCATTGGACGAGAGGAAGAGATTAGAAGAGTCATCCGCATTCTTTCAAGGCGGACGAAGAACAACCCTGTCCTTATTGGTGAGCCAGGTGTCGGAAAGACAACTGTGGTCGAAGGCTTGGCCCGCCGGATAGTAGACGCAGACGTTCCCTCTGGGCTTGCTGCTTGCAAGCTTCTCTCGCTGGATGTCGGTGCGCTTGTCGCTGGTTCGAAGTACCGAGGAGAGTTCGAGGAGCGCATGAAGGGAGTTCTGAAGGAGATTGAAGAGAGCAAGGAGATGATTGTTCTCTTCGTCGACGAGATTCACTTGCTCATGGGCGCCGGAAGCTCCGGCGAGGGTGGTATGGACGCAGCGAACTTGTTGAAGCCTATGCTTGCTCGAGGACAGCTGCACTGCATTGGTGCGACCACGCTGGCCGAGTACCGAAAGTACATCGAGAAGGACCAGGCTTTCGAGCGTCGCTTCCAACAAGTTTTAGTCAAGGAGCCATCTATCTCCGAAACTATTTCCATTCTGCGTGGACTGAAGGAGAAATATGAGGTTCACCATGGTGTCACAATCCTCGACAGTGCCATTGTGTCTGCTGCCACTCTTGCCGCGCGTTACCTCACCCAGCGACGATTGCCTGACTCTGCTGTTGACTTGGTCGACGAAGCAGCTGCAGCAGTCCGTGTGGCCCGTGAGTCGCAACCCGAAGTTCTGGACAGCATGGACCGTAAACTCCGACAACTCGAGATTGAGATTCATGCTCTCGACCGCGAGAAGGACGAGGCTTCTCAGGCTCGTTTGAGAGAAGCTCGAGCAGAGAAGGCGAACATTGAAGAGGAGCTCAAGCCGTTGAGAGAGAAGTACGAGCGCGAAAAGGAGCGATCGAAGGAGATTCAAGAGCAGAAGATCAAGCTTGACCAATTGCGAAACAAGCAGCACGAAGCCGAGCGTACCAGAGATCTGCAGACTGCTTCCGACCTCAAATACTACGCCATTCCAGATGTCGAGGCTCGGATCGCTGAGCTCGAGCAAGCCAAAGCTCAAGCCGAGAGGGACGAAGCTGAACGCAACGCGGCATATGGCGAGCAGTCGCTTGTGGCTGATGCCGTCGGACCTGACCAGATCAACGAAATCGTCGCTCGCTGGACCGGTATTCCCGTCACTCGACTCAAGACGACTGAGAAGGAGAAGTTGCTGCAGATGGAGAAGGTTCTTGGCCAGCAGGTCGTTGGTCAGAAGGAGGCTGTCACATCTGTCGCCAACGCAATTCGACTGCAGCGGTCTGGTCTCGCCAACCCTGGCCAGCCGCCATCCTTCCTCTTCTGTGGTCCTTCGGGTACTGGAAAGACGCTGCTTACCAAGGCGCTTGCCGAATTCCTCTTCGACGACCCGAAGGCGATGATCCGTTTCGACATGTCAGAATACCAGGAGCGACACTCACTGTCTCGTATGATCGGCGCACCACCTGGCTACGTCGGTCACGATGCCGGTGGACAGCTCACCGAATCTCTCCGTCGGCGACCATTCAGCATTCTCCTCTTCGACGAGGTGGAGAAGGCTGCCAAGGAGGTTCTTACTGTCCTGCTGCAACTCATGGACGATGGCCGCATTACTGACGGTCAAGGACGCATCGTCGACGCCAAGAACTGTATTGTGGTCATGACATCGAACTTGGGTGCTGAGTACCTTGCCCGGCCTAATGCTCCGGACGGTAAGATCGACCCAACGACGAAGGAGATGGTCATGACTGCGCTGAGGAACTACTTCCTGCCGGAGTTCCTCAATCGTATCTCCAGCATCGTCATCTTCAACCGTCTTACGAAGAAGGAGATCCGCAAGATTGTCGATGTTAGACTGGAGGAGATTCAGAAGCGTCTATCCAGCAATGGACGCAACGTCAAGATCGAACTTAGCGACGAAGTCAAAGACTACCTTGGCTCAGCGGGATACTCGCCGGCCTATGGTGCTCGTCCTCTGGCTCGTCTCATCGAGAAGGAGGTCCTCAATCGCATGGCTGTGCTCATCCTCCGCGGCTCTATCAGAGACGGAGAGACTGCACGCGTTGTACTTGAGGATGGCCACATTGTCGTCTTGCCAAATCATGGCGAGAGCGATCTCGATGATGAGGAAGACGAGGAAATGTGGGATGAGGAAGATGCCGTTGAAGAGCTCAATGGCGAAGGAGGAGATATGGACCTGTATGATGAGTAAAGGACTCATCAAAGTGTAGATGATGACGATGCATGAGAGTAATGAATTCCACAGCGTTCAAGCGGGTATGAGGTGCTTTAGGATAAAGTGATGAGAAATGGGATAATAAGGGAGTCAATGGAGGAACTCCATGGAAAGCAGGTCTGCCTGAGTGTAGATAGACCTGAGCAGAACGAAACCCAAATTGATATTTTACCCTGTGCCTTGCCTGTTCGCCATGCATGGACATGACACCTTTTCACATTATTATACAGCAGTGTTGCTCTCGAGAGTATCTCTGTGAGAGTGAGGCTAATAGGACTGGTAACTGGCAGACGAGTAAAAAGATTCGTCGAGAGGACCAGCTCAAGGCGAGAGAAGGCTCAGTCACTGTTTCATGTTGAAGCATAACATGGTTTGGTCAGGTGAGAGGCGTTAATGTCGCAATTATACGACCAGGATGGACGGGAATAGATCGATTAGTGCGCACGCGTGTGCAAGGCCCACTTGAGACATGTTGGCCACTTGGCGGCTCATGCTGTGAACGAAGCGGATGTGTTGACGGCACCTACGACGACCTCGACAACACCAATATCGACATCAACATTTGCAACAAGATCAACTTGGAAGGGAAAAGGAGGGTTTGCTGCAGAAATTAGCCAGCGGTAGGATCGTGGACGCCCAGTGGTCGGCGCATTCAGGCACACCCGCCCGCCATCTGCAGGAGGGAACGAGCCGACACCTCGGCCATCTTCCGTACATACCTCTCTTCGCCGTGTCATTTCCTCCCTTTCGCAACAAGCACTCGACATCCTCATACGACCACGCATACAACACTCGGGAAATCGCAAAACCATACCTAACTACATCGAGATCCGTAAAGATCATGCGCGCGCGATAGTCGAAAATCCCCCGAGGCTACCGGCAACCTTTTCACCCCAGCACACCAGATCGTGAATCTCACCTTCGAAGCTACATCCATTTCCCGCCCGCGACGATGATAGAAGATAAATATATCGGCCTCGCACTGGCCGTGACTTCGACACTAGGAATCGGCGCTTCTTTCGTCATCACAAAAAAGGGCCTCAACGCTGCCGCTGAGCGACATGGTTTCGAGGGCGATGGATTCGCATACCTGCGCAACCCCATATGGTGGAGTGGCATCGTGACCATGGTTGTCGGAGAAGTGTGCAATTTCAGTGCGTACGCTTTTGCGCCTGCGATTCTGGTCACGCCTTTGGGCGCACTGTCGGTGTTGATTGGCGCGGTACTTGGGAGTTACTTTCTGGGAGAGAAGCTAGGGATATTGGGGAGAGTAGGCTGTGCGATATGTTTGATTGGGAGTGTGGTCATTGTATTGCATGCGCCGCCGGACAAGGAATTGAAGAATATCGATGAGCTGTTGCATTACGCTATGCAGTTGGGTGAGTATACACACACCACAGGCAAGACAGGACGTGGTCGCTAACGTGAGGGTGCAGGCTTTTTAACATACATGATCATTGTGACAATATTCGCCGTGATCATGATCTACAAGATTGCGCCGGTATACGGCAAGAAGAATCCCATGATCTACTTGAGCATATGCTCCAGCGTGGGATCGATATCGATCATGGCAATCAAGGGATTCGGAATCGCCGTCAAGCTTACTCTGGGCGGGAACAACCAGTTCACACATCCCTCGACTTACGTCTTTGCGGTGGTTGTAGTGGTCTGCATTCTCACGCAGATGAACTATTTCAACAAGGCGCTGAGCCAATTCAGCACAAACATGTACGTCTCCCAAGCCCGGCCTCTGCCACCCGACTCCCTTCTAATATGTCGTGACTGTCAGTGTGAACCCACTCTACTACGTGACCTTCACAACTTGTACACTGGTGGCCTCCTTCATCCTTTTCCGCGGCTTCAACACGACAGACGCAATCAACACAATATCCCTCCTCTGCGGCTTTCTCACCATCTTCACCGGCGTCTACCTCCTCAATCTCTCCCGCGAGGACCCCAACGGCGCAAATCTCGGCATCAACCAAGACTACCGAGGCGCATACCACGAAGTCGACGGAATCCCCACAGATGGCCTCACAGGCCTTCAAACGCGCTACAGCATGTCACGAAGAAGCGAGGAAGGAGAACGACACCGCAGATCCACCAGCTGGAGTCTCCGAAGTCCAGTCAATGGCGGCGGTGGAACGTGGAGTAAAGACTACGGCGCAAGAGATCAGGAAGATCTATACGACGTGGAAGCGAATAAACTCCACGATCTAGCAGAGGACAGTGATGAAGAGAACTCCGGGGATTCCAACACGAAGCGAACCAGTTTCGGAGATGAGAACAAAAAGCATGGGCCAGGCCAAGGAGGAGGAGGAGGAAGAGGCTCTTCCTCTGGGTCCAGGAGAGTGCATTCGGAAAGTGTAAGAATTGGCGGCAAGAGTTTCGATCATCAACGATGACACCCGCCGCCGCCGCCGTCACCGAATGCAGATCATGCGAGAAACGAGTGAAAATGCGAACGAATGTGTCTGGGAAGGGGGAATTTTATCCCGGGCGTTTTTTGGGCGAATATACGTGATGGCTAGCTGGCATTGGGCCAAGGGCAAGGCGAAGCAAATGAAAGTTCCCTCCTCCTCCTCCAAGCGAAGCAGCGCGGCATTTAAAGGAGAGAAAGAGAGAGATATATTCTTGTTGTTTGTCAGTCAATGCACACGTACGAACCGGCGTTATTGATTCCTTTTTTGGTTTTTCCTTGCAACACCTCAACCAGCAAAGAAGCGTGGTGTGGATCGTTCCAGTCAAAAAAAAAAAACCACTACCTATCTACTACATGTGTACCACCAACATTCGAGCTCCTTCTCAATTCAATAGGAGGTGAGAGCCCTCTAGGTTGTGCATCCGTCCGTGAGTGCTGTGGCCTCCTCCTCCTCCTCCTCCTTCTCCTCCTCCTCCTTCTCCTCCTCCTCACAAGCTTTCCCTCCATCCATCATCATCGCGCGGAAAACATTCCTTCCTTCCTTCCTTCCTTCCTTACTTCTTAGATAGATAGCAGCAGGGAGAGAAAGGAAAGATCTCTATCTACAAGCAAGCAAGCAGGAGTAAGTAAAAGGAATGTATCTTTTCAAACCTGTTCACCCGAACGAAACATTGATCAAAAAAAGGAGCCTCTTTTTCTTCTCTTTTCTCGGGGGGGGGGGGGATTGCGCAAATTCGAGTGCCTACGGGAAGAGCAAGAGGCGCATTCAGCCAGCCGGAAGGCGGCAGCAGCAGTAGCAAGCAGATTGCTCAAGTTCTTGGGCCCATGAAGAGCGAAGTAGCGAGCTAGCGCGGGCCGACTATGTGAAGGCGAGGGGAGGCACGAGCGTGCGTGCGTGCGTGCTTTGCACCTTAGCATCGTAAGTTGGCTCATTCATCATCATCATCATCATCATCTATCTATCTCTGCCGGTCAAAATTCGAAAGCAAGGAAGGAAGGAAGAAAGGAAGGAAGGAATGAAAAGTCTTGCCTTTTGCACAGATTCGAAAGAATCACTCAGATAATGCTGCTGTCTGGCAAGCAAGGATGGGAAATCTCAACCTAGATATCATACCCATTCTCTGTAACCACCAACTTGGAGCGTTTCTTTATTCTGAAAAGAAAAAGAATTGAAATTGAAATCGACACTGCCATTCCTCCCTGGCTCCTATCTATCCATCATGGTCTCATAACCCTAGAAGATTCTTCCTCTACATCTTTGATAGATATCTCATGCCTGGAAAGATGCTCCTGAAACGCCAACGCTTTACTCGCTACGTAGGTAGGTAGGGAGGGAGGGAGGGAGGGAGGGATTCCCAAACGCTCAATGCTTCCCCTCCCCAAAAAAACAACACGCAATAGGTGGTATCTCTTCTTCATCGTACAAAGAATCAAAAGTCGCACAACGTGAACAATTGAGAATTGATCTGCCTTTCAAGCAATACTGCTTCCCAAAAACCCAAGCTCGCTGAAAATGTCTTCAGCCAGGGAGCGTCCTTCGCCCTCGCCCGAGTGGACGAGTGGGGATGGAATGGGAGGCACATCTTGTCCAGATCGTGGAGGTATAGAAACGTTCGATGCGGTCTTCACCAGAGATTGATTACTCTCGGAAGCAATAGTCGGTAGGGAATAGTTGACAAAAGAGCGAGAATTGAATCTCCGAATAAGCTCGTAAGAGGTCCGTCCAGCGCTGACAGATTGACGATTGCGGCTTTGCTCATTGGCATCAAGCGCTCGCAAGCGATCTGCAATGTCCACCAGACTGTCGTCTTCTAGTTGGGCTGAATCATGCCTCGTGCTCTCCCGTAGCGAATTCTGAGCTGACAATCTAAAGGGAGTGTTTTGGCCGGCACTGCTAATGGTATCTGCTGAAAATGTGGGCGAAGTAAGATCGTAGTTGTCCAAATCATTTGCAGTCGGCGAGTCCTCATCGCACTCCTCGGATGGCCATTTCGAATAGTACGTGGCTGGCGCAGCGGACGAGATGTGTGACCCAAGCTGGTTACCACTCAAGTACTCGCCAATGTCCAGACTAGGTAGCGAGTACAAGCGAGGCCGGTGCCCTTCTGGGTCCTCGGAGAGCTTTGAGCCAGGTCTCGAGCCGTAGAATGGGACGTTTTGCACCGATTGGGGACCCTTTCTGTTCTGCGAAGGCTCCGATTGTAGATGAGGCGGATATGCGACCGAGTCTTCAGTGATTGTTCGATCGGCAGCAACGTCAGCAGCTCGCGGAGATGCAAATAGAGTGGCACCAAATCCCAAGAAGGACGGACCCAGTCTATCAGGATACGGAAAGTCGGGGAGATCACCCTCGTCCTCGTGCTCGAGGTCCTGCTTTGCAGGCTCGCTCTGCTTCCCTGTGCTCCGGGGGCTGACGGGCGCAGAGTCGGTCCCATCCTGTGAATATACGGAGCTGGCACGAGACTCCGCTCGCTGCTCTGTACTTTCGGCGGCATCGTTCGCGAATTCTCTCTCAGCTTCCTGCGAATGCGAAGACGGCAATGGCGAGACGGTATCTGCAAGGACAACGAGCGGCACAGAATTGCTCTCTAGCCGACCATCCAACGCCTCGTCCGACAGACATCTGGAATGAATCTTGGAAAGCGGGGGTGCCTCGACGGAAGCGAATTTATCTCCCGGCTCCATGGTCTGCCGGCAGCCAGCATCTGCAAGACTGCCAATGATGTCTTCGTAGGCGCTGCGGCATCTCTCGGGCGGCGCCAGAAGTTCAATGGGTACATCCAGGATATTGACCTTCTGGCCGGGTAACAGCGGACAGCTGGTGGAATGGGGTTGCCTCTCGTCAAAGGAGTCCAGATCATAATTGAGCCGGTAGTAATACCAATACGTTCCGCCCTGCCTGAGCCCACCGCTCCTTGGCTTCACCCACTTCAGATCGTCGCCGTCGTAGATGATGTTCTCGAATTTGAAGCATCCGGACCAGAAGTCATTGCCTCTCCGACGATCATGGTGCATGCGATATGGAACGTTAAAGTTGTCCCAGGACCCAAGCAGTTCCACCGTTCGCACTTCGGGAGGCGCACGGAATAGGAATGTCACCAGAGTTGTAGGATCCAAAGTGTTCGGTTCGAGTTCCAAGTTCATGGTCGGTTATATTTCTTCGAGGATGCGGGTCGTTGTTGCTGCGAGAAGGAAGGCGTCCTCGAGAGACCGGAAAAGTCTCACCAGCAATTCGAGAGCTCACGAAGCCATGAAAGCCGGACAGCAGGAGTCAGGATCACAGAAGTGAAGGGGTCGAGAGTCGTCGAGTCGTCGAGTCCAAAAGTCCAGAAGTCCAGACGAAGCGAACTGGAGTGCAGGACCGTTGGTCGGTAGACAGCACCGCTCCTTCCCGCGATGCCCAAGACCAGAATTAAGTAAGCCTTGCAGGCACGAGCCAGACAAGCAACGGCTGAGAAGGATACTATCGGCAAGAGCGTTCAACGGCAATCAAAGCCGCGTGCTCTCTCGCTCCGTATCGACGTCTTCGGCCGATGTAGAGATGCCCGGTTCTGTTTCCTCTCTTCTCGACTGCTTGTGACTAACAACAATAACAACAACAACAACGACGACGGCTGGATGGCTCCAGCGGAGAAGAGAGAATTCTGCCGCCCCATGGCCGGGTGACGTCGAGGTTATCTCCTCCAAGGAAGCACAGAAGCAACACAGAGATGCGAGCAGGGATTAGTTGGAGCCGGGGTGCCCGAATGGGAAGCAGAGTGGGAAATGGAGATGGATAGGCGCGCGATAGTTTCCCGCGCGCCAGCCAGCCGTTGTTGAGCAAGCCACTTTGCAGCGCACAACTTGCAAAACCCGCCCCTCGGAAGCCTGTGCCCTGCATCGCATCGCTTCGCTCTCGTCATCTTCCATCATGGTTGCGCGGTCTTCGGTATTGGGGTTGCGGCTGCAAGTTCACAGCAGCTGGACGATTTCCGACGGTGGGAAGGCCCGGCTCTCCTCGTCGATACAGTAGTTGTCTGAGCAACAAGCGAGATCCCGACCTTCTGTCCCCCAATCGGCTGGACGAGGAGGGAGCTCTCACCGAGCGTGGCGGCAGGCAGAAACCTAGATTTTCGTCATATGCTCTGATTCGCTGGCTTCTTGTCTCGGGCCTCCGTGCCGAACCCGCCGAATGAGGTGCGCAAAACGAACGAGTCTCCTATATGTGACTTCCCTCTATATGAAACGGCAGATAGCTCGAGCTCCTAGTAATACAGTACAGTCGACGCACCGTCTCTCCACCACTCGCCTACCGCGACAACACGTGCCTAAGACCTCTATATCCCATATTCGATATCACTCCTTTTCCGCATCAAGTTGATCGCAGTCTCCACTGATTTGCTCCTTGGCGTGCCTAAAGCATCGCATGGGAACGTAGTATACAAGGTTGGGCCAGACCATCTGCTGACTAGCTTTGCAATATCATCATTCCACATCGTCAGGAGAGGAACCCCCTCGACGCGTTCCTGGCTCGTTCATTGCTGAACGCTGCGATTTTCACGGCGTCCAGGACGACTTCCATCCCATTCATTGCACCATGGAAGGGTGCACCGCTACTGCTGATGCGCTGGACTCTCAGGCGCCATTGAGATTTGCGAACGACCCACTCTTCGCCTTCGTCCTCTCCTTCGTCTTGCCTTCGACGCTTGCCGCCGGCTCTCGACGGCTCGCTCTCCATGACGGACTCATCATCGTCAACAACATCGCCGAGAATCCACGACTTGCCATTCAGCATGACATCCGCGTCAGGTCCAATTCGCACTTTTACTCGCTCCTCGCTCACACCGTGATCATGAGGACTGGCTGGTAAGCTCGCGACGCCAGCGCCGCGCTCTAACATGATGAGGTCGAGAGGTTGTGCGAGCGGCAAGTTCGTTTGGCTGGCTACAACCGAGAACAGGCTTGCAATCCTCTGCAACGTCTGTCTATGAAAAGTTGCCCGTCCCATGCGGGCCGTCGATCCATGTTTAATCGAGAGATACATGTTCTCTTCTCCACCAACTTCCAGAATCAGGCCGTAGGCTTCGGAATCCACATACGGTCGTTGGTAGTATATCCATCCAGCGGCGGAGGCTATGCTTGATGTACTGCTTGCCGGAGACGGCGCTGCTGGGTACTGACCGGCGTTACCCGTATCCGCGACGAATGATATTCCAGATTGTCTTACGTCTTCTAAGCGAATGAGGATCTCTGACCTCTTGCGGGGAAGATTATACGATATCTCATGTGGTATCAAGCGCTGCTCCAGGCCTTTCAAGTGGTAGTAACGTGCATCTCGCAGGAGCTCTTGGCGATGCTCGTCGTTTCGTATCTCCACGGGATACCCTTTGAGAATGTGCAGCAGGTCTGCAAATGTCTTTGCCGATTTATTTGGCAAGCTTGGAGGGAGAATCGATGGAGGCCGTAGCAATGTCCGCTCCGAGAGCCCGGGAAATACTTCCTCTGGTGTGGTGAAGATGAAGCTGAAACCCAGAGTGAAATAGTTTGGTGAGTCTCCAGGGTTATTGAACAGACCTCGCGGTATTCGAAATTCTCCGTCGCCTATTCTAATATATATCGTCGACGAGAACAGCTGTGCCGTGAGCCGCGGTAGGGTATAAAACTGTGCATCTGCGAAGAGTTTGGTGAAATGCGATCCGTCCCTGGGCTCGATGTGGTAGCCTTGCAGGTGTAACGCGATGTCCTCGAACGTCGCTGGGTCTCTGTCGATGTATAATGTGCGCACACTGTCAGCGCCTTCGGCCTGTCGTAACTGATCCTCGAAGAATTGGGAAAAGTAGGATGGAGCTCCACACAGTGTCAGCACAGCGTCAGTAAAATGGACCACATATCCAATACTTACCATCCGAAGATATCGATGCACCCGATAATCCGAATAGCTTGTCGCCAATCTGGATTGGGAACACCTTCCTCGCCGGCAACAGCATAGGCTGACCCGGATCCGTCGCAGCGCGTCTCGGCGCAGCTGCTGGGCCATCTAAGACTCCGAGAGCAGGTCGCACTGCTTGGAAACCCGTAGCTTCAGCCGAGTGGGATGTAGCTGTCTCGTCTCGATCTCGAATTTCCGGTCCACTCTGAGACCTCGTGGCTGGTGCTGGTGGTCTGTTCTCTCCTGGAGATAGGCCCTCCTGAGTCGCTGTCATAGCGCGGGCTTCCCTCTCTTCTGCTTGTCTTGCTGCTTCCGGAGACTCTAATTCTGCTGCAGTGGGTGGTACAGCTCCCGTAGGCTGTTGTGATACTACAAAGCCGTCACTACTATTTCCTCTGTTGTTATCAGAAAATGACCAGCCGGGATTATTGGAGCCACCGATGGTATTGGGGTAGTGAAACTCTTCTTTTGCAGGCTTTTGGATGCGTTGTCCCTGCAGTAACTCGCCTTGTGGTTCGTGATATGACTTTTGTGGATTCTTCCGATGTGTATGCAAATCCCCGATGAAAGTTTCCATCGGCCTCCTCGCTCCGCTATCACCATGACCAGCAGTCGCTTGACCTTGGATAGGTCTGGACGTGCTCGGTGGGGAAGTGTCTCGCGCACTACGGTCCGGCGGCTCGACGCGATCGCCGTCGCCGTTGTTCTCGTTCTGAACAGCGTGGGAAGTCTTGCTTAGGGAAGCCATCTGCGAAGTCGACCAAGCCGTAGCTTTCTTTCCACCGACAGGCGAAGGCTTGGCTCTACAGCCATCGTGCTTTCGATTTGATCTCTCTCTGCATCACTTGGCACTCAGCTTTTCTGATCCGCCAGTCAGCAGAGTTCGAGGCATCACAGCATGGGTGCTGCAGTGAATGCAGTGGTTCGAAGTGCATGGTAATTAGCCCCACTTGTCTCTTCTCGGCTTCGGCCTCGCAGCTTTGCTGACAGTGCATTGACGGCGATCGACTTCCATAGAGCGGCACACGTCCTGGACGTCTCGACACGTTTCGAACGACGGAGAAGAAAGACAGTCGCGCGAGGTGGCATGCTTATCTTGTAGGTGATCTCGAGCGAGACGGATCCGGAGGCAAGAAGTGAGTGCGAGACCGGGGTTTCGGACGGCGAGCCGACTATGAGTTCTTGAGCAGGAGCTGCGAGAGCGAGAAGAGGCAGGCACCGCTTTGTGTGACGAGTCCAGACTCTTGAGTCCAGTCTTCATCAGCTCAGCCCTACATTTTGCCTTGATACGTTAGAGGGGAAGTTGGCCGAGCAAATCTCTCTCAATCTGGTCACTCGCGGACCGCTGATATCAACTGCAGGATTCGTGCGAGATGTGCTACTCTGGGCTCGCCATCTCAGGTGTCTGCAGGTCGGGGATCGAGGACTGGACTGCCCAGGATTCCCTCGCCTCACGAGAGTATTCGGCATGCTTTCTCCAGACATCAGCGCCCTCTGCAGTGCCGGACAGTCGATTGAGGCTCGCTCCCGGAATGTACCAATGTTGGATCCCAATATCAAAGTGAATGGAGTGTAGATCTTCTATACAAGTAACAGTACAACACTCCAGATGTCCATGCCCGGGCCTACAATCGGGTGGTGTACTTCTCGCCAGTCACTTCCTCAATCTTCGCAACACTCTTCTTGTACCCTTCCTCGGCCTCTAGCGTGTCAATGTAGCCCATCAATTTGGGATATGTGGCTTTATCAATCTTGTCCGATGCTCGTGCAGCCAACAAGGGGAAGCTCATCAAGATATCAGCCTACACATAAAGCGTCAGCAACACAGATACCAGCCTCAAAGCGTGGAGTTCTCCTCACCGCCGTCAATTCCTTTCCACAGAGGTACTTCCCACCGTCCGGAGATGAGGCGATCTGCGATTCTAAGAAGCCAAAGTGCGTCGCGAAATTCTCCGTGAGGAACGCAGATTCCACGCGAGCCGCAATCTGGCGGGTAATCGGCTTGATAAAGAAGGGCACTGGGGCGTTTTTGATTTCTGGAAGCGATGTCAGAGCCCAGCACCACCCCCACAACATTCGCAGGACACTCACGATCAATGAAGAGTCCCAGCAACAGAATCGTCATCAACGAGCCCTCAGCATAGTGCATATAGTAGCGATACCGCAACCACTGCTCCGTCTCGCCGCCAACCTGGTTCTCCTTGCCCTCCTGGTACCGCTTGGGGACCAGATGCTGAGCAAAGTAATCGGTCAAGTACTCGCTCATGAAGCCAGACTCGGCAAGCACGAGCGGCTTAGCAGCATTCGGTGCCTCGACGGCGATCACTGGCGATTTCCCAAGAGGATGGATTTCCTTAAGTTCAGGAGGAGCCAGCATGTTGGACATGCGCTTGTAGACTTCGATCTTCAATTCGATGCCTTTGCATTCTTGCAGAAGCCATACGAAACGCTGAGATCTGGACTTGTCCAGCCTGTGGTAACACCATTTGATCGTTAGTTAATTCTGTTTCCTTGCAATGCAGTGGCAAGCGCTCCTGGCCTTCCCGCGGAAGTTCCCGGGGTGAATCGTACCAGTGAAGCGTGACTTTGGTCTTTGTGGCTTCTGTTTCCGCCATCTCGTCGATATTTTGATCCCGCACGGTATCACTATAAAAGAGATGTAGAAGAGAAGCAGGAGATCGGTGACTGTTTATCATCAACAGAACCGGGCAATCACGAGACACCGAGCATAACACCTCGGTGATCTTAATCGGCTACGAGACATCCGAGCGCCAAGACCCTTGCTCCATCGAACGTCAGTCGAACCTGCCTGTAGCTTAGCTCACGATCAACGACACCTCCAACTTCACACCTTCAACTCGAGACCACAGAACAGTATCTCGAGCAAAGATGAGACCTACTTTCCGCCGGATGGCGGGCGGTAATGGTATACCGCACCGAAGCGCTTCCGACAGCGAACCCAAGGACGCGCAAATGGCTAACAACACCTCACAGCCGTCAACCTCGACCCGGCGCTGGTGCGCTATGCCAGTGAGTAACCACCCTCGATCCACCCATGTCTTCGTACGAAAAGCGAAGAGCAACATCCAACCTTTCAAATGTGAAAAGCATGAATGAGTACGACGGGGAAGAGGAACAATAAAGAGCATTGGAGCCATGGAAGGAAAAGGGACATGCGCGACACAGAAAGGACAGAGAGAGAGAGCAAGAAAGCAAAGTTTCAACCGCTAACCCCGCAAATCTCTGAATAAGACATGTACGTCAAACGACACGAATACTTCCGCTGGACCCCTCGCACCGCATGGTTGACCTTCACCTACGTCGTCGCCGTGCCGGCTGCTTTCATCTACATGGGCTGGACGACAGACGTAGGTACTCTGTTAGCTTCCAGATATGACGGGTCCTAACTCGTACGAATACAGGGCAAATACGATATGCGCGGAAAGCTAAAGGGCGACACCATTGCGGAATTCTAAACAGAGGAAGATGGGATGGATGCATTGCAATCAATGGGCGTTTCTGGGGAGTGACGATATGATTCACATGCTGAAGAGGTACTTTCGGCAAGAGCGTCAGCGGAATTGTACAGAGTTGACGATACTGCTGCAAAGGAAGAGAGAGAGCAAAGCACATATACGCGGATGCCATTTCTCGTATGTCAATATCACGTGACTGTCGGAAAGCTAGGGCCCCAGAATGTGAAACTTGAGGTAACAAGACGGCAAAGAGAAAAGTGTGGGAAAAGTGTGAAGAAAAGTGTTAAATTACATCTGGAAGGAAAATTCCCTGCGAAGCGACCGAAATGTGCTGGTTCAAGCTCGCCCATGGTCCACCGTAACGCCTCGCTAACAACTCAGATTCTATCCCAAACACCCAAAACTCGAGCAGTCAATCCATCTGAGAGCTTTAATCATCGCGAGCTGTCGGACCATTTCAAAACGCAAATCAGATATTACCTACAGATGTTTCTTGCTCTCGCCGGTCGTACCCTTCTTTCGGGGCAATCCGAGCTTCTTCCGATCCTTGCGATCCCCCTCTGCAAGCCATTTGCTTGCCTTTTGCAGCTGCACAAGATTCACGTATTGCTTGAAGAGCATGACGGGCATGCTGATGCCTGCGAGGATCCATGGGACCTTGGAGTCCATCTTGTTGGCTCGCGCCATCTCCATGGCAGCTGCGCTGAACGGGTTGGAGAAAAGAAGGGAGGGTTGGGGGTTCAGCGGAGTTGTAGGCGTATGCTCGTCGGTGGTGGGCCATTTCAGGGCGGGCGTGATGATTGGCGAACTGAAGCACAGAAGGTAGAGAGCAATGAAGAACAGCTCGTTCAAGGCGCAGGTGATGAAGAGCACAATCTGATGAGCCACGTTAGCAACGGACGTCCTGCGCTCGGGTACGGCGAGCTCATACCTTGTTGGTGTAGTAGAGGTTCATAATACGACTCCTCTTCGCATCCACGTTCTTGTGACTCTGCGTCTGGCCTCCCATGACCAGCGTGGCGTACATGTGCATATAGTGGCTGGCAAGATCCAGGGAAATAAGACCCTGAAAGATCATGCTGTATGCGGGCTTCGCAGTCGCAAGGAACACCAGCAGACAAGTGGTCGTGCAGCGATCCGTGACCATATCCAGCACGGCTCCAAATCTCGTGCTCTGTTCATATTTCCTCGCGGCGACGCCATCCAGCGCATCCAGAAGGCAAGAAATCGAATAGAGGAAACTGCAGCGGCGCGGGTGCAAGGGCATGAAATAGAGGGACGGAAGCATCAAGACAATGCGAAAGTACCCTGCAAGACGGCGCGTGTAAGTGTTGAAGCCCACGGCCTGCGAAAGAGGAGGACGACGCCATACTCACCGATCAGGTTCGGTATGAAGAGAAAGATGTTCTCGTCCGTTTGTTCTTCCTCCTTTCCCTCCTCATGCGCGGGGCGCGTAAGAGTGCCATTCAGCCTGCCGTTGGCGTGTCCATTTGCGTTCTCAAATTCGTGCTCTTCGATCACATCCTGCACCATCTTGACGTGAGATTGTAGCGGGTTGTCTCAAATCTTTCGGGGGTGTATGCGGCGTTCGCGGGGGTGACGAAATCCGATGAAAGAATAGGATGAAGTATTTCGCGAGGTCAGATAGGGTGATGGACGTTCTCCGCGATGGATGCGTCGTCCACGTGCTCGATGAACGTGTGTCGCGACTTTTCTGGAACGTATTTGCCTATTATCAGCCTGTCGCCTGGACTCCAGATCTGTGTTCGCGATGACGCTCGAAAAGTCGTAGATGGTCGCCTGAGGAGCCTGCAACGATCGATAGTCTTGTGAGAAGAAGGAGGAGACGGAACAGACTGAGCGGCACAAAATGCGACGTGCTTTGCTGACCTATTCGCTCATGGCACCGTCAAGCAATCCTCCCTGAGAGCGAACGGAACTTGTAGAAATCCGCCCGGGATGAGGACCCCTGTTCAGGAAAAGCGCAGTTCCACCCTTCCTCCTTTCACCGAGTTGCATCCGCGGCGGCACGGCCCTCCAGAACAATCAGAGCTACTGCAAGAGGACTTATTACATAGTAATGACCGGGCTCTGCGCGCAAGCCGGTTCCGAGCTAAGATCGGTCGTGCCCGGATGTCATCCTACACAGCATCTGATCGCATACAAATCCATCTCGACTCTAGAGACTCGAGCCCACCTTTGCGGCCGAGGAAGGACCTTTCCCCTTTCAACTCCCAGAGAACAGGATTTTGAAATTCATTCGGTCTCGAAAAGATTGGACAGTAACCTCTCACTCCGGGACCGGCTTTGTACATGTCCGGGACGGAAGTCATAATGCTTGCACAAATCTTACCAACCGCAGAACGAGTCGCTACAGCCAGACCACACTTGCTGCATAAATGCAGCCTGCAATCACGTAATGCACTTCTAGAGACAATTGAGATCGAGAGTACCAGGATGACGAAGACGATTGCGACTATCATTTGTGGCAATATCTCAAGAAGCTGCACTGCCAGCCTCTATGGCCTATAAACGCCGAATGCTTCATCGAATCCATGCGCCGTCGCTCGTTGCTCTGCGTCATAATGGAAACGTCCGAGCAAGGGTCGTTCGAAGAAAAGAAGGGGTTAATGTCTCGTGGAATTCATCCATCGGGTGGACGGACTCTCCATAGCTGCCCTGCAAGTTGAGGTTGAAGATAGCCCATAGCCATCTCTTCCTTAAGGAATCTGCATCCGATCCTCTCCGTTGGCCGCACGATCCTCCTTCATCCACTCCACGAATTCGTCAATGACGCTTGGCCAGCTGCTCTCCTCCGTCCAGAAGCTCAGCGAGTCATCCTTCAGCGTCTCGAGTGCGAACGTGAGTGTCTGCTTCCAGAGATCCTTGTTGACTGCCTTGTTGATCTTCGTGGTGTAGAACTCCTTCCACTTCTCCAGCCAGTTGGTCTGAGCCGTCCGCCACTCCAGACCTGTTGGACCGAAGAGCACTTGCCAGAAGTCAAACGCAGTATCGGGCGCAAGGGCCTTCTGTCGCTCTGCAAGAGCCAGAGAGAAGGTGTGGTTGTAGACGCTTTTGAAGAGCTCGCGGTCGGCTGCGAGTTGTGATCGCCGCTGGAGTACGGCGTTGCGCATCTTTGCCAGTGAATCCACACCGAACTCAATCCAACCATCGACGAAACCCTCCCGCGTCAACAAACCAAGCGACGGCGACTGCACAATCTCGAACAGAACGAGAGCGCCGATGTCCTCCAGATTGACGTTGAGATCCTCTGCTAGCTTCGCGGTGCCCTCCATACCAATCTGGTCCGGCTCTTCGTTCGCATTTTCGCGGTAGTTGTCGAAGATGCGGTTGAGCGGCGCGCGATTGGGGTTCGGTGCACCGCTTTGGTTGGCAAAGAAGCTGTGAAAGAAGTCCATGTTAGCTGCAAGATTATAGAACCCATTCATGCTTGCTTATCAACCCGGACTCGGCGACACAAGAGCTCCAGCGGGGTTATCCGAGAGTCAAACACAAGTATCCCTGTACTGCCCTTGCAGCTCTATTCTTTGCCCACTTCTATACGCGGTATACAGCAGTTCATCAGGTGTCCCTCCAGCCCTTGTTGTTGCTGCCGTTGATACTGCTCTTGCCCATCGAAAGTAGGAGCCATGTACTTACGTATTGATGGCAGCTCCGGTTGCCCAGTTGTGCTGTTTCAGCAACCTCGCCGCCGTGGTCTTGTCCGTCTGCGTGACACCGACGAACTCGTTGATGCAGTTCTTCTGCTGAGGTGTATATGCTGCAGGCATTGTCAGATACAGCTCTTGTGCGGAATGATCTCGAGATTCGGCGAGTGTTCGCGTGCTCGGTAAGTGGCTGGCTCAGATTGTCCTGGTGCTATCGCGGGCGATACATCGAACAGTGTGCGGTGCGATGTGGCCAAGGAGTTGTAGGAGGAAGGGAAAGGCGGAAGGAAGAAGTGAGGGTAGTGAAGCGAAGGGAAACTAGAAGGAAGAGGTGGTGGAAGCACTGGTAGGTAAGGTAAGAGGTGGGGCTGGTGTGGCTGGTGAGATGTGGCTGATGTTATCGATAGCGCTGCTGCTGCATCCCGTCCCCTTCGGCGACCTGCATCAAGAAAAGAAGAAGTGCGGCACTCACCTGCGCTCGATGGTCGCGACACCGAAGTCGTCTTGATCTTCTTGGAGACCTCTTCCACGTCGGGATCTACGACGTCGCTCTTGCGCTTTCCCATGCTGTCGCTTGCGGAAGTGTTGGTAATGGTTGTTTGGCCATCCAAGGAACAAATCTTGAGAACAACAGCGCGTGAGGTTTATTGTGTTGACAGTAGGCAGCGTGTGGTGGTGAGTCGACAATCGCAGAATGGCGAAAGAGGTTGGTCAAGCAAGGTACCCTATTGCCTGGAAGAAGTTCACCTGGCAGCACGTGAAAGCGTGAAGGCGACCGCGTCCGCGTCCAAGCTCCTGATGGATTGGGAAGGTACACGAGACTTCTATTCGTGCATGCCACAATGACCACGACAAGCGAATTCGACCTAATGACAATGTCACGGCGAATCAGATTACGACATGTCGCTGTTCAGAAGAGCCATGCGTTGGTCTCCACGGTCAACGGCAACAGGCCAAGCGACCTACGCAGCAACCAGCAGTCATGAGCAGGCTTCAAACAAGTCATCAATGGCGGGACCTTCAACCCGTTTGTTTGAATGAGGCAAGAAGACTGCTCCATGAAGAGCTCTCGCTGGGGCTGTGCCTTCACGCACAAGGCATTGGTAGCTTCCACTCCCGTCTCCACGCAGTGTGCTCCTATCATGGCAACAGGTCGCCTCCGCCTGCTTTCCACGTCATGCAATTGCCGGTCAGGAAACAGTCCTTGACTAGTATACGCTACGGTCATCTCTTTGCTATGCTCTCTCTTCTTCTTTCTCGTCCCGATATCAACATCAGCATCGACACAGCAATCACCAAGCATTTCTTACCACGACACATACCGACAGCCCTCGCCATCAAATCGATTCGATTAAATATTCGCAACACAATGGATGCCTCAACGAAGTCGATGACCGCCCTCCTCCCAACCCTCTCCGAGGCCACTACGGTGCCAGGCAAGAAAACCCACCAGATAACCATTTCCCCCTCCCAGGGCGCTCACTGACATGTCCCTACCAACAGCCACCTGCACCCCATGTCCCGGCAACGTCTTCTCCTCATTCTGGAGCGACGACCTCCAACTCGGCCACCAAGCCTTCTGCACAGACGACCCATCCGACTCTTTCGCCGAGTGCTTTCCCAACCCCAACAAGACGCCGTCGAAATTGGCCGTCCTGCCCGATACGGGCGTCTGTGTGCGTTACGGCCTCAGCACCAAAGATAGCGGCGACTTTGAGCAGTGCATTCGCAAGCACCATGATGCCAAGGGTTTGCAGAGGATCGGAGACTGGGAAATGCCTCACCCTCTGTTGGGGCCCAACGGCGACAAGACACATCCGAAAGGCCAACACATTGAAGTCTCGATGGCAGCAGGAAAGAGCGGGACGGTCGCCGGCACGCTGATCTAGATGATGGTGGGAGCCGTTTGGCTGGTGGCTGCAGCCGCTTGAAGGACTTGACTTGACAGTGTGATAATAAGACGCATGGAAGCTGGTTTCTTCTCTTCCTGTGCTGCATGCAACGCATTCGATAGTGGTCTAGAGTAGCAGTGCAGAGGTATTCTCAAGCACGGACACGTTTTTGCGGGTGAAATACGATCACATGTAAGCCTCACTTTAGCGTCCAGTTGATATTCCACCGGCCACCCAGAGGTAAGCCAGGTCGCAGCATCAGTTCATTTCGGACCGGAGCCTGGTACATGTCTCTAGCCGACATTCCACAATGAGCTTACTGTCTCTTTCCTTGTATCCACAACATGCTTCATAACAGACTGTACCTTATTGATTCAATCGCTCCCATAATCGCGTAGACGCTCATGCAAACACACACCTCCCATCCTACCACTGCCCTCGGAACCCAATCTATCAGAAAGCACGTCGTCGTCGTCATCAGACACTACAATTACCGTATTCGCAACCACCTCTCTCCCACGGCTCTCGTGCTTTACTCGCTGCTTTCTCTCGGGAACATCTTTCACCCGTCCACGGTAGAGCATATCCACCACTCCATCCAATTCCTCTTCCATCTCCTGCTCTTCTCCGTCAACAACAGCTTCATCGACAACCTTCAACTTCCTCACACCCTTGCTGCGAGATAATGAAACAATACACCCCAGACTCCCACTTCTCCTGCGATACCTAGGAAGCACCCATCCAGATATCGGAAACCGATTGCCGCGCGGATGGTCCTACTTTCTACAACCCGAGCAGAGCCTCGCGGGATGAGCAGCGTGGCACCTCAGACACCTCGGACGGACCTACTCGCCCAGAGGCATCCTCTCCACCGTATCAATCATGGCACGGAAATTATCGGCTTGTAGTTCCGAGTACTTGACGCGTTCCTGGGCCCAATCCTGGTGCAGGCGAGAGGCGCGGTACTGTGTGCTCTGGAAGAAGAGCAGTTCATCGCGGATGCATTCTTTGATGAAGACGCCGCGAGCATGTTGGTCGACGATGGATTGTTTGTCCTGTCGCATACTCTGTCAGTGAGGACTCTTCTACGAGTAGCAGTGGATTGAACTCACCCCAGTGATGGCGTTCTCAACCTTCTCAGCCTCACCAGGCTTCGCGGCGTCTCCTTTAGCTCGGATATTCTGAAGCTTCTGCTCATTCTGCTGAATCCTCTTCTCCAGCTGCGGGATGTTATCGCGCGCATAGCGGTCCCTTCGATCGAACATATCCCGTACGCTCACAAGCAAGTCTCGCATAGTCTTGAGATCTTCCAGGACTCCCTCGTCCCAGGCTCGGGCTTCGTCTTCGAGCAGCGATTGTGATGTGCCAATGTGCCTTGCAGTGCCCTTGATGCCCTCGTTGAGCTGAGGGACATCGCTGTTGTCAATGGCATACGTGTCGTTGCTGGTTTCGGTTATGCTGTCCAAGTTGAGGGTCATGCGCCCATACTCGCCAGCCAAGGCTTCCTTTCGTTTGCAAAGCCGCTCAACCAAGTTGCAGAGGTTGATGTACAGTTCGGCACTTCTTCGTACTCCAGATCGTACGGTGTCAAACGTGTCTAGCAGATCCTGCGGCAGACTGTCTTCCAGCGTGGGAGGCAGAGTCCGGCCGACAAATTCTTCTTGCACACTGATAGTAGCCTGCTTTCTCCAGACTGCAAGTTCCTGCACACAAGTTAGCCAAGATCTTCAAACAGGAGAGTGGACGTGCATCTACCGTTGGAACCGTTAAGAACATCACAACCAGCTGTTCTTCGCGCAGGACTGGATGGCGAACCAATGCATTCGCAAATCGTGCCAGTCCTCGCCTTCGCTTCTCGATAAAGGTCGAATCCGCTGCAATGTGGTTGCCATTGATAGCGACCCGTTTTGGTGGGAGTAGAGGCAGCTGCCTGAATGGGTAGCGCTTATGTAAGCAATCCAATAGCCAGACAAAATCGCTGTATCGTCGGATGACTTTGCTGTTGCGGCGGACAGATGCGACCTCGTAATTTCGGTGCTGGAACATGAACATGCCCTCCTTCTCCTCGAGCAGATTCACAGTGACCAGCTCCTCAACGCCCTTGTTCGTCTGCACACGGGGCTGTGGTGGTCGGCGTGTCGTGCCGGATCCGTTGCCTTCATCGCCGAAGCCACTACCTTCACCCGTAGCAGCAGCATTACCAAAGCTCTCAGTGTTCCCGCCTTCGTATGAAGTTCCGCCCCAACTGCTGCCTGTACCTTGGCCAGTGCCAGACTGTCCATTCTCGTAATTGCCAGAGGTATCCGAGGGCTCAGCCGCACTTGTGGTGAATGCACTGGTCGTTCTCTGTCCAGCACCACCACCGTTCAAGTGTTCATGCCCTTTATGCATCTGCGGGCTCGCCCAGGGATCACTCTCTCCAAAGCCCGCGCCAAATGATGTCTTCCTCAGCCCATTGCCAGTCTGATTCGGCGATTCTTGACGCGCCCCTGTCTGTGTCTCATCCTGTTGCGGCGTCGTGGCAGGCATATCGGCGGTCTTCATAAGCAAATCTGGAACGGGCAGCTTGTCTCTCCTCTCATCCACAGCGTCCAACCCTAGTTCCTCGCCTTCCTTCGCAAGCCCAATCAATGCTATCAACACATTGACTTCGCCGCGCGTGAGCCTGTCGTCTTGTCCCACAAGACTCCAGATCTTTTCCCTCTCCGGTGCGCCAACTCCACTCTCATCCACTAACTTCTTCGCTTCCCGAGTGCTCACAAAGCCGCCAACCTGCAGTCGATCAAATGTATCAATATACAAGTCCGGCACGTCCGCGTCTGCAAGTAATGTTTTGACCTTGTTGCGAGTACCGCCGAGGTTGCGTTTACTCGGCGTGAACCCCCACGGCGAATCGTTCGAGTCGTCAGCGGCGCTGTCGACAAAAATGGAATTATTGTTTCGCGCAGCAGGAGTTGCGGTGTCGTCGTCGAAGAGAGAGGATTTGTTGGTTGGCCGGGAAGGGACGTCTGTGTCGTCGCCGAAGAGGGACATGGTGGTTGTACAGGCGGGAAGCTGCGATGATGATGCGCGATAAAACAAGCGAGCTCGGATGGCGAGTATGATGCAATCCAACGCTGTAGATCGCTACAGTACTATCCAAGTGGAAGAATTCAAGAAACGGGAGATGATAAGTTGATAGGCAGACTCATGAAGGAGGAAAGACGGCACAGCTCTGTTCCAAGGAGCTTTGACGCGCGCACAGAGCACAGAGCACAGAGCACAGACCGTACCGCAACGACCATCACCAGCGAAAGCCAAGACTTTCACAGATGCATGTTGTTAATCATGATTATCTGTGAATTCAGCATCGAGGACATGTCCTTGCATACCGCGCCATTCTACGGTACCGCACGCATCAAAGTTTCGGAGCAAGCTTGGCAAACCGAATTAAAAGCATTGCAGATAGAAATGCATCCGATTTCATCGCTCGAAATCAGTTTTCCTATAGCTTTACAAATCGTCAGTCCTTGTATTTTGCAATCCACTCCAACACGAGAGGTGTGATTCGTTCCTAGAGGCGATCGGTAGAAGGTAAGTAGGTGTTTCAGACTTGTAAGTATCACATTGCTTACCGGGCACTCCTCAGGCAAGTAATGACCAAATCCATCAGGAACTCCCTCGTACCTCACCTCTCCCTCTATCCAATTCGACCACGTTTTTGGTACATCATGCATTCTTCCCAGGTTGGAAGCCGAATAAATGATCAGAGTCGGAGTAGCGACCTTTCTTCCCTCTTTCTGATCCTTTTCCTGTTCCTGTACATCGTCGGTAGCACCGGCGGCATAATCAGCACAAGACCCAGAAATGCATTCAGGGTTGCTGAATTGATGGGCGTAATGGTCAAGGGCGTCGTTTTCCCTGAATTTGGCGGCACCGGCAGTATTGGCACCTTTTGCACGGCCCAGGTTGATTCGAGCGAATTCACCACCGCCCATGCCTTCGATCAGGAGTGGAGCTGTCGGAATGGCGAGGAAAGGCCAATGATAGTATGCCATGCTCGCGAGCGGATTGGCGAAGACTTTCCATTGCTCTGTGGTGGGCACTATATCCATCAAGATGGCAGCCCTGATGTTGTGGGAAGCATCATTGTCCACAAGGAGTCGGTGACCAATTCGTCCTCCGCGATCGTGGCCACACCAGATGACAGGGCGGCTTTTGCTGAAGACATGTTGGAGGGCCTCCATGATGAGGTTGCCAACCGTGCGTTTGTCGCTTTTGGGTGGGAGAGATGAGAAGCCGTAGCCAGGTAGCTCAACCACGAAAAGAGAGATCATGCTCTTCCAGTCCGCGAGGACATGTCGCCACCTGCGTGGGTGAGTAGGTCGCCGCGTATAACGATGAGGAATCATTCTTACATGTAGCTGCTTTGCGGCCAGCCGTGAACAACGCAGAGTACGGGACCCGACCCGGTGTCGTGGGTGAAGCTCTTCACCGTGCCTCCGGACGAGACCTTGGTGTCGTTTTGCTGCAGGAAAGGGTGAAGGGTCTTGAGGGATTGGTCGGCCATGTTGAGCTGCAATGATTTGAGAGACACAATTACAAGTCATGAACTGCGTGTGTTCCATTCATCTGGCCGACGATTGCTCTCTTCGTGTTGCCCCGATGTTCCACGCAGAAAGGTTTCTGTCACTCATCAAGCAAGAACGGTAGTAGCTGAATGACGACAGCTCTCGCGCGCAGGGCGGGGGTAAGCTGAAGCTGAGATGGTGCCCGAGAAGAACACGATACATGTACCGTAGAGGAGGTGATGCACCGACGTGAACTCTCTTGTTGCGAGACGAGACTTTCCAGCTTCCACAGGAGAAGCTGGTCGTCATCTGCTTCTGCTCGCAAAGTTTGTGCATAGATACTCGACTTTCTGGTACCTCTTCTTGAAGCCTCGTGTCCTTCATATAATCGTATGTGTTAGTCGCGGTACGGACTTAGCTAGATCAATCGGACAACTGTAGTTACCCCAGTCCGGGGCCCAGTCCGGGGAACGAGAGCCAAGAGTGTGTTCGAGTTGCGCGACGAAATGGCCGAGACCGACACGAAGGATGGAAGCACGTGTGAACGAAGTTGCGTGGGTTGTCATGTCGTGCTGTCGCAACCCCGGATGACCCGCTACGAAGTACTACTAATCCATGGACCGGTCCTATTCCAGAATGACCCGTGGCGATGAACATTGATGCTATGAAGATTGAGAGCGTAGGATGTGATGTGGCGGTGCATACGCCGAGAGCGGTTCGGAGGGTTTGTGCAGCGGTACAAGCACTTACACGCGCATCCAAGCCAACTTAAGACACCGAAGAAATGTGAAAGGTCCCTGCCAAGTTGCCAAGCAGCCAAACGGAAGTGGACCATGGCGGGAGCGAGCGTTCGGCGGTGGCCTGAGCTTACAAATCCGCAAAATGGTTTTGCCGGTTTTGCTACCGCACCACCACACTCTCACACACCGTAATCGCAGTGGTTAGGCACTGATGTACTCGCTATCGACTCGCAATCCATCTATTAGGTCCTTCATTGTCTACTTTGTCGTTATGCCGCCTCAGGCCCTCGATTTATAGCCCTATCGGCTCTAGATTAAGCTTTGGATTCATACTGGATATACCTACTAGCGAGTCGTATAGAGCCTACATAATACTAAGGGCATTCGCTACGGTATTAGAACTCTACAGACACACTTAATAAGAATGCCTTCTTATAAAATAGCCTACTTATTGTTAGTAGCTGCCTTATTATTCGATATTATAGACTCGCACTTATAATAGTATAAGCGCGACAATAGCTTTTAATTAATATAAAGCCGCGTACCGCCATTGACGGGTTCAATATGAAGCCAAAAGCTGCGCCTGACTTCATATTGACCGTTCACGTCGACAATAGCGGTGCGCGACACTCGTAGAGCCTCATTGTCGCCGTCGTAAGTTGTTATTGTGGTGGTAGAGTGAGTCGCGACTCACAGCGAGTGCCGCTTCGGCAGTCGGCAAAACCATTTTGCGGATTTGTAAGCTCAGGCCACCGTCGTTCCTTCCCCACGCATCTGTGAATGATCTGATCACCTTTAACTTCTCCCGCACACACCTCACACCTCAACATCTCATCTGGATCGACATCTACGCGCGCGCCCGCCCATACCAACCACATTGCAATCTCCCAATGCCTCCGTAGGAAGCGAGCGACGGACCCCGCGCCCATAGGTACATCTGGCGGCGGTGGAAAGGAGTCAGGATGGCCGACGTCCGTGACTTGGTCGGACGACAACTATGGAATCCTCCCGCCGAGACCACCACCTCGAAGCCGCACTGCACGCCCTTTACCCTCCCTAGCAACGGCGTCATTAGGCTCGGCGACTCCGCCGCCATCACCCTTACCACCAATGTCGTCTTCCAACCCGAGTGTACTGGCACCACCACGGCCGACAATGTATTCGCTGTCAGCTCTCTGAAGAATCCCTTCTATGCCTCCGTGATACCCATGGTCTACGTAATCGCTTCGGCGACCGTGATCGCTTGGATTCTCGTTGTCATGCTCACCATTACTCCGCGCACCCAATTCTTCGGTCTTCCTAGTCAACAGGCGGCCTTCAGCAATGTCCATGGCATCATTGGAGGCGCGCATGGAGGAGCGGCGAGTGTTTCTGGCGGTGGATCGAGACCATGGTTGCAAAAGGTGGCTACAATCGCCGTTGCGATATCTCTTACCATTGCGACGGCGGATACCCTCGAAGTGGCCGAACGGCAGTATTACATGGGAGTTATGGATGCCGATACCATGCGCAAGGAAGTTCTGGGTTCGCTGGAGATACGCATTACCCGAGTCGTGTCGGACGTCTTTCTCTGGCTTGCGCAGGTACAGACTCTGATACGACTGTTCCCGCGCCACAAGGAGAAGGTGCTGATCAAGTGGATCGGCTTCCTTCTCATCATTCTGGATACCGTCTTCTCATGTCTGAATTCGTTCCTGATTAACTCACAGGCCAAAGGACGGCATTTCGTGAACGCAATCCCGGCGTTATCATACCTCTTCGAACTGGCACTTGGCCTACTTTACGCCGCTTGGGTCCTCTACTACTCGATGACGAAACGGCGATATGCGTACTACAATCCGAAGATGCGCAGCATCTCTCTCATCGCACTGCTTTCGATTGTATCGATACTGACACCCGTGGTATTCTTCGTAACGGATGTTTCAAACCAGGACGTGGCCGGGTGGGGTGACTATTTTCGATGGGTCGGAGCTGCAGCTGCGAGCGTGGTGGTCTGGGAGTGGGTGGAGAGGACCGAGGCTCTGGAGCGAGATGACAAAAAAGACGGCATTTTGGGAAGAGAGATTTTTGACGGTGATGAGATGTTGGACGTGATGCCCAATGATGATACCCCGTGGTCACAGAGTAGAAGTCTTGCAAGAAACTACAGGCAACACCGCGATGAAGACCAAGGTGATGGCAATCAAGCCAGCAGAATCGAGCATGGCTTCAGCGGTATGGCCAATCGCTTTCGGAGGCATGAGCAGTCACCGCAGCACTTTCCCCTCGGACGCGCCCATTCAAGCTCTGAGCAGACCTCCAGCGATCCAGGCAGGAGTGATGCTCACTCGGGACACATCACATTCGGTTCTTTGAGGAAGCCCACCGAGGCGGCAAACTCCCGCTTGCCAACTGAACCATCGGCGCCGGAGCCAACTGCCAGTCCCGTGAGTCGTGGCGATACAAATAGCGCTGCAAGTACCGTGTATGTGGTTCGGTACCATCCTGTGGCAGACGTGGCGCAGCCAATTAGGCGGAGGCTGAATGCGACTGGCGCTCGTAAAGCGAATGGATCCAGACGAAAGACGGAGGACTCGCCGAACGAAAAGGAGATGGTCGAGGCAGAGGGAGGCTCCCGGCCAAACCGCAATCGCGAGTCTGGCATCTGGCAATCGGTGCCAAACCCATTCAAACGGAAACGTACTTCACCGCCTCAAGAAGTACAGCGGGCTAGAGCTGCCGCGGGGGACGGGCAAGGGGCGACAACACCGGCTCACAATTTCTCCAGATGGGATGTGAAGAATCGCTTGGGTGTATTTGCTACGGAAACTGGTGACCGTTTCCGCGAGAGAGCGGCTGGGCGTAAACAGCAAGTTGATCTGCCGGTGACCATCATACCAGCACAACCACGAGGCAGCGGACGGACGTGGAGTCCCGATCAACGTGCGGTGATGACGATGTCAGCGCCGCGAACTACCACGGAGGCAAATAAGGAGCCGCCTGACAGTGCTGGAAACACTTCCGCGACCCTTGTGGACAGTCAGACAGCCCTGGGCGGCGACAGCTCACGACCTAAACCCTATTACGTCGCAGTGGGCACTCATGCCGACTCTTCTGAGGGGCCAATGTCAACGGCTGCATCAACTCCACACCGGCCTCCACGCGCTGACGAAATCCGGCCTGGAGCGGGTCGTGGAGGAAGTCCCATTGTCATTCCTGCGCCTCAGCGACGGACGCCAGCGAGTCAACAGGCCCCGACCCCTCCGGCACAAGGAAGGGGCAGCGAGAGCTCGAATACGCCGAGGAAGACACCGCCGCACGGGTAAAGGTACAGCAGAGGCGGCACGACCACGATACCATCGATTTGATTGATTGATTGATTAGCATCGGCGCTGGGGGGGAGTGTTTTTGATCGATATACCCAAAGTGTACCGAGGGGGGCGGGGTTGATTGTTTTACGGGAGATCTATGTAACCTGAGTTGAGTTGAGCTGAGCTGAGAAGATGCTTAGTGGTATATTTAGGGAGAGCAAGCATGCGTGCACGACAGGATGAGATGTGCAGATATGATGATGAATTGTACATGATTGGGTTGACGTGGATAGAGTGAGGGAGGGCTCTTGTGAAGCGGATAGCTTACTGTTGGGCGCTCCTAGTCGATAATCCTAATCAGTAGTCTCACGGCATGCTGCAGAACGATTGGAACGAAGCCGGGTCTATCGAGGGGTCTCCGGTTCAGTAGCTTGTAGTCCGGAGATGGCTTCACCTGATTTCTTCCGGAGAAGAGTGACTCTCGAGTGAGTTGATTGATTGATTCTTCTCCATAGTCGCCAAGTTCCACGCTACCTCAGCCAATTTATTTCCTCGTGGCAATCTTCCGAGCGTATCCTCCGATCCCACCCCTCCTCACGACCACCTTCCTACTTCCCCACCGTGAGAAACAAGCGATCCCCAATATCGCCCAACCCAGGCTTGATCATGCCCTGCTCATCCGTTTCCGCATCCACGCCCGCAACCCAGAGTTCCACGCCCTCGGGCCACGCGTCCGCGGCCCTCTCCAAGCCGGTGCGGGAAGCGAGAATGGAAATGGAAATAATCCGCTTGACGCCCCAGTCGCGCAGGGTCTCGATGGCGGCGCAGAGGGTGGAGCCCGTGGCGATGATGGGGTCGCAGACGATGGCGAGGTCGGCGGCAGCGGCGGTGGGGGAGGCGCCGGATTTGCTGTGGTAGGGGAGGTTGTTGTAGTACTCGACGGGCTGGAGGGTGGATTTCTCGCGGTACATTCCCAGGTGGTGGACTGAGGGGGAAGGGGTGGAGGGGAGGAGGGATTGGAGGGGTTCGAGCATGCTGAGGCCGGAGCGGAGGATGGGGATGAGGGTTATGTTGGAGGGGTGCAGCGTTTCGGTGGCATAGGTGTAGCCGAGGGGGGAGTGGTCTTCCTGTTCGGTTTAGGGGAGGTGGTTAGCTGTTGTTGACGGTCTGTGTGATTGTCAGCCAATGCTGGCTGCTGCTGATGATGGTGATGATGATGATGATGATGATGATGATGATGATGGGAGTGGTGGATGGAGTGAGGACTTACGGTTCCCGTCTGCTCGACGGTTAAGCCTTGCGCGAGGGCTTCACAGGCTACGATGGTTGCGATTTCGTGGATGAGGTTTTTGGTCTCTTTTGCGTTCGTCGAGGCGGATCGCAGTTGGCTGAGTTTGGCCTTTGCACACGGGTGCGTGGAGACGTGGATGTTGGCCATTGTTCGTATGCGATGCAATTCGAGGCACTGGTTGTTGTCTAGTCCGAAGTGGTGGCTGACGGTCCTGAGTCGATAACCAAGTGTTCAACAGTGGGCAAGCGGTGAGTTTGTGATGCGGCTTTGTTTGTTGATGGGGAGATAGCATAGCATAGCTCCAGTGATAGGCCGACTGCGGCAGGCAGAGACCGAGACAGAGGCAGAGCTGCAGTGGGGAGCTCCGACGCCATTTGCCAATCAAGGCGAGAGTGGAAGTGAGCCGCCTGTTACAGCTTTTACAGTTGTCACAGTTGTTACAGCTGTTTGATGGTATGAGTCTGCGTCGGTGTCGTGTCTCGTATACACGTAATGTTTGTTGCACGTGACGTGCCGCTGCATCGGAAGTGGGATGGCTCCCGTCCTCTCCTCTACGCCCGCTGGTGACTGTCTACGCCCTTGCTTGGTGACCGAATGAGGTATCGCGAGGCTGTTCTCCATCTCGTTCATCGGGTTGTTAATGATAATCAATAACGTCTCTCATCGCGCCCCTGATCCTTCGGCAACGTTGCGAGCGAGACGTTGAAGTGGGCCGCGAGAAGATGCACTTCTGTGCATTGGCTTCACATCGCTCGTGCGCCGACGTTGCTGCGCGAATTGCGTCCCACCAGCCCGTCGCCGTCGCCGTCGCGCCCGGAATCTCTTCCATCTCCATGTATGTACACAAGACTCCACCCTCCGGATCGCATGAGACCAACCCGGCACACCGGCGCGACTTCGCAGCACATCCTGGTACCGACCCATGCATCTGCACGCGCCAAGGCTGGAATAGATTGGCGACTTCAGCGTACTTAGATCATTGGGCCCGTTCCCATGTCCGACCCGCCAGAGGATTTGCCCAACGAGGTCGTCATCGACGACGAGGACCTCCGTCCGGGCGCGAGGCGCCAGTCGACCAGCTCGGTGGGCAGTAGCTGGAGTAGGAGACACAGCCATTATGATTCTCAGAGAATCAGCCACCGCTCGCGGGCGACCTCCACCGGTAGCCAGGCCCGCTCCTCCACCAAGTCGAAGGGAAAACGCGCGAGCTATCAGCAGCCCAGTGACTATGGGAACATTGACGAGACGGCCGTGCCGCCTCCCGTCCCGCCGCGAGAGGGAGGACCACACCTGGAGGACGTGCCAGATAACCCTGCTACTCAATCCTCCTCATCCCGGCCCATCAGGAACTTTAGCCAGCCGTACCGAGGCCATCGCAGGCGGTCAAGTGGTGCAAACCCGCGTGAGCAGGACTTGACCGAAGTGTCTGCCTTGCCTCCGCTTCCAAGCACGAATCGTGCGTCCGGCACAGGGGCGCACAAGGACATGTCGACGACGGGGAAGCAGACTCTCGACACAGAACGAGGCGATTACTTATCCGAAGGCGCCTCCGCCGAGCCGCGGCCATTCTCTTCGCGGTATCCGGATGAATTCCTCCCTAAACAACCGCCGGTGCCCAGATGGTTGACAGAGCTCTATACCGTCTCGTACCTCATCTTCTTCTCCATACTCGGCACTCTAGCGCGTCTTGGAGTGCAATGGATCGCTTTCTATCCAGGTGCGCCCATCACGACTCCTGTGGTATGGGCCAACATGGCAGGCTCCATGATCATGGGCTTCCTGTCCGAGGACCAAGCACTGTTTCGAGACAAGTCTCACCATGATATTCTCACCGAGAAGCGCCAAGGAGGACCAGGCCCCGCTACCATCGACAAGGCCGCACTGACGAAGCACAAGAAGACGATTCCACTCTACATCGGTCTTGCCACGGGCTTCTGTGGCAGCTTTACATCCTTCTCCAGCTTCGCGCGGGACTTCTTCCTTGCGCTGTCTAACAGTCTGCCTGCGCCGATCTATCACACATTCACATCCGAGGCAGGCGCCGTATTACCATCAGCCACCGTTGCACGGAATGGCGGCTACTCCTTTGAGGCACTCTTAGCCGTCATCATCTACACAATCGCTCTCTCCCTCGGCGGCCTCATAGCCGGTGCCCATCTCGCCGTCTTCCTAGAAGACATCACACGCCCCATCCCCACAAATGTCGTGCGCAAATTCCTCGACCCAACGATGCTTTTCCTCGGCTTCGGATGCTGGCTCGGCGCCGTGCTCCTGAGCATCTTCCCCCCAGACCGCTCGTCCCGACCCATCGAGACCTGGCGCGGCGACGTCCTCTTCGCCCTCGTCTTCGCCCCCCTCGGCTGTCTGCTCCGCTTCTACGCCTCGCTGCACCTCAACGGGATCGTGCCCTTCTTCCCCCTCGGCACCTTCGCGGTCAACATGTTCGGCACCGCCGTCGAGGGCATGTGCTACGACGTGCAGCACGTCCGCGTCGGCAGCATGGGCGTCGTCGGCGGCGGACGCGTCGGCTGCCAAGTCCTGCAGGGCGTCCAGGATGGCTTCTGCGGGTGTCTGACGACCGTGAGCACGTGGGTCTCCGAGGTGAATGGGTTGAAGCGCAGGCATGCCTATGTCTACGCTTTGGCGACTGTTGGAGGCGGGTTGTGTTTGATGGTGGTTATCATGGGGAGCGTGCGGTGGACGGTGGGGTATGCTGCGCCGGTTTGCAATGTTGGATACCCGAACAAAGTTCATGGATGAAGATGAACGTCGATGTCTTTGTCATTCTTCAAGTTATAATGTTGATATGCCATGTAAATAAGCGCTTCGAAGCACGTGTACTTCCACATCTCTTGCTTCTCCCGAAGTCAAGTCAAACAGCGCGGTCTCCCTTCTTCCGGTGAATCGACAAGACTCTCCTCTCACCCAACGGGCAAGACCACTCTCTGAAAACAGCACCACCAACTCCTTCATTCAATCAATCCACAAACGCCAACTCCGACACGACACCCTGCCCACAATCCGCCGGAGCACCACGCCTCAGCACCGGCTTCACGCGCACAAATTCCACGCTGGAAATCCTCGCCACCGTCTCGAACCCCGTCCGCTTCACAGTGTCAATGTACGACACCGTCTCAATGCCCCCATAGAGCTCCCACGCTTCCACTTCCGTCGCGCCATTCCAGCTGATATACACCGCCGTGCCACGCGGCGCGTCCGGGGGTCCGATGCGTTCCGCAGAGACGGAAGGCCGCGTCGTGGGGCAGCCGATCCAGGGCTGCTTGAAAGCGCGGTAGGAGAAGGTCGGGGGGATTGCGGGGGAGACGAAGCCGCCTCCTTCGCCGTCAGCTCCGATGATGTGAGGCACGGCGGTGGCGAATTGGATGGTGGAGAGGATGTGGCCTTCCGGGGAGAATTCTTCGAGGATGGGGATGTAGCCGTGGCCTTGGAAGACGTGGCCGGTCGGGAGGCGCTGGAAGCTGCCCTGGGCGGTGGAGAAGATGGGGGAGGCCGGGTTGAGGTAGCGATGCTGGAGGGTGGCGTGGTTGTTGGTGAGGTCTACGTCGATGACTTTGCCCGAGGCTGGGATTGTGGTTTGGTTGTCGGACGGGGCGTTGTGGTTGTCTCGAGATGCGGTTTAGTCTCTCTGTACCACGATCGATGCATGCAAGTCTTGACTTATGTGGGATGGGGGGGGGGGGGGGGGGGGGGGGGGGGGGGGGGGGGGGGGGGGGGGGGGGGGGGGGGGGGGGGGGGGGGGGGGGGGGGGGGGGGGGGGGGGGGGGGGGGGGGGGGGGGGGGGGCCCCCCCCCCCCCCCCCCCCCCCCCCCCCCCCCCCCCCCCCCCCCCCCCCCCCCCCCCCCCCCCCCCCCCCCCCCCCCCCCCCCCCCCCCGGACCGTGCATCTGGAGCGTGACATGTGAACGGCGCCCGGCGTCGTCAAACTGCTGATCCGCCACTCGGATGTGATGCTGGTAGCAGTCGGAATCGTTTGCGATGGCAGGCAGCAAGAACAACCAACCCATCGATTCATGTCAGGCAGGGACCGGCCACTCGGTTGCCTACGGAGAAGAACAAGAACCCGATAATACATGGCATGGCATGGCATGGCATGGCATGGCATGGCCAAACAAGGATCCTCCAAGACTGGTTCCTTCTTGGCTCAATCGAAAAATCTCGTCATCATTCGCCTAGAAATCGAAGCGATGATGTGAGATTCTGTCGTTGAAGGGGGGGGGGGGGAGGGAAAGCGGAGATAGCGCCGATCGATGCACCTGTAGGGTCTGATCTGATCTGATCTTTATGCGGGGGGTGAGGATGGAGTGAGGTTATGGCGGAGTGTGGAGGAGAGCGATCGCGGTTGCGGTTGCGAGTCATAAGCCCAGGGGTCACATCCCAAGATAGATATAAGATAAATTCTAATTCATACAAGGCGGAGAAATAGGTTACATGTAGATAGATAGATAGATAGATAGATAGATAGATAGATATCCCACAGCTGGAATGAAAGCCCTTCGAAAGAAAGAAAATTCTGTACACTTCATCCCCATTCCCAAATGCCAGCTCCACCTCCGTCCCAAATCCCCTATGCAAAACAGTCATCACCATCACTATACACTCATAAACGGAAACGAGACAAAAACCGCTCGCTTCCTGCCCCCCAACCCTCCCTCCACACGACTTCATCATCTCCTCTCCTCCCCTTAACCACCACCACCACCATCCTCCCTCGCATCCGAAAATCGCTCCTCGTCCGTCCCATCAACGCTACTCCGCTCATCACTCAACTCACTCACATCAGTCGGGATCTGCCTCAACGGCGGCCGGACAGCAAGATGATCGTGCTCGTGATCCTCATCCGTCGAAGAATGCCCCGGACTCGTGTCGCCAGGAGGAGCAGGAAGCGCGAGGTGATCGTGCGATTCCCGCATCTTCCGCCGTTGATCCGCCTGTTCTTGCCACCACTTCTTGTCCCAGAAGACATACGATCGATCGCCTTCCTGCGAGAGGGGGTTCACGACCTCGGGCCTGGTTCTGTGGGATTGCGCTTCGTCGTCGACATCAGAGCGCGAAGTTGCTTCTTGATTATTGCTCGTGTCTCGCTTCGTCGGAGAGGGCGACCGGACCATGGAATCCGCCGCCAGGGGATGCGCGGATCGGACACTGCCAGGTTTGTCCCTCCTGCCACGCTGCTCCAGCGACTTCCTGGGCGAGATACTGCGACTGGTGTCCTTGGACGACACACTCCCTCTCTCGTTGATACTGCCGGTACTATTAATACCTTGTCTCCAGGACAGAATCCGGTCAGAAGGCGCCTGTGTCGAGGCCGAAGTCCTGGAAGCATCCCTAAGACTTCGCTGACTCGCTTTGGTAGCCAGCGATCCCGTCCTGCTGACTCCCCTACTCCGTTTGCCGAACAGAGATGACCGGTCCGACTCGTCCCTCTGCCGCTTCGTCCATGCGCAATCTTGTCGAAAGACCTTGATCTTGCCGCTATAGTCTGCCGTGACGATGATGTTCCCTGCCTTGTGGGAAGACCTTGAAAGATAGCTAGCGGGCTCCCTGGGTCTCTGAAACGTGCCCTCGGCATCGAGGGGAGTAGTTCTGATACTCCCATTCTCGGTGGGCGGTCGGGAAGAAGCCCGCGATTCCGCGCGCTCCGCTCGACTGAGCAATGTCACGGGCGGAGGGTTGCACAGATCGTACACGGGATCCTCGGACCTGCTGAGATGCTGCCTCGTCTTCGTCGGCGCAATGCAAACTGCTGTCGTTATGGTGTTGTGCGCCTCAAACATCTCTACCGGAGTTCGATCTCGCTTCTCCCCATGAGTCTGATGCAGCGACCAGAGATACGCCTTGCGATCCTCACTACCGCACACCACATATCTCCCATCGTCGCTCAGTTTCGCTCGGATCTGACTGCAATTGTTCTCATTGCCCCTGAACTTGAGCTCCAAGCTCTTGTCACGGAAGTTGTAAAGTCGAATGCGTGAGTCGTTGCTGGTGATGAGGACTTTGACGTCTCCACTGGCTCCATACTGTGCCTGGATGCCGGTGATCTTGCTGCCCTTGGCATTCTGCCCTCGCGTGGAACGTACGTGGATCTGAGTCTGATACTTCAAGCCTTCGGTTTCGTAAAACATACAAAGCCCGTTGAGACAGCCTGCCATGGCGAACTTGCCATCGGGCGTGAACGCGACGGCGGTGATCATCTCCGGGAGCTGTGCGGCATATGCCACACTCTTGTCGGGAATACTCCAGAGTCGGAGCTTCGCGTCGAGCGATCCTGCGAGGAAGAAGCGATCGTCTTTGGGATGGAAGGATATCGATGGCACAAAGTCGGTATGCTTGAAGGTGCACAGGCAGTCGGCCCTGGTAACGTGCCAGAGCCTCACCGTCTTGTCCATGGAAGAGGATAAGAGGAAGTTATTCTTGCTCCAACTCAGGTCCAGAACAGTCGAAGTGTGCCCGCTGTACTCCCTCACAGGCTTACTCTGGAAGACGGGGGCACTCAAATGCTCCGCGCGCGCATCCAGACCGTCGTAGTCATTGGTCTCCTGACTCTCGTGCTTCTGCCTGTCTTCTGCGCTCGACAACACGGCCCACACTCGGACAATCATATCAGCGCCAGCTGCCGCAAGATACTTGCCGTCTCTGCTAAACTCCATCGCCCACACGGTCTGGTCGCCCGAGGGAGTCGCCGAGCTCTTCCTCCTCAACTTATTCGCGCTTGTCGTCCTCTCCAGTGGGGCCAGTGGTCTACTGCCCTGTAGCTCTTGCGCCAGAAACAAGCGATCAAAGTCCTTTTCCTTCTTGAACTTTGCGCGAACCTTGATATACGCAGGAGGCTGCGGGTGTCGCGGACTATAGCCCATATTATCCATCCTCTGCGCGAACACCTCCGCATCGTTCCCTTCCGGCCGACCCTCGCTCGTCGCAGACTCATCGTCCACCGGCTCCTCTTCCGCATCCTTCCTCTTCGCGCTGCCCATGAGCCGGCTCAGGAACGACACGGCCTTGACGCCCTTCTTGAGATCCCGATGCACGGCCGTCGCATTGTTCGTGCTCTCGATGGTGTCCGTTCGCGTGAGGGGCTCCTGGACGGCAGGCGCAGGACTGTGCTCGCGCGACCTATCTTGCTTATCATCCCTGATCGCATTCCCGCTATCAGACGTTCGCGGTCGGCTGGGCAGGTTGAGAGGCGCATTGGTGCGCGTGAGAATATGCTTTTCGGGATAATGCAGTCAGCATCGGGGTTGCAGTTCATGCATGGTCTTGTAACGGTAGTGGCACCGACCTGTGATAGAGGATCAATCGCCGGCGGGGAATCATGTTTGGCGGTATTCGCATCGTCCTTTTGCGTGCCGCTCGCGGCCTGCGCATGGCTGGAAAGCGTTCGAATCAGTCGTCCGGGCGAGGGCCACGCGCTCGAGGAGTCGTTTCGTGCTGACAGGTTTGGTCAGCTGCAGTGTGCAGGATGGTGGTTCATGCAAGTAGCTGTTCTGTTCTCCACACGCGATACTATCCATTGGTAGGTGAGTGACAACGTACCATGACCGCTCCTGCTGCCCGGCGTGCCAGGCCGCGCGGGCAAGACTCTCGAATGGATGCTGTCGCTAAACGTGCTGCTGTAGTCCTTGGTGGGCGATTGCGCAGGCGAGGCATCCGTCAGAGTGATAGCGGGGACGTCCCCTCGATTATGGTCCATGATTGGGACGCGCCCTCAATACATCATAGGTATGCCCCTCTTGAAACACGCACGGAATCGAAGCTCGGATCTTGGCGGAGTTTAGAGATTCTCGTCGGGATAAGGGAGGGGAGGGATCAAAAATCCCCGACCGGTGACTTTGTAGGAATGTCGTGCGTACATGTACCTGGTTCGTCGTGAGAACGAAGATAAGACACAGGAGGGAAGTGAGGCAGAGGCATCCTGCGGAACTTCTGGGTGAGGGACTCGCGCGGCAAACGTCATCTGAATCCAGTCGCCCTTGGGAGAAGAGCGAGGCTGCATTCTCGTTGCCATCGGCACACGGCCATCGCTAACGCACGCGGCCGAACCATACATGTACGCGCAGCTCCCGGTCCATCCGGCTTGGAGAACTCCAAACTGCAAGTGCTACCTCCCACGGTGCGGAATAAGACGAACAATAATGTCTTATTGAGGCACGAGGAGCGGGCGTCAGGCCTTCTTCGTCATACTCATCATGATTTCGTTTCAGTAGGTTTTTCTATCTAGGCTTGGTCCTTCGCCTCCCGAGCCGTGTCCACGCCTGTTTCCTTGGCACAACTGAGACCCGTTCCTCACAGCTCGAACCGTCGCTTTCTCATCTTTCACTCTTCCTCTAGCACACGCCGTGCGTCTTGCCGTGCTTGCCCTTGAGACTGTGCTCCTCGTCACTGAAGTGCTGGTTGACCTTCTTGCGGCTGGCATTCTTGAGCATCTGAGCCGCCTGGTGCATTCTCTGCTCCTCCAAGCGCTTCTCGTCCATCTTCGTCAGTTCGGTGATCGCCAGTTTCAGGTCGGAGATGAGCGCATCACAACGGCTGCGGGAGAAATCTTCGCGGACAACCACACGCAGCATCTTCAGGGTGCCGGCGTTGGGGGCCATGGTGTATGCCGGGACGACCCATCCACGCTCGCGAAGCTGATGAGCGAGGGCGAACTCGTCGAACTTGTGGCCGTGGTCTGGGTTCAAGCGGAAGGCTACCAGGGGAAGGCCGTTGCCGCGTGTCTTGGACATCAGTGTGAAGCCCATGCGCTGGACCGCATCAGCAAGATAGTCAGCGGTCCTAGTGAGGTTGAACATGATGCTGCGGTAGCCCTTCTTGCCCAGCCGGATGAGCTGGTAGTACTGTCCGATGACCTGACTCGCGCCGCGGGAGAAGTTCAGGGTGAAGGAGGCTTGGTCGGCTCCCAGGTAGTTGATGTTGAAGATGAGCTCTGTAAAACGTCAGCCTGAGACAGACGAGAATGCAAACGAGGTGGGCTTACCCTTTGGCAAGAACTCTGGATCACGCCAGACGACCCATCCAACACCAGGGTAGACCAGTCCGTACTTGTGGCCCGAAACGTTGATGGACACAACCTTCTCCAGTCTGAAATCCCATATCAAGTCAGGGTTGACAAAGGGAGCAACGAATCCACCAGAAGCCGCATCGACGTGAATCGGGCAGTCAATGCCTCTCTCGACGAGCAAGTCGTTGATGGCCTTGGTATCCTCATACTCGCCTGTGTATGTCGTTCCCAAGATCGAGCAGATACCAATGGTGTTCTCGTCAACCAGATTGACGGCCTCCTCCGGGTCAATCACGTATCGGTCTTCCGTGCAGTAGACGTACTTCTCTTCCACGTCAAAGTATCTCGCGGCCTTCTCCCAGCACACCTGAACGGCCGAGTTCATGACGATATTGGGCCTGCTGAAGTCCTTGCCCTCCGCCTTCCTCTTGTTCTGCCAACGCTTCTTCATGGCCAGAGTACCAAGCATGATTGCTTCGGAGGAACCAATGGTCGACGTGCCCATGGCATTGGTGCCGTCCTCGTGGGCCGGAATGTTGAACAGACGAGCAATCATGGACACGCATCGGTTCTGGATGTCGGCGGAGACGGGATACTCCTCGTAGTCGATGAAGTTCTTGGAGAATGCGTCAATCATGAGCTTCTCGGCCTCGTCTTCCATGTAGGTGGTGACGAAGGAGGCGAGGTTCAGCGTCGGGTTGCCGTCGAGGGTCAGATCGTCCTTGATCATACGGTAGGCGATTTCTCGTGGCATCTCACGCTCCGGCATCTCGTGCTTGGGCAGGTCGGCGGCGGCAAACCTGGAGCCGTAGACGTTGGTGGAGGTCTCATCGTCGTCGTCGTATTGCTCGAGGGAGAGACCTTGCAGCTCAGGAATGACGGATTCCCTACGCTCTCTGTCGGTAGCAACTTTGCCCAGGTGGACCATGTTGGCTGTTCTGGGAGTGAATAGTACGTTGATGTTAGAGTGAAGATTTGTCGTGTGGCGAGGTAAGGTAAGGCAGTAATAAAGAATTGAGAAAGTAGATGGAGGAACCTAATGAGTCGAAGGGAGCTGAGAGATGGAAGTGCAAGGTAGATAAGTCCAGGGGGTGAAGCAGGAACAGGAACCAGAACATACAACAAAGCTGTCCCCGAGCTGCACAGCTGTGTGTTTCACGGTGCTGCGTCGGAGGGTCGCAGCTTCCTAACACAAGCGCGTCTGGAGGATCTTCGGCCGGGATGGTGTGGACGAATCAAGCTTCCTGCCCCACGAGCTTGCCCAACGCTTAAACCTGCTCCCACACACTCCCAAGACTCCGTGGGGTCTCGTCATCAATCACTAGTTGCTTCCCAACTTCATCACTCGTGTCACCCATCCACCATCCACCGCACGCCTTGCACGTGTCGCGACCCGTCTGGTGTGTCTGGTGTGTCTGGATGACAAGACCGCTGCAAGAACTACGGATCCCATTGGCTCACAGACGGGAAGTAGCAATGCCGTTGCAAGTCTCGCTCTTTCCTAGTTGGGAATGGGCGTCTCTGTGCCATTGGGTCTCAGACCAACGCACAAGTCAGTCACTCTGCAGTCAAGACATCATCATCGCTGGAGTTCCAAATCTCCATTCATGTGTTCTTACAGCTGTCTAGTAGTAGTAGTAGTAGTAGTAGTAGTAGTAGTAGTAGTAGTAGTAGTAGTAGTAGTAGTAGTAGTAGTAGTAGTAGTAGTAGTAGTAGTAGTAGTAGTAGTAGTAGTAGTAGTAGTAGTAGTAGTAGTAGTAGTAGTAGTAGTAGTAGTAGTAGTAGTAGTGGTAGTAGTAGTGGTAGTAGTAGTAGTAGTAGTACTCCCCACAAGCCCTCGTCTATATGCGTTTGATCAGTGGGGTATTCGCATGCCTGGTTCATGCCGCCTTCCCAGTTCTCCACATGCTTCCATGCAAAATCAAGAGACAGAGATCGAAAAGCTTCCGCCCACGCCATCGCAGGTCCACGTACACTACATATGTAACCCCATCGATGCATCAATTCGTCTCAAAAATAAACTTTTTTGCTCGTCGTTGCGTCCGCGACTTCCCTCCTGCGCTTACATGATGTCCCGGATGCTGATTCTGCTGCTTCCCGCTCCTCCATTGCCGTTTCCATTGCCGCTGCCGTTCCCGCCGCCGTTCGACGGATGAGGCGAGAGCGAGCCCGGAGGCGGCTGCGTACTCGTATGAGGTGCCAGATTCGGCGGCTGCGAAGGATACGACGGCGGTCCCTGTGAGGCTGGCATAGGCTGCGGTGGAGGTTGTTGCGAAGGGGCGCTCGTGGGCTGCGCTTGCTGTCCTTGCTGCTCCTGTGAAAGCTGGTCCAGTGTGCGCCGGATGTGCTCCCATCCTCCCCAGTCCTGTGCCTCGCGCTCCGACAGAGTGCTCGTGGACAATTGTTCGGCCTGCAGCGCTGGCTTATCGCCCCCAGCGCCGGTGACAACCGCCTGCTGCTGGTATAGGCTCGCGCCACACTCGCTGCCCGCCCATACCCAACCTCCGTCTTCGCATCCTTGGAGATCTCCGCTTGCGTATGCAAGCATCTCTTCGTCCGTCTCGAGTGCCTGGAAGCTTGCTCCCGCTCGCAATCGTCCGATCAGTTTGTCCAGGAAGAAGGCCAGAAATCGCCCGCACGCGATGTTCCTTCTCCTCATCGGTCCGACGGCGGCCGAGGCATGCGAGAGTGTCAACGCCGCTGCAAACTCGCCTCGCAAGCAGAGAATCAACTCGCACCTCCACAGGAATGTACAGAAAAAGGCCGGGCACATGGTGCGAACCCGGGAAGACCAATTCGCGAGATGCGGAGGAGAAAGGAACCCTTGTTCCGGAGAAGTCGATGGGTGCCGGAGGGTGCGTTGCACGTACTCTGCAGCATCCTGTGCCACGGTGACACACCTGTCCAGCGCATCGCGCCTCTCGTGCGGGCGACAAGCCGGTGACAAGTTATGCCGGTACAGGAAGAGGCGTTGCGTGAGCAAGCTGCACGCGGCGGTCAGCAGGCCCGGTTCCAGATGCGCCTGCGACCCAATGGGATAGGGGTCGGGCCACGAAGCCATGATAGCCCTGAAATGCTCGTCGCAGGTAGCAAGAGTTGATGTCCCAATGGATTGCGACTTGAGAGTCTTCTTCAGCTGCGCGGTGGTGCGAGTGACGGGTATTACAGCTAGCAATCCGCTCGGAGTGACTTGCCCTGGGGGAGGCATTGTGATTCCGCTCGGCCGTATGCAATCGTCGTCGACTGGGACCGGCTCGTTCACATCGCAGTCGTCATCATCGATCAGTAAAGGTTTCCCGAGTTCAAGAGCCAATACTCTGCGACAAATTAGCACGCGATGGGAGGGGTTTCTGCCGGGAGCCACAAACCTATCCCAATTGTACACGCTCCACCAGGCCCGTCTTCTCATCTCAGCCTCCATTGGGGAATAGCTTCCCTGATCGATGTGTAGTCCAAGGTCCTGTGCGGAGCGTACTGCCGCTCCGAGCCACACCCAGCCGGGCGTTCGCAGGTTCATCTCGACATGGTAGATGCTGACCAAGAGGCATGTGCGCACATGGTCCAAGGACAACTCATCGCTCCACGTATCATTGCTCCTCATGCTGATTTCCAGGAATCGCGCTCCCTCTCCCTCTTCTCCGGCATTGACTGGCGGATCCATCAGCGTGCCGCACGCGAGGACGGCATAGAACAGCGCGATCCAGTTCTGGCGGCAGCTTTGGAATGACCCGGCTCGGTAGACTTCTTCATATTCCTGTACAAATGTAGGCCAGTGGACATGCGGCGCATACAGATGAACCGACCCATGATAGAACGAAAGCAGGCGATCTGCGACATGCTTCGGAGGGAGAGGCGGATGAGACGCGTGGGAATATATCGGTTGAGGAGCGAACTGTCGGTAGGGTGGAGGCGGCTTGAATATGCCTTTGCCGAACGTGCGAATGTTCTGCCTCACCTCGTCGAATCCTTCCAGAGGTTGGGGGGCCGAGCGACGCTCTTTGGCAGTTGCGTCTAGCAATCGTAACGAGGGGATGTTTGGCACACTGGTATTCATCTCTGCGGCGCCTCCATCCTGGAGCATGCCTCGAAGCTGATTGATCTGTTGCTTGGCCATCGACAGCTGTTTTTCGAGGTCTTGCACCTGCTTGATGGAGGACATGCGGCGATTCGTCTCCTTGGTGAACTGGCATTTGACGCCTCGACTGGTGCACTCGGAGCAACTCGAGGTATCGGTGGCGTCGCATTTGACCTTGCGTTCTCTGCAAGCATCGCAACTCGGATCCTTGCGGCGCTGGCGATAGGCGCGTTTCTGCTGAGCGGACAGAGCAGCGGCGGAATGATGGGTTGGTGATATGCCCGGTGTGGACATGGCGGAGTCGTTTGTCATGTACTGGTCTGTCATGATGCCAGTAGGCGCCGACGTCGAACCCGGGAGATTTCCATAACCGTACGGCTGGGCGAGTCCATTTGGCTGCGCTTGCATGATGGCCGGCGAGGCGGGCCTGTTGGAGGGATGATGTTGTTCAGGACCGGTATGAATGGGAGCAGCTGGGTGCATGGGACCTGAGATGGAGCCGTGTGAAGACATTGCTGGCGGATATGGCGCAGGGCCTCGGGTAGCGGGAGACGGCGCAGGTCCCGGGTGCTGGCCATTGCCATCCATATCTGCGGTCAATGGCACGGGCGGGAGAGGGTAGATCGGGTGCTGTATGAGGGTCTGCAATGAGCATGCGGGCGGGAAGAAGTAGCTGGAGGCGCCAATGCACGTGTGGTCGAGCTCCAATCACACACAATGGGCGTTCGCTGCCACCTGCATGCCACTGCGCCGGGTACGAATTGGGAAGATCCGGGCGGCAGTGGGAAGGCAGATTCCGTGGGGGGGGGAAGGGAGGGTGAGAGAAGGGAAAGGGAGTCGAGGGGGAAGGCGCCCCGACGGGTCAGCTGGAGAATGGCGGCCGAGGCAGGCAGGCAATGCCGACAGGCCACAGCGAAAGGCCACACAGACAGGCCACACAGACCGGCAGGGCGACAGGGGTGTGAATCGAGGGAATGTTTGCTCGGTCCGCGAATAGCAGCAGCAAGCAGGAGAAGAGGACAACCTTGCTCCGCGTGCAGCGAAGGGCCTGTCCCTGACCGCACACCGCTGGCAGGTGCTCGATTCCGGCCGGGCGGGCGGGAGGGTGGATGGATGGAGGCCGGGAGAGTGAGTGGCAACCTAAGGCGCGCAGGAAGGGAGTGGAGGGCAGCGGAGGCAGAGGCAGAGGCAGAGGCAGAGGCAGCGGGAGGCGGTGTGAGGTACAAGTAAGGTAGTTGGCGGCGGGAGGGTCCAGATGTCGAAGACGACCGGATGGGATGCAGATGCGAGGGCGAGAGCGAGGGCGAGGGCGAGGGCGAGAAGCCGAAGCATCAACAAGAGGAAATGTCGATCTGGGCGCGGCCGCACAGACTACTTTCGGGCTGCAGGCGGAGGACGAGTATTTCAATACTGCTGCTGTGCTTGTGTAGCGCTGCAGGGAATTGGAGATGGCGGAAGGCGCAAGTCGGGCGCTGCAGTCGTGAGGAGGAAGGAGTGAGTGTATGGCGAGGGCGATGGCGAGGGCGATGGCGAGGGCGATGGCGATGGAGGAGAGCGGCGTGCTGGGTACGTACTGTAGGTAGATAGAATGCAGGAAGTTTTGATGAGACAAACTCATTCTCTGCTAGCTGCCCCCGTGTGCCCGGGCTGCCTCGCGTGTCCGTACGCAGATCGCATGCAGCCGCCCTGTCCATCCCTTGAGGCTTGCGCTTGCTCGACGACGATCCAGTGCCAGTAACACCACCCTCATTCCAACATCCTACACTCCACGCCCCTTACGCCCATGGCAGGTACACGGCCACGGCCACGGCCACGGGCGCGGGCGCGGGCACGGTAGGAATAATCAACACGCTCATCATCGGGCATGTCCCACACCGCCGACCATGACCATGGCACGATTCTGCCTCTGGTCCAATGTCCCTGTCCACGCCTCCGGCTGCCGGCGGCGGAAGGGAAGGCTGCTACCGAACTGCCGCAGCTTCTCCGTGCTGACATGCACCGGCAACCTCGTGGCAAGAGCAAGTAGTGTACCTGATCTTCTGGTCTTTGCCTGCTGCTTCTCGCCGCTTCTCGCCTACCTTCCCTCGCCCCAGCCAACAGCTTCCATTACATGACTTTTCATCCCTGACCTGCACAATGTGGAAGGCCACAGACAGCTCCAGAATTTCAGACACGGCGGCACAACGTTTGCTTGGCCGAGCCGCTAAACGAACGCACATGGAAAAGCCACGCTAGAGCTTCCAGAAGATCTTACCTTGAGCGTAGCGCCCCTCGGTGCTCCGCAGCGTCCAATCTCGGTATTCCGCTCCAACTTGCATCCATCCATGATTGCTGATGCATCACCACCACCACCACGCTGGGCACGACACATGTGCCGCACTTGCACATTGCGTCGAGATGCACAACTGATGAGAAATCCAATCCTACTTCTCCCATCCTCGCGCCTGCCTTCGCACGCGCCTTCCACCGCCTCGGGACCGCTGCACATGTCCCCTCGTCTGCTTACCGCATTCGGCAGCTCGGATGCAAGGCTGCTGCGCTTGTATGGAAGTTATCAGGTCCCCAACACGCGGCTCCGGCGGCGTCGAGCGCGAACGGTCCTCCTCCCGAGCCTGTCATCTCATCACACCATCACTCCCTCCCCTCCCAATAACCTTTTCCCGAATTCGCCAGCAACCGTCGTCGAGTCGGAACTCTACCTGTTCGGCACTTCTACCCACACGTGCTGTGCGTGCTTCTTTGTCATCGGCTCACTCACCCACCCGTCCGTCCCCCTCGCTCACGAATTGCCATCATCAACACCAACACATGTCCACCCTTCGACACCGACCGATGTCAGAATATGCTTGAATCCCTCCCACCCGAATCCTGCGCGGTCGAGTCTGGCGCATGTCTCGGACGTACACGCTTGCGCCATCCTCGTGGCTCTCTCGTGCGAGTCACGTTGCGAGAGTCACGCGGAAGCGGCCGTCACATGATTGATCTCACGCCCGGACTTGCAGTCGGCATTTCGCGAGCACTCTTGCAACGTCGCGCAGCAGCCTGCTGTCTTGGATGAGAGGAGCGCACTGGCGAGGATGCCGAGATGAGCTGTTCGAGCAGAGTTGAAATCGCCATGGATTCTCGCTCTGCAGACTGCCGCTGTCTCAGAATGCGATGGGGCTGCCCGTTGATCGACTGCCTCAAGCCTTGAGTTCCAACTTGCACGTTCGCCTACCAAGGATAAGCCATTCAGCCGACCCGGACAACACAGGTGATGTCGGCATCTGCCGGCTTCCACGTCAGCTCTGCAGCGATCTTGGTTCCTTGCCATTCAACCGGCAAGAAAAGCAACAAATGGCCTAGTACCTAGATGGCAGGGCACACTACCAATCAGTCCATCAGCACTGCAGCAGGCATCTCTACATATACCCGATGCGATCGGCTCTCCCAGCGTCCCTTCACAACGGTCTCCAAACAATGATGCACTCGCTCGGGCGTCAACCGAACGTCGTCCCGGTCTTGCCGGTCAGCCGAAGAAAAAGAAGAAGAAGAAGTGAAAGCGAAAACGAACCTAGTGACCACTGAGCATTCTTCAATGCCGAGGCAAGCTTAAAAAGGGTTCAAGCCGGGCCGGGGGATGGCGAGAGCCGATCCCACAATCACATGCATTCCGCTTTGCGGCTTCCACGGTTTTTCGTTTTGGTGACACCAACAGCAATGTCTTGAGGCCTCCTACCTCGCCTGCCTGACGAGAGGAGGTTTTCGTACATCTTCGTCGTTATAATCGCGCTTTCAGAGTATGAAGCGCCTCCGATAACACTCAAGGTCGTTCAACGACTCCGTCGGAAGTCGCCGACAGCTTGTCGAACAAAAAATTCAGACGGACTCCGTGCAAGGTAGTGGTTGCGCAATCAAAACACTCTTCACGACTTCCTCAGCACTTCTAGTCTCATATCCGATTTCTCATCTTCACAAACACATCGATCCAGCACTCTAACAATCGGAAGCGTGGGCAACGAACCTCGCAAGAGAAAAGTGAAAGATACCCCAGGAGGCCCAGAAAGCAGCGAGATGATCCCCAACACCTCCTCAATGGACACTTTCCTGCAGAAACTCCCCAAATGTGAACATCACATGCATCTCGAAGGCGCCTTGACGCCCCATGTCCTCTTCCAACTCGCTTCCAAAAACAACATCACCCTCCCTCCCGATGACCCAGCGTTCTCCTCTCCGGAAACCCTCCTGGCACGCTACGACCAGTTCACCTCCCTCGACGACTTTTTGCACTACTACTACATCGGCATGAGCGTACTCATCGACGCTTCAGATTTCGAATCCCTGGCGTATGACTACTTCCAACACGCCCACGCGGACGGTGTCGTCCACGCCGAAGTCTTCTTCGATCCACAGGCACATCTCTCCCGCGGAATAGCCTATTCCACCGTCCTTTCGGGCTTCCAGGCAGCGCGGGATCGGGCTGCGAGGGACTTGGGGATCTCGAGCGAGTTGATCTGTTGTTTCCTGCGGCACTTGCCCGCACAGGAGTGTTCTGCGACGTTCAACCTAGCCGAGATTCAGGAGAGTCTCCAATCGGACGGCATCGTCGGCATCGGTCTGGATTCCAGCGAGAAGGACTTCCCTCCCCATCTCTTCCGCGATCTCTACGCCGACGCCGGCAGGATGGGCCTCCAACGCACCGCGCACGCGGGTGAGGAAGGCCCCCCGGAATTCATCCTCGACGCCCTGGACCAGCTCCACGTCGATCGCATCGATCATGGCATCCGACTCGCAGAGGACGAAGCCCTCCTGTCCCGCGTTGCGCGACAGGGCACCCTGCTGACGGTCTGTCCGCTGAGCAACGTTCTCCTGCGCTGCGTGACGAGCGTCTCGGAGCTGCCGATCCGAAAATTCCTCGACGCCGGGGTGAACTTCTCCATCAATTCGGATGATCCTGCTTATGTAAGTTCCCCCCCCCGCCCCCCCCCCTTCCCCTTTCACCGTTCGTCGTCGTCGTCGTCGTGCGTGCGTGCTTGCTTGCCCCCTTACTGACTTATTTCAATCAATGTAGTTTGGCAACAATTACATCCTATCAAACTATCTCGCCGTGCAAAAGGCTTTCAATCTGAATTTTGAAGAATGGACTCGCATCTGCGAGAATGGGATCCGTGGGAGCTGGTGTGGTCCGCAACGCAAAGAGGAAATGCTGGCGCTGCTCAAGGTGGTTGTCAATGATTTTCGGTCGGGTGGGGAAGGGTGCGGAGAAGTAAGTAAGTAAGTAAGTAAGTAAGTAAGTAGGAGAGATCTGAGCTGAGTTGAGTTTGAGTTTGATGAGTTGGGCTCGTTTTTTCGGAATCAGGGTGTACGTATGTACGTACGGTTTCTTGTCTACTCGCTAGCTTTGCGAGGTCGTCTGTACTTCGATTCCGCCAATTTTTTTTTTTTTTTTTTTTTTTTTTTTTTTTTTTTGGACTCCGGCGAGCAGCGAGATAGGACGCGAGGCTCAGGGGGAAACTCTTTTCAGCGCGATGAAAGATGAAAGTTTCTCTAGCAGAAGACGGTCTACTGCCATTTTTTTGTTTCGAAATCGAACCCGAAAAGCCAAGAACAAAGCGATCGCAGGCGGGGGGGGGAACTCGTATATATTCCCAATCTGGCCCCCTGTCAGAAGAGGAAAGCCGGACCCGACGACGTCACTCTCTCTTGTCGACGATGTCCTCGAAAAATTTGGGAAATTGTAGTAGCCTGGAGAGGAGAGGAGAGGAGAGCATCCTTCCGCACGTCCTAAAGAAAGAAAGAAAGAAAGAAGGACAGGAAGAATTAAGAGCGAAGAAAAAAGCTACGATATCTACCGAGCAGGCCAAATCTCTCTCCTCCTCTCTTTCTCTCCCTCCCTCCCTCTATCTCTCTCCCACCGGACGGTTCTAGAAATCGGAAAACCCCCTTTATTAGAGGAGCCTACCTACCTACCTACCTACTACTTACTACTTCTAGATACTCGGCACACGCACGCACACCTCTTCGGCAGCGGCAGCGGGAACGAAAAGAACAAGAGTAAAAACTCTTTTCTTTGTCTTTTGTCTTTTGTCTTGTTCTTGTGAACCAGACAGACACAGACGGACACAGACAGACAGACGGGCGGGCGGGCAATCTTCGGCCCTGAGTTGCACATGCAAAGAAACCTGAAGCGCTGCGCTCTGTCCCTCCCTCCCTCCCTTCCTTCCTTCCTTCCTTCCTTCCTTCCTTCCTTCCTTTTTATTCCTCCCCCCTCCGCAATATGAAACAAGAAATATCAGACACGATAAGACCATGAGACGATAAGATACCTTGCATCCGGCGGAGGCAATACACGCAGAAGAAGAAGACTGTCATTGTCGTTGTCGTTCGGGGGTGGGCGTGTTGTTTCCGGGGTAGTAGAAATGTAGTAGTAGTAAGTCGGGCTTTTAAAAGATAGAGGGAGTCTTTCTTTGGAGGGCAGGAAAAGTAGGTACCTAGGGTGTCTGTTAGGTGTGTGTGTGTGTGTGTGTGTGTGTGTGTGTGTGTGTGTGTGTATGTATTACGAGGGTCATTATTATCCTTTTACCACAGTCACTCTAGATAGAGGAGGAGCAATAATAAGCCCTCGACTACTACTGCCGTAGGACGCCCGCGGGTATCGGCTAGCCTCTTAGGTGTAGTGTAGTAGGTTGAGACGATGCAAAAAGGGCTAAGACAAATACACTCACAGCTGTGAAAAAAAGCTGGTATTTGCTAGCATAGCATAGCATAGTGATGATATAATAGGACGCTATAAGCAAAATCTTGGCAAATGTTCAAATGCTAAAAGGTAAAGGTATTTGAATCGCTCGCTCGCTCTTCGCTCTTTCGCTCGCTTCTTCGCTCTGCTGTTGTTTCCTTCCTGTATCGTACATGCTCCTTCCTTTTCTTCCTGCAAAAATGCAATGCATCTTCTACCTTAGTCACTCGGGGTTATCGAGCGCCTCCCTATCATCCTTCCCAACACCCAACCAAGAAACTCCATACTCGCTCAAGTCGCCCGACATGAAACAATGATTTTTGTCCGCACCCTGCAGTTGCACCCGCGCCACTCGTTGGCATAATTTTCCCCCAAGAGATTCGCCATATCTCGCACACACCGTATAAGTAGTAAGGAGAGTCGTTATCGCAGTCATCTCGATATGCGCTTCGTCAGAGGCCGTTGCGACGTGTGAACAACATGGAAAGAAAGAATCCGAGCAAATGTTTTCAAACAAATCGAAAGCCGCGTGCGGTGACGAACCGGTGCCAGCTGCAGAGAGTCGCCATCTTGGGGTTGTTTTCGTGGCGCTCAGGTCGAGGTATTATTGGTAGTGTTGTCGGTAGTCTGAGGGTCCTGCCTCAGGGTGATCGGATGGAGTCCTGGAACACCGCTTAGCCTTATGGTTCCGGTCTTCACACATCACGTCCAAACGGGTGCCGGTGTTACGAACCCTCCTCGAAAGCCGCCGAGCGAGTAGCCACCGTAGAGCTGATCATCTTGCGATGCAAGCGGTGGGAAGCCCGGCGAGGGCATTGCGCCCCAACTCTGCGTGCCGTACGTGAAGCCCGACTGGGTCGTCGGAACCTCCAGATAAGAGGACTGCGAACTCGCCAACTGCCCACCTTGACTGTGAAGGGGAGATGGCGCGAAGGCCGGGCTAAGATTGCCAATGCTCGTGTAGCTCAGTGTCTCCGGACTGAGGTGGAGCAGTGTTGGGTCGCTCGCCATTCCCGCCTGCTGCATTTCCATCATCTTGCTCCTGAAGTTCATCGCCATCTGCTGCGGGAAGCGCATGAGGGACGCAATCTCCATCGTATTCTGATCCATCACACGCTGTGACTGCATGGCTTCTGTCACGGTGATGATGGTCTCGAGAGGCGCCAGGGCAAGTCTTGCGCAGAAAGCCGATCCAAGGTCCGGATAGAGTGGCTCTAGAGCCAGAGCAACGGCGTAGAAGTGCGACAAAGTGAGCATCGCTGGCCCTTGGCCTCCTTGTCGTTCCAGTAACAGCACTGGCACCCAGAACAACCATTTGCGCAGCAAGTAAAGGTGGCTGAACTGCTCGTCGGGGGACTGTGCCGGGCTAGATGCCTGCAGACGCTGAATATAGTCCAAGAGCTGCCCTATCCAGTACGACTCGCCTTCATGGCCCATGAGGGCTCTTTGCAGCTGCTGCAGCGATTGGACCGCGTTCGTGAGGATGCTGTAGCGTTCGACTGATTCAGGGCAGGTCATCTGTCGGTTCGGGATGTACGAGCCGGCCAGCAAGTCCTCCTCGTTGATGTACTCGGCAAAGATGGACTCATGCTTCCAGGTGTGCATTGTGGCCAGGACTGACTGGATGCCCGCGCGGAGCGAAGACCAGCTTCGCCTGAGAGGGTTCGTTAGTCGATTCAAATCGCAAAACATTGGCGAGGCGAGCTTACCAGTCCGTAGCTTGCCATAGCAGAAGCAGCGAGGCCGCCAGCACAGCATCCGCGTTGGCGTGAGAGAAGCTGCCAATTGCCTCATGGAGACCACGGAGCGCGATCGTCCCGTGATGGATATGGAGATTCCTCGTCTCATCCGAGGATCGACTCCAGGCAAGGTGGTTGGCGGAGAAGGATAGCAGGGCATGCATGACATATGGGTAAGACGCGGCTATGCTCAAGAACTTGGAAACCTTCTGGGTCCAGATGGTAAGATTGGTGGTGCCCTTGACCACGAGGTCGTTGGAGATGGAGGAGATGTGGTGGATGAGGCGGAGCTCGTTCTTGGAGTATTCGTGGGTTTGCGGGGGTGGGAAGACCTGCAGGTTTGGATAAGGGAAGCTGCCGGTCTGCTGCCAGAGATCGATTCTCGACTCAGTGCCGGGGGTGAACACCAGGGATGGCTGCTCGGGGCTCGACTGACCTTCGGCGTCGGCGCCCACGGTCTCCATGTAGTCGCAGCGAACCTGGTGTTTCGTACAATTCCGGCTAGAAAGAGTCGTTCAGCCGAGGCCCTCTCAACGTGGACGCGTAGAATGATGGGGTGAAGCTTACCACTGCGGGAACGTCTCGTCACAGCGAATATGCCGCCGCTTGCACGTTTTGCAGCCCTTGCGGCTCTTCGTATGGCTCCTCCGGGAGGGACCGGTGCCCTGTCCGGCCATGTCTGCGAGTGGACGGGAAGGGAGGAAGCGCGAGGGTGGATGAGATGAGTAGCTGGACTGGACGACGCCCTCTATATAGACCTATACAGACCTATACAGACGCCAAGTCGATCGATGCTCCCGTCAGTGCTTGGGTTGTTGTCGTGGCCTCAGGTAAGTCCAGAACGGCACTGCCGGATGACGGCCCGTGATCGAAGGTGGAAGCTGCTTCCTAAGCTAGAACTCGTTCTTGGCTGTCCCGCCGCGCGGAGAGTCGAGAAGGTGCGGACGGAAGGAGGTATTGGCGTCAGGCAGGAGCAATGGAGGTCCTCGTCCCAAAGAGGCAGGTACGGCGGTCGTTCCTCCCAAAGCGAATGTGGGTGAGTAAGATGTGGTTGCTTTCGATCCGGGCACTGTACAGCGTATGGGATTCGATCGTCGTGGTTGTCGTGGTAGGCGTTGGCTGGTTGATTAAGTATCCAGTAACGAGTGTGAAGTGGAGAGAGCAGTAGCGAGCGTGGTGGCGAGGTTGGATTGCAGTTGCTGGCGATGGCACTGCGGCGGAGGGGTGGATGAGTGGTGATGATGGGCTTCCCAATGGAGGGCGGCCGGGAGGGACTATGTATGTATGCGGCAGCGGCAGCGGCAGCGGCAGCGGCAGCAGGTAAGGTAGGAGAGAGAAGAGGTCAGAGTCAGGTGCGGTCCTCTGAGCTTGGCTTGGCCTGGCCTGGCCTGTGAGTGGTGAGTGGGCTGTAGGGTGCCTGACGAGCTGCAGTCGAACATCTCGAAATAGACGGCAGACGGGCTAACTCAGACAGCAGCAGACTAGTGAGTGCTCTGAGGGCCCTGGGCGGCGAGCGAGCCAGTGCCAGTGTGGCCCAGGGATTGGGAGGGTCCTCGTGTATGACATCGGCATGCATGGCCCGAAGAGACATCTGCATGGTCTCCAGTCTGGCAAAGAAGCTTTCGCCGTGGGTGCACAGTCGCGCGCACCTGGTAATCAGCAGCATCGCTCACCATCGCTCATCATCGCTCAGCATCGCTCCGGATTAGGCTGACGGATGAGGTGGCCTTCGCCAGTGCTGCAGCAGGGTCGTTAGGCTTTCCTCTCATGCGACTCTCCTCTCCCACGCTACTACTACCTACCCAAGCCCAAGCCCAAGCCCAAGCACACCGAGGGAGAGGGAGAGGGAGAGGGAGAGAGGGAGAGCACTACTGTGCACCTCCCAGCAGCGGCACCCAACCCGACCGATGCTCCGTCCACCGCAACGACTGCCCGTCTGCACCTCTCCTCGCTCCCCACCGTCGCCAAGCACAAGCACCGGCACCGGCACCGGCACAAGCACAAGCACGAGCGTGGCCACGATGGGGACTGACGGAGCCGTGCCCGGTGCGCCCTGTCTCTCCCCCCTCGCTGCCGCCGCCGTCACCACAATAATCCGCCAGCACGGCGTCGACGAGCGACTAGTCTCCCGTCCCCAAGGTTGCAGGCTTGCAAGCCTGCCGTCCTGGGTAGGCAAACAGCCGGCTGCCGCTGCATCTGACCACACGCTTCGGGATGATCTGCAGGACCTGTGATGTTTTGCGCACTGGGCATGTGCTCGTCCGCGGTCGAAAATATCTTCAAACAGAAGACGACAGGCACGCCCTCCCCCGATCTGTCGTCGCCGCTCGCTGTCCGCGCTGCTCAGCCTCAATAATGCGATGCCCGCAGACCACCGGACGGTCAGCGTCCGACGGCCCCGGCCCCGGCCCCGGCGGACAGCAGACCTGTCGCGGAGAGCGAGCGCCAGCACAGCAAGGCAAGTGTCTGGGAAGACAAAGGGTCAAGCTGTGGCTGTCGCGTGGCCGCGGGACGTTTGCGCTGCGAGCTTTCCTGCCACGCACACGGTATGACGAGGCCGGGATGCAACGGCAGCTTGCCCGATTCGACTTAGCGTCCGGGACGCAACGGCCGCCTTGCCCATATCAGCCTAACGCTCTCGCCTATTTTTGGGGTGGTTGCTTGGGTGCAATCATCACAGACCCTCGATGTCTGGTGCTATTCTATTCTCTTCACTGACAATTTGTTAATGCAAGCTGTCGACTCGCATGCACCAGCTGCGGTCTCGCGAAGCCCACCGCGTCCTGCCCTGTGCGACCTGCCGACGCTCCGGGCGTTGCGTTTGCCAGGGTTGTCATCAAACACACCTCTCTCCAGCCAGGCCAGCGGGCCAATGCCTTCAGAATATCGCCTCGCCCTCCGGCGGTGCCGAGGTCGTACACGCATTGGTGAGGAGCACCCATGCGCATGCACCATGCTCTCGCGTGGGCTCAGACTATCGCTCAGAATAGTGTGGAGAGACCTCTGTTCCAAACGACAGCCATTGATCCGGCATCGCCCCAAGACACCCGCCATGCCCGTTGAACGCTAGCACTCTCTCTGCCCATCTGCCGAATCCGGCCTATATGCAATAGTGCGGATAGCCAGGTCGCCTGGTCATACCACGCGTAAGCATTGATGAAGAACAGGTCACAGAGGTCCTTTTCCGCCACACCTACTTCTTACCAGACAGGCTGATCCTCGCATTCGGATCTCGACGTCTCGTGGCTGAGATGAGTGGAGACGGCAGATCGAGTCGAATGGGACACGGACGGTGACGGAGACTCTACCTTGAACATGTTTGTGATGTTGGTCTGGAACGTGTCACCGAGGTGAGAACGATAAGGTATCCAGCGCGAATCCTCTTACCGCGCTCGACGTACTCTTGCTTTTCCGGGAGTGTCGAGAATGAAGTCTGCACCATGCTCGAGTTCTACCACACTCCGCAGATCATTGTCCCTCCACCTACCGAGATGGCAGGCCAGCTTTTCGCGCTTGTGAAGTGCGGTAACTTAGGCCCCGTTCACTTCGTAGGTTATAGGTTGTAGGTTATTAGGTTATAACCCCTCTCAAATAACCTAAATTATTAGAAACTGAGCTAAACGCTCCGGTATATTAAGAGCTCTACTATATAGTCCGATTTTAGTATAGTTCCTTAGTAATTAAGACCGCGTCGTCGCGTTATCTACTACCTATTTTCTCTCGCGTTTTCTCGTATCTCGTATATGTTACTACTCGCTCTTTCTAACTACTACTACTCGCTCTTTCTAACTACTACTACTCGCTCTTTCTAACTACTACTACTCGCTCTTTCTAACTACTACTACTATAAGCGATATAGTAAAAAGGAAGGCTACTACGGAAGGCGGTAGCGCGAAGAAGAAGGGCGGTAGTAAGTAGGCTCCGGTAGATCTAAGCGCTCTACTTATAGAGAGGTATTCGCCTTTGTCGAGGTATACGCCGTTAATAGTCGAGGACTTCTTAGAGCGGTTAAAGGCGCTAAAATCGGTACAAACGGACTCGTATAGTTATCGACTAAAGGACCTAAATGTAATAGCTAAGGCTATATTACGGAAGTTCGAGCGAGCGATTACTACCGAGTCGTTAAAGAATAAATAGCGTACGCTAAAAGAGGAGTAGAAGCTCTAGATTACCTATAAAGGCTATATTAGTAAGTAGAACGGCATACTACTACGCGGTAATCCGGCGTTAGAAGAAGCCTATAATATCGCTTACCTAGACTACGTTTACTTCCTCGAAGAGGCGCCGGAGTATATAGATCTAATAGATAAGATTGTAGGCGACAATATTACGACTAGCGCGTACGCGGCAACTAGTACTACTCTAGGTATCGACTCGGAACCGGAGGAAGTAGGTAGTAGCGATTCGGAGATATCGCTTTCGGATAAAGATCTAGAGAGCCTATTAGAGTTTAAGCGTAGTATAAGGCTCGCCGTACGGAACGAACGGCGTAATAAGAAGAAGAAGTAGAAGTAGCTACCGAAGAAGCGTAGTTACCGAAAGGTTAATAACGAGGCTAGAGTGTAGGCCGCCGTAGCGTAAAAGGTACTAGAGCTATTAACGTCCACTCTCGCTAATTACCTACGGCAAAATAAGGCCGTATAGTAGCGTCCGATACGGCTAATAAAGGACAATATAACCCTAGTATTTAAGCGTCTTTTAGAGGGCGATATTAAGCTGCCGTTTAATAATAAGACACTAATTTACGAGGAGCTTAGGCGGACACCGTAGCGAGCGAGTATAGCCGTAGCTTTGTTATTAAAGGATAAGGTGTCTAAGTTAAGAGCGTAGTATACGGTGTTACGGATCGAAATAGTAGCGAGGCTACTTCGAGAATCCCTAGCTAGTAAAATAGAAGAGAGACCCTACGCGTATAGCGAGGCACGTTACGTGTTACGTATTCGACTAACGGGAGGAGCCGGTAGTCGAACTCTATAAGGAGGACTACGTAACAAGTTCGACCGTTCGACTAGAGCTCTAGTCGGATAGCTAGTTTCTAGCTAGTAGGTAGGACAAGTTAGTCGAACTAGAAATCTATATAGGAACACTAAGAATGCCTCTAGCTTTCGATATGTTTAACTTACTATAGCATCTTACTACTTAGAATACAATCCCTTAAGTTACTATACTACTCTATTGCTTTACTCTTCCTCTACTAGACCTCTCTACTAACGAGCCTAATACCGATTAAGCCTTATACAAGTAATCCTTATACATTGTAAGATTATTAAGTTATAGACTTAATAGCTTTAAACACCCTCGAGGATGTCTAATTAACGAAGTTCTAGGGGAACTCCCGCCCCTAGTAAAGTAGGACGACTAAGGACTAACGAAGCTATTTAGGCTTTAGCTACGTACGAAGGAGATAAGAACCTTAAGGTCGGCAAGCCGGACTTCTACTATAGTAACCGCGAGAAGTATAATACCTAGGTTAACTAGATAGACCTCTACTTTCTCTTTAACCCTATAGAAGAACGTCTTAAGCCTGTCTTTACTACTACCTTTTTAAGAGGACGTACATAGTATTAGGTCAAACCTTTTCTCCGTAAATATCTCGATACTAACGACGTAGAATCCGGAAATAGAATCTTTAAATTATACTAACGCCTTAAGACTACTATAAAGGCTGTGTTTAGTA